GGCTGTCATTGATTGAAAAAAATCTTTGGTTTGCGAAACAATGCTCGAGGGTTTTTTTTCTAGTGCAGCAATATTTGAGGCGGGGTGGTCTAGTGTTAGAACTCGCTTTTAATTGCACGAGATTTGAACTGGAGAAAGTCTAATGGAAACTATCATGGCGGGATGAGTACGAGGAATGCACATTCTACATCCTTTTGGATCTAACACCTACATGTTTCTTCTTCTGGTTTGTGTTTCTGGCGTTAAGAAAAATTATAGAGCATTGAATTAAATTGATTTATTCAATGTATTTACGTGACTGGCGACAGTTTAATATTTTTATATAGACCCTTGTTATCTTAATAATTGTAGAATTCTGCTATTTAGAGTATGATTCTTTATTATTATTTTTTTTATTTACAAAGAAAAGAAGCAGATTGCAATAGATTTCTTAACGCAGGGCATCATATGCGAGAAAGCACGACGATTTACGGTGAGTTGCTGACGCAGATTCCGTGCACTACCGTGGACGTAGCATGGGAAGATTTCTTTCAAACAAGTCGAGTAGGGTTTGACAACTTCAGAAAAAGACGGGCTTTTGCTCGGCTGTCGTGCACGGTGAGTCAGCAACTTGTGATGTGAATGCAGCTGAGGTTTATCTCAACGCGATATCAGAACTGGCAGAGGCTAAAAGGCACATCTTCAGTATTCAACTATGACTTTTCTGAAAGAAGATGCCGAATATAAAGAGAAGGCGATATTATGCCACAAACCCATGAAGGTTACACTCATTCTCGCACTACACTCCAACACATTAAGTTTATTTCTGTACATTCTCTTTTATTATGTTTTTATACACGATTAATAATTTATATATAAATATACTTTTTATTAAAAAACTCGTAACAAAAACAACAGGGGTGTCATTTGGGGCGGGACTTGAAAGGATTAATTACATTCAAATCAATGACAATAGGGGAAATTGCTTTGAGATACAAGCAAATGGACATGCGAGAAAGGATACGGAACTAATTAAATTCGTATCTCGAGGCCCCCACTGTATTGCATTTTATTTTATTCTATAATAATGAGAATGATTCTGAAATGCATTTTAGCCAGTTGCAGGGGGAAAAAATCCACCTTTGTGACAGCCATTGGCTGAATTTGTCAGGAGCGCGTGCTTCTAGTCTAGTCAAGATCCAATCGTCGTGAGGCTTTTTTTTTTTTGGCCAGTCAATCGTTGGACGTGAAGAAATAAGGACAGCCAAAAACCATTTTAAATGTGTGAAACTGGGGGTTTGAGTTGACACTAGTGAGAAGCATTGGTGGGTCTGTGGGGGTAAGGGGGGTGAGAGGGGAGGGGGGTAATTCTTGGAAAATAAAATTGGGTAAAGTGTTAGCCTGTTACAAGTTCACAAATCGTGAATAATTTTGTATGCTATATAAATTATAAATGGTCTGTTGTTCATGTTTCTTACCGTAAATATGTAAATGTGTGCAGCCATATATAAATCTATAAAATGAACCCCCCCCCCCCGTAGCGGATTAAGTGGGGGGGGGGCTGAGAGGACTGCAGTCAGGGGCCCACGATTTTTTTAGGGGCCCCCCAAATTTTCTGCTTTATTGTTGGTTTGCACTATAAAAACTAATTTTTTAATGTTTGGATCACAAGGTTCAATTTTTCTTTACAAAATATCTAACACGCACACACGCATATATAAAAATAGGGGCCCCCAAAAACATTCAGCCGGAGACCGCGCTCACGCTTGATTTCCCCCCCCCCCCCACACACACACACACACAAACACACTCACACAACAAGAACAAAACTAAAAGAACAAATCCGGTTAGAAGGAATTACAAAATCTAAGACTGTGAAATTCGAAACTGACATCCAATGAACTACATGAGTACCTTAGCCCGGTTAAACGAGACTCACTACAGTATTAATAATAACAAAGATAAACAGAGTTCTTCGTGACCTTAATGATTCAAGCTATCACCTTAATGATACGTGAAGCCTGTCTTATACTTTAGTTCATACATATGATCCTGCAAATGATGGATTTGGATGGTGAATAAATTACATGGTACACGATGTAACGATTTGGCGGGGGCGGATCATACTTCCTTGTTTTTGAACACGCGCCCCCGCGAACGTCCTAGAAAACATTCTACGCTGTGATGTAGTGACGAGTTGTCAGTACGTAGTTTGGGCTGTCTGTTTAGTTTTGCTATTTCTAAAATTTGGTGGACGGCTTTGTCGAATGGTAGAGCGTTCGGCTGCTAGCTCGAAACTCTCGAGTTCGGTTCTGCATGATGGGCGCGTCCACCCGGGTCTGATGGGTACCTGATGGGTACCTGATGGGTACCTGATGGGTACCTGATTGGTACTTTGGGGAAAGTAAAGGCGGCTCGGTATAGTGTTGATCACACCATCGCTTTATATTCCGAGGTGAAGAATGAACTCTACTTCATGCGCAAAAGGTCTACCGCCCCCGCCCCCCCCCCCCCCCCGAACGAAATGGAATTTATATAGAAAATATATACTTTTGACAGTGTCCGCCCCCCCCCCGAAAAATTGTTGTCCCCCCCCCCCCCCCCCCCCGAAAATTTCAAGTGCACCCCAGTCTGGAAGAAACACTTTTCATGTGCCCTATGGAACGTTGGATCTGAAAGTGGAACTTTAGATAGACAGTCTTTTTTATATTTCTAAAATGTATAGGCTCCTATATTACGTTTTAGTACAGTATGTTGATGATAAATTTAAAATGTACAGAATACGTATTTTGTGCAGTCTGTTGATATAGACCTATCTAAAGTTTAGGAAGCACGTAATGATGTTTGTTTAAGTACCTAAAATTTAGATAGCACTTTTAGAATTTTGAAGTAATTGTTATGTTTACGATTTTAACGCATGAAATCTGACATCATTCTTAATATGAACTATTAAATCTAGCCTACGTGCTTAAAGGGGGGGGGGTGCCTTCTAGAAACCAGCTCAAGCTATTTTAGTCTACTGTCCGCGTCCCCATCACATATCAATGTTTAAAAATCCAGGCGCAACCATAAATAGAGGATGAAAATGACGTCACAAAGTTACCCTTTCCCCCCCCCCCCCTTTCCCTCCACGCATACGAAACCATAATTCTAACCGTTAATTAAGATCGTGATCTCATGTAGGAAAACCCAAATTTGTGTGTGCTACGTCAACGTCACATTTCGTGACACTTTACCGCCCTCCCCCCTTTCCCATCCACTAAGCCAAAAAGTCGTAACCTCCGCCTTCCCATCCCGTTTGTTACGTCATTTCTGTGCGAGTATTTTTTATTTTATTTTTTAGTCGCGAAACTTGACGCATCAAATGGCTATTATTTAAAAGCTTCGAATCCAATGAAATTCACTCAAGTGTTCTCCAAACAATAACAAAATCAATAAAATTATCTTTCTCCCCCCCCCCCCCCCCCCCCGTATCCACCCTTGTGCCATAAACACGGAAGTAAGAACTCAAGTCCTTGCAGACGATCGCTGAAGAAAACGTTATCGTAGAAATGAAAGGAACAGCAAGAATGCCACGAGCCTCATCACAAGAAACTATTGATTGGATAAAGAAGAATGGCCTTGGCCAACTACGGTAGAAGATATGCTACAGAAATACAGTGACCTTCATTTCGCTTGTTGACTTGTTGATTTAGCATTTTTTTTGTGTTGATGTTGTGTTTTTTTTTCTTTGTTTAGAAGATGAATGTATAAAGTAGTGTAAATTTTGTATGCGATGTAGTGGATTTAGTGCGTTTTTGCCTGCATTAGCTCTGCTGACAATTATCTATTCCAATATAAATGTGTAGTATTTAAATAATTAAACTATAACTTTGATGGCACCTTAAATCAAATTTTGATTTTGTTACCCATAACATTTTGATTCATTTACTTTTGCATCACCTATACATTTTTAATTAGATATTTTGAAAAGCTATTTATGTATTACCTCCCTTGAATTGCTTAATGATTTCCCTTGATTGATTGTGAGGATTTGTTAACCAATCTATAACTAGGCTGAATGCGGAACTATAACTCTTGAAATGTTTTTGCTGATGGTTATTGGAAGTTGTCTCATATATTTAATGTGTTTATATTGTTATGTTTTGTTTTAATGGATAATGTAGGCAAACATCTTTCTTTGCCAACACGGAATTGAGTGTACAATAATGTACATCATGTTAATAGTTTGTTTTTTTCTTTGCATATTTTAATAGCTGTTGTAATAAAGGCACAAACGTTATATGGCTGTTTTCATATGCTTGTCAACCTGTAACCTATAGGCCTACAGGCCACGGTATCCATAAAAGACGATTTTACCCCCAAACCTACAGATTCCCCCCCCCCCCCCCCGTCCCCATCATGGTTACAAGTTGTCTCCAAAATCCCACACTCATTTCCCTTAAAAATGACGTCCCAAATATACCTGTCCAGTGGCATCACTAGGTCGGGTATCACCCGGTGCGGCACCTCATAGAGCCTATAAATCTGCTATATGCATGTACACATATGTGTCTAAGCATGCCTCGGCTATATGTAATGTGCTTTCCAGTGTAAGGTGTATTTTTCCTGATCAGTACATAGTCTGTCTGTGAGAAGTTGCAATTGGTGTCACCTCCCATTACCAGTTTGCTTAATGGCGTCATTTTGTAAACATATTATATTAATCAACCTATTCATATATATACATATATATATATATATATATATATATATATATATATATATATATATATATATATATATATATATATTAGATTTCCCTTATGTAGAAGTAGATCTAACGAAATATTTAAAAATATTTGACGTCATTCTAAAACTGTTGTCAATGCCCAGAAGTATTATAACGTAATAAGGGGATACAATCTATTAAGACGTAATTCAGACATTTGTAAGAACAGTCTCCCTTGCGCAGTTCACTTTAGGGTCACCCCGGTTTAAAGGTTGACCAAGAAGAGGTTACTTTATCTCTCGCAACTTACGATAACTTGCGAGAGTCAGAGAAGTTAGCCCCATGACGTCAAGGGATTTTCCCGACGAAATCATCGATGAGTCATCAAAAAGAAATGAACTTAGACGACCAAACACACTATCCGATGGCTTAAGAGGACTGTCATCTACTCGACAAGAGGCTACCCCTAGGTCCTGGCCATCGAGCGACTCTGTTTATGGGCAGGACACTGTCCAGCAGGACTTTAGAAAGCTGGCAAATTTCAGCCGAAACTCCAAGATGGCGGCACAAGATTCCGGTGATCAGGGTAACGGTGGGTTTTTCTCAGGGTCTCCGTTCCGTGTTCGTTCACTATTTTCGGACGTATGAGTCATGTAACTTGCTTTCACACACTAGTTGTAGCGATGTCAATAGCCCCACAGAGATTTTCTTTACCCCACACATCCCGTATCAATTATAGGACCTCTACTTAATTTAAACTACACGTATCCAGATGATGCTCAGTTCCAGTTGGTCGAACGCTGCCATTTAAAAGCATCCCTTCCTCCTTGTTGCTAACTTTTGGCACTCGCTCGGTCCTCGGTTAAATTTAAAACAATTTATTTGATAATTACTAGGCAAAATTTTAGTCTAATAGTTTGTTTAAAACAGACTAAATCAAAATTATTTCAAAATATAATAATATAAATATATAGGCTATGAGAAATTCTAGCAACCAAAAAACACCACTTTTATTTTGAAACCAAGGCTTGAGGTCAACAAACTGAATAGGCCTACTTATACTACTTATACATTCTTTCTTTATTCACACAATTACCAGTAGATCTAGACTATATCTAAATAATCAAATATTGAAATCATAACAGTAACAACATTACATCATTGATGCTAAAATAAAATTAGTGATTTGGTTAGGCCTAGACTCTAGATCTAGTAGGTTTATGAAGTTTATTACTAGTTAGCGTTACATTTGTAAAAATAATAGATATCTAGTAGTAGTAGACAATGTCAATGGCCAAAATTTTTTTTTTAATTTAACTAGTAAGACTATAAGATAACTTATTATGTAAGTAGTGTAAGCCTAATTAATTGACAGTTTTTAAAGTGCTAGGGCATGTGATTTAGACTTTTCTACTACTTTTTTATCTTAAGAACAGTCAACATGTAATATATATATATATAGCTCACAGTATTTAATTAGGCCTAAGTTTATTAAATGTTGACATATGTCTAATGCTAAATTAAATAGCACAATCTCAAGTAAGAACTAATGACCTACTTAATACATAACAATTTTAAGTATTTAAGAAAATAAACAAAAACAGGTTTTTTTTTAAATAAAGTCAGTACAGGTGGGTATCTAGTTTGTCTGTGAGTACTGTTACTGTTGTGTTCAGTCAAAGCTAGCATAAGGAATCATTAAGGTTTGCTCATGGTAGGAATACTAGACAAAGTAGCCTCTGATAAATCCTGCTGACATTAATAAGTACTCAAAATCAGAGGCGTAGCGACCCCTCCCAGCGCCCGGGGACAAACTTTCTCAAAATTGGCGCCAATACATCAGTTTGACTCAGCAAGCTGTAATTTGAAATGCTTTAGCAAACTGGTCTAAGATTGTTAGTCACTTAGTTTAAAAAATTTGCGAATTTATTAGACTGTTTTACATAATGAACCTCCATTGTTCAATTATGTCTAGACTGTGTAATCTAAAAGTACCTTTTCAGACCTGACAGTATATGGGGTGTAAGAAGTAGAGTTATATGTTTTTCTGACCTCTAAAAATGAGGGGTATTCTGGTCACTACTACAACTAGCATCTTTCACTGTCCTTGACCAAAGTTGTTAGTTGCATACATTGTATATTTTTATTAAGCCTGCACCAGTAGTTGCACTGAAAACAATTTTATCACTAAGCTCACAATCACAGTTATCAGAGTTGATAATAACTTACTTAGTTACTAAATTACTATGTACAAATTACAAATGCTATTTGAATTTTTTGTTTGCTTCTAATTAAGCACTGCCCATTTAGTGGTATAGCTTAAAGCAGTTACTTAAAAATTAGGGTATCATTATTAAATACACTATTTCTACCAGTCATACTGCTTGTTATGATTGTTGGTCCAATAAACATGTATATACAAACATATAAGGCTTAGATTTTGAGCTCCCCACTCCTCAATAACCTTCTGTAGCTGCAAATATCTTCTTATTTGTGGTACTGATTTTGCAGGACAATTTCATATAGAGCTCTATTTCCATGATTTGCCTGAAATATAATTATAAAACTGCACTCAATTTAGCAACAGCTTTTTTTGGGGGGTAAAATTTCAAAATTTAATAAACAGCAACAAATGACTATGTGCTACAAAAATAGTGCTGTAAGTGCATTTATTGGCAATTTTTATACTAAGTAGATCTAAGTGTAATATTTTTAAATATCATTTTTGTTTACCTGTTACAGAAGTTAGGAACTCATTATGCAATTAATACTTACCAATTTTTTTTATTCTCAGTTTGTTAACTTTGATGTTTGAGAAAGAAAATATGTATAGATCCAAATCAAACTAATTCTGCTAGACAATAATAAAAAAAATATTTAGTTACCTCATTTTTAAAATCCTACATCATTTTTAAAATCCTAACTCATTTAAATATAACTGAGTACAAAAAGTACACAAATAATAACATAGCTGTCAATGCATTGTACAGCTGCATGCATTTTTCAGTTCCAGTCATACCACATTACCTTTATAAATAACACTTAAGTTATATTTTTTCCCCACTTGTCAAAAAGGGGTATTCACAGGGAAAGCCCCATACACTGGTTGACACAAAATTTAAAGTTGAATAGATTAGGCCTGGATCTATTATCTGTGATATGAATAATCTTAAGTAGGCCTAAGTTTTGGTGCATTCCAGAGGAATGATCGGCTTAAGCTACCTAAACTTTTAAATTTGTGTAGTTTTAAAGGAGCTTGACATGTGAGATTCATTACACTGGATAAGAATTAACATATTCAAAATTGTGGTTCAGATCTAATACTGGTAGCCCCTTTTTTTACTCCACAAAATGGCATGGTTGCAAAATAAAAGAAAAAATGTACCAGGTAGAATCCAAGAATTTTTTTACATTTCAGCATTTTTATTGACATGTTATTATTTCTTATTAGTTAAGATTAGTTTTAGTCTAGTTAGCTGTTTTTGTATTTTTGTGGCATTATTTCCATAAAATAACAGTTTAAATATTGTACATTTACTAATAAATATCTATTACTGATTAAAAAGACTGAGTTTTTATCAAATATCTATATTAATGTAGGTATGGTATTTAATCCTTAGGTATAGTAATCAGTGTTTTGTTTTTGATTTCTTTGAATGGTTCAAAAACTTTATACACCTTCTTGATAGCAGAGATTCGGCAAACCCTACGTTTGGACTTTGCCTCAGCATCTTCTAGCCCCGGTGTTACTCCTAGCAGCATAAGACAGCCATCACCATCTAATTCCATCTTGGCAGATCTCGGTCACACAGCTCAAATGTGAGTTCTTTGTGTTTGGTAGTAGACCTAGATCTAATTTTTTTGTGCGTAGTTAATTCTCAAAGAGTAGTTTTTAGAAGTGCTTTTTTTTTTTAAACTTGGATTATGTACAAAAAACTGCAGCTTATTGTGCAATTTAAAATATTTTTAATGTGTGATGTAAGTGTAGTATTTTATTTTGGTGATTGTTTCATAATTTTAGTTTATTCCATTTTTATACCATCATATTAAAAACATGTGAAAAACACTGTTTTAATTTCCAGAGAAAGGCTTCGTTCAAGGGGATTGGAGAGAAGTGCTGGCAAACTTCAGATTTCTCCAGAAGAGGTAAGCACATTTGTGATAGATTTTAGACAGTGTTCTGATTACATCCTTTACTCATGCTTCTGTTAACAACAAAGTTTACTTAATAAACATTATTTTCTATTTGTTTAATTATATTTTAATTCAGTTTTCAAATTTTTTTACTATCAACTCTTTTCAGTCTTTTGAATTCACATCTGAAGATTTAAAAGATCTAGGGGAAATGGGTCGAGGCAATTATGGATTTGTTAATAAGATGATTCATGAGAAGAGTGGCACCATAATGGCTGTTAAGGTTAGTATCATTTAGAAAATAGTTTTGTCAAATAATATGAAATAATACTTTTATTTGAGATGGCACAATAGCTGAGTAACTTGTTACAGCAGCTGTGAGAGGTATAACCCTCAATCATGCTTGTACAGTGTACCACTAAACCTCTGCCTGGATAGACTTTTACATGAATAAATAACATTTCATGGTCACATCAGAAAACGTAAACAGAAAAACATGATGACACAACATTGTAATGTCTCCCTGGGGCACAAGCAAAACAATTCTACCCAAAATTTTCATACTCTTTTTTTTTTAAACTGCTTACAGCTTATAACAACTCACCACATTATTACCTACGTAACCAGCCTGCTGCTAAAAAATCTACAACCTAAATACTCTTTCTCCCAAAAAAACATTCAACCTCACCTTTGTGACAGATAATATAGATAATTCATACACTATATTTTGTGTGTTAAAATGTGCACTTACTTTGTAGAGAATTAGGTCAACTGTAGAGGAAAGAGACCAAAAGCAACTGCTGATGGATTTGGATGTAGTGATGAGGAGCAATGATTGTCCTTATATTGTACAGTTTTATGGAGCACTGTTTAAAGAGGTAATGAGCGCACAAATTATTTACCAAAATTTTTTTACATTTACCATTAAAAGTACTTAAAATATTGAAATTATTACAACATTGTTTATAAGTGGGCAGCTGTTATTATTTATTTTCTTTGTGTTTTAGGGAGACTGCTGGATATGCATGGAGTTAATGGACATTTCGCTTGATAAGTTCTACAAATTTGTGTATGGTGACTTACATTCATCCATTCCTGAGGACATTTTAGGCAAGATCACAGTTGCTGTAAGTTTTATTTTAGATGATATGTGTTTTCATTTTATGTTAATGATTTACTTTGCCTCAACTTGTTTATCTTGCAATAGTAAATGTAGGCCTAGATATAAAATACTGTTGGCTATTAACTTCTTTATATTTTTTTGGAGACTTAATTCTTTAAGTCTTGAATTATTTTCCATTGTTTGCAACTGTAAGATTTAATCTTTTGTTAGTCATCTAGATCTAAATCCCAAAACAAATTTTGTATAAAATGATCAGAATTGTCTATCTAATATTGTCCTAATATTCTTTCAAATAAAACATTGCATTGAAAATGTAATTATCTCTTTACAGACAGTCAAGGCGTTGAATTATTTAAAAGAGAAATTAAAAATAATACACAGAGGTAAGTATCAGCTATTTACTAATTTAATTAGTCTTCATTCAATTAAAGAATAAATCTTAAAATAATTAAAATGTCTTTTTATCAACTTTAGAATAGGGCATAGTTAAGTTTTGGCTTTCTATGCTAAATTCAACTTCTTTGTAAGTATATGCTGGCAGCTTTGTGTAGGGTTTTTTTGTTTTGTTTTCCTTTACAGTAGCCCAAATGATAAATCCATATTTGGTCAGTTTGCTCCTCTCTCCCCCCCCCCACCAATGTGTCCCTATTCAACCGGTGTCTGAAGGCTCAGTTTTGTGGAGTGTTGTCTACAACTTTTTTGTTCATACTTAAGCAATGGTCACTCTTGGCCACTGGCCAGAGTTCACCGCCTCTGTGGGCTGAGGCCTTTATCCATGTAGCCTACATGCAAATTTTTCAGGCACTTGTTTCACCAAGGCATATTCTTTGAAATTTTTGCCTTCCTTATTCTGGAAATTAGCATTTGATCAATTTTAACCCAGTTTCCAATTTTTCTGAGCCAGCTCTTAGTTGGGAGTGTCTTACGAATGTCAACTGTCACATCATGAAATTACATTGGTTGTTACTTTAGCTTCAACTTGGATTGATAAAAATTTACTTGTATTTCTTCAGTATGATAGTTTCATTTTGTAAATATCTGTCATTCATTTTTTTAATTATTCAAAAAACCATCAATTAACTAGCAGTCATGTCCCTTTGTTCTTCATATTGACTGCAGGATCTTTGTATAGATTGTATTGTCAAAAGCTACACAAATGTAACAAATACAAAACATGTTATATTATTTGAAGGTTTTAAAATTAATTTATAGTGACACAATTTTATACTTAAACTACACAGAGTACATTTTATTTATATCTTATGAGTCTAAAAATAAATATTTTGTCTTGTTGTCCTTTAACTTAACAGATGTGAAGCCATCCAATATTCTGCTGGACAGAAAGGGCAATATCAAATTATGTGATTTTGGTATTAGTGGACACCTTGTAGATTCCATTGCTAAAAGTAGAGATGCTGGTTGTAGGCCATATATGGCAGTAAGTAATATTCTTTTTTGTTGGTTTTCTTGTAAGTTTTAAATTGTGTCTCTGTTGAATTTTTAAGTTTTCAATTGGAAAAAAAATTGCACAAATTAAGAAAGTGTATACTTTTTGTTAAAATACAGCTAGGATATTATGTTATGATATTACCAACAAACACTTTTGCTTCATCGTGTAGCCCGAAAGAATAGATCCAAAAGCATCTAGTAGAGGTTATGATGTTAGATCAGATGTATGGAGTCTTGGTATAACATTGGTAAGTATTTTATTTTTTAAACAAGTTGAATTAGTACAACTTTGGCAAGTTTACATTTCCAAAAAAGTTTTTTTCTTTTTCCATCTATGCTTGTTGTCAGTGTTCAAACTTGCTAACACAGCAGAAATTGATATTCTTGTCTCATTTTGTATTGTAGATGGAATTGGCTACTGGAAAATTTCCATATCCTAAATGGCAGAGTGTTTTTGACCAACTCCAGCAAGTTGTACAAGGACTAGCACCAAGGCTACCAAGTGATTCCACCTTCTCAGTTGAATGTATCAATTTTATAAACACATGGTAATTGATTAGTCACATAACTTGTTTAATCTAAACAAATATTTGTCAATGTCATTTTGGAGTTAAAGAAAACATTTAGATAAAAAAAAATTTACATTACATTCATTGTAATTGTAATATTGCTTTGCACAAATTATTTTTTTAATACATTACTTTTATACATTTCAGTTTGACAAAGGAAGATAAACAACGACCAAAATATAATAAGTTATTGGTATGTATTTTAGTTTGTTTAATTTTTAATTTGAGGTTTTTTTAAACTAATGAATAAATAACTATTTTAAAAATTTTGTTCTGTTTTATGAGCAGGAAGATCCATTTATCAAAAGATATGAAGAAATAGAAGTAGATGTTGCTACATATGTCTGTCACATACATGATATGATCTTACAGTCTTCTCCAAGCCCTTCATTGTGTGAGCAGCCATTATCATAACAACTCTATTGTTTAGATAATCATCCTATTAAGACAAGAGACCTCTGCTACATTAATCATCTTGTCAGTCTTAGAAAATGTCAAGATGTTAATCTGATGGTAAAAATTACCAATGCAAATTTCTGGTGCAGGAAGATGAATGCAGTACACAGTAACTAATTTTCTGTGTACCAATATCATTATGGTTAACTTTTTTACTGCTAAAAAGTTACCATTTTTTCCTCATTACTACATTAAAACAGCAGCATTTTCTTTGACCTTTATGTTTTAGAGGGATTTGTTCATTTCTTTTTCAAAGGGGAAAGTAAATTTACATGCATACAAAATTAAACAGTTTTCTATTTCATCAAAACTATTTCCTAGTTGCGAGTATACTATTGTATTTATAATAATTTAATTCTTCCTAATTTGTGCTGTTTAACTTATTTTTAGTTTATGTTTGTAGAAATGAAAATTTTATTATTGGGAAATGTCAACATTTAGTTTCCAAATGAGAACATATATTTTCTTAAGATTTTTATCCATTGTTCTCATTTTTTTAATCTTATAGTTTTTAAGCCCTGGGGTTTATTCAGCAGGTGCCTTTAAAAGGGCTATGTCTGTACAATTTATCACTGTAGTGGGTTTTGTACCCATGACCAGCAAGCAATCTTTGATTTAATCACAATTATTATGCAATGTAAATTCAGTTGTTAATGCTTAGAAAAAAATGTTGAAAAGCTTATTACATTTTTTGTCATTGAAACTGATACCTGTGTATTTTTAAAATCTTTTTATTTAGGAAACTCATTAACATCAAATTTATTTACAATTACAAGATAGTATGTTGAATCCTAAGAACATTAAATATTTTGACCTTTCTGGTTAAGGAAGTATTGTTTTTAACTTGTAGTAATTACTGTTCTTTGTAAGTTGATCATTCATTGCTGGTATGAAATCAACTTATAATTAAATAGTTAAAAACATCATAAAAACTGAATATATTTTTTTAATCTCCAACTTCATGGTTTATTTATTTTTTAAAAAGTCTTAAAATAAAAAATATTGACTGGAGCAAGATGTAAACAAAATGCTCTTTTTAACTTGAAATGTACTCAACTTCTCTAGTACGTAAATTAGATCTTAAAAGGTTTATATGTTGATCAAATTTAATCTCTCGGCATATATTTCCAAATTAAGAAATGCTTTCTATTTCATAAAGTTATCTGAAAAAGTCAACATGTCGATTCACTGCAGAAATAAATAAGTTACTCCATTTAAATGATGTTTAGTAGTATTTACCATACAAACTATAGTCATTTAGGTAATGAAATTAGGACCTGTTCTGTATTTTATAATTTAGAACATTTCATTGGTTTCTCACGATCTTATTTATGCACATTTATTCCACCACTGAAGTTTACTTGATGGCTGTAGGTTGTGTGCTAGAAAAAAAATTAACCGGTTGTGTTCATGCTTTTAGTTCAATGGAAAGTTAAATCATAAAAATGTTAAGGGGGTGGATAGATCAATTATATTTTGTATATCAGCAAAACCACGTATTGGGCAATCCTAAGTTAGTGTCAGTCTGTTGCTCACTGCATTGTTCTGACAAAAAAAGCAATAATTTTTTTTCTCAGTGTGATACATTGGGGTGTACAGTTGTAGCCAATAACTTAATTAGGTGGAATTTATGCAAATGCTCATATACAAGTGTAGTTATTGATTTGTTTGTACTCATCATTCCATCATGTACATTGCTTTCACTCAAGTTTCTGCTTTTTATGTCAATGTTTTGAATCAAGATTCACATTATGAAACTTAAAAAAAAAATTTTTTGTTTACTTTGTATTATATAGCTTATTATGTATAAACAATTTAAATAAAACAAAAGATGTTGAATAAATACTGTGTTTATTTTTCTGTTGCTAAAAAACCAAGTCAGTTTATTAATACAAAGACTGGATTAGAATAAGTTTGAGTATTTCATTAGGTATATAAATTATACTTACAGGTGTATATATTAATTATAGAAGTAAACTTGCCATCATAAATGTATTGCATTTTTTGTGTTCTACCAGTAACTTTCATAAATTATTAATCTGAGACAGTCCATTAATATCATAATAAATTTCAAAACAAATAGACTAACAAAACGATTCCAAATCTACGAATCATTTCGTACACATTCAATCAATCTAATTCCACAAGTGAAGAAAAACTTTGTGTGGCAAACATAAACTAAGGAAAATTAACCACAAATATTGTACCTATAAATTACATGCACCAATTACAATTGCAAACCAAAAATTACACTGCATGTCAAAAATAATTCAGAAAATATAAGAAATCTTGCAATGAAGTAGAAAACATATTATACAACTAATTAGGCACAATTATGTATTAGTTAAGAAAGAGCACCTGGAAATCGAGCGCTGGGTAAAAAGTATAAATATAAGTTGTCCTTGATTTTATGAGCTTCTTAACACTTTCATTTCTTTCCATGTTTGCATGATTGGTAGGAAGCTTGATGCTATCGTTTCAAAAATCTATGGTTAGGGCTTGCTAAGATTAATCTGAAAATAAATAGGACTTCATTTTATTTAGTCAAACAGCCTAAATTATAATTTCAATTAGAAAATGTAATTATGTTGTGTAGAACCAACAAAAAAAAAGGAACTAAAGAGAAAATGTTCTGTAAAAAAGAAACAGCTCTAAAATTCAACCCAGATGCTCCACCAAAGCACAGTAAAGTGCCTTTTATAAATGGGATGAATTGGTCATACCACAAATGTCTTAAGGGTTGAAGATTGTCACTATAAACCCTATACAATTACACCATGACCCTAATTATACAAATCAAATGACCTTTCATTATTAAAGTTTGTCACCATAAAACTTTGTTTAAAATTGAATATCTCCACACACTGAGATAAGTTTCAGCAGCTTTGAGAAGTACGTTTATCAGTAAAACCTAAATTTAAATATTTAGCAGCATATAATTTTTTTTTAAATCTTTTTTTTTTAAATTTTTGTAAAATCATACTCTATATTCTTTTTTTAGTCTTAAAATAAATTTAGTGAAACACATAAATGTGTTCATGAACTACACAGTACCTGTAACTAATCCCAGCCAGTAAACCTCCCAGTGCAGGGCCGACCCAATAAATCCAATGGTTTTGCCAAATACTACTGTCAAAAGATGTCACAACAACAGCAGGACCAAAACTTCGTGCAGGGTTCATTGAGGCTCCAGTTAGTGCGCCACTACAAAAGAGAATACACAAAAATTTTATAAATATCCTGAATTATGTAGACTAAATTTTAAAAATATAAGATAATGTGATGATGAGTTTATTAATTCAAACTTGTTTCTATACGAAAGCCATAGTCTTTCATTTATGCTTCGCAGGTTCTCCAGTGGGAATTTACACATAACAGCTGGCACAGTCTTAAGTTAAAATATTCAAGTTTATTTATATAGGCACAAATCAGTTTAGATCTAATCCTAAACCTTTTGTCCTACACATTATTTCTACTATCTGACTGACTGACTACCTACAACTTTCTATCACTAAAAGAATGTACTCCTCAATTATAACCTAACTAATCCATGCTCTAAACGCAACAGCTGTTTCCTAGCACTTTTAATGTCCAACTGACTGTTGCATGTTTGAGTGACCAACTTCACACCATCTCTTACTGCTGACCTTTACATGTGAACTGGTCATCTCATTTTTAATTGTTCTGGCTATTTGAATTGTATTGGTTCTTACTTCTTAGTTCTGCTTGATCAATGGCTATTTCCTAACTTCTACATTTTCACCTTTCTGTTTTGAATTATTTCTAAATGTATCTTAGTTTGCATCATCACAGATTTATCTATAATTTATGGAAGAAATTAGGCAGCATCGTTGAGTGACAGATAGCTAAAAAGTTTCAAGTTCACTTAAATAGCTTGTCTGTAGTCTTAGTTTTATTGGGTGCCCGATTTGAGTAGGGGACAGTACAGGGAACTAGGCACCATTATGACCATAGGCTCTCTTAACAAGTCAAATGTAAAAAAAAAGATTTATTCTACTTCATCTGCCCTATGGATTATCAGGGTGCATAGGAACCAACTAAACATTTTAACAACAATCATAAAGCAACTTCAGCAGGCAACAGAAGAGTCCAAGCAGTTCTCATTTGTGCTCTACTTAGGAAAAGGTGGATACCCATCAGTTATGCCACACAAACCCCTTCTAAAAGCAGTGAACATTAATATCAAGGTAAGATGTAGGCCTTAAGACCAACTTCATCAATGCAACTAACCATCAAGTCTCAAAATATACTTTATTTTTGCATGTAATATTAAGTTTAAAAATACAACAAACTTACCCTGCAAGAATATCTACTACCACAGTAAAGCCAATAGCTAGAGGTGCTACCACACTCTTTGTACCATCGTCTACTGCAGTAGTGAGGACAACAGTGACAAGAATGGTTGTCAGCATCACCTCACATAACAGCCCTTCCCCCACTGTGGTGTTGGGACCAAGCTGATGAGCTCCGCCTGTGATGTTGTGGTATACATTGTTACCCAGAACACCCTAAGAAAATGAGAAAAATTACATATTTTAATTATAAAATTATCACTCAGAACACCCTAAAGAAATGAGAATAATGGGATAATTTTAGCTATCAAATTAACACCCAAGGAAATGAGAATAATGGTGTAATTTAAGGTATAAAATAAAATTATCAAACTAATGAAATGATAATATTGGCATAATTTTAGCTGTAAAATTATCACACTAAGGAAATCATAATAATGGCATAATTTTAGCTGTAAAATTATCACACTAAGGAAATCATAATAATGGCATAATTTTAGCTGTAAAATTATCACACTAAGGAAATCATAATAATGGCATAATTTTACAGCTAAAATTATCATCCTAATAGAAAATGAGGATAATGACATAACTTTAGCTATATAATAGAATATTATTGAATGTAAATGTTTTTTAAGTAAAATTTCTTACTCTTGAAAGTGCTGCACCCAGAACACCTCCAGCTACTTGTGATAGTATGAACAAGACAGCTTTAATTGCAGATATTGCACCAGCCAGAAAAACACCAATAGTTACAGCAGGGTTTAACTGTCCTCCACTTAAAAAATCAGTAAGTTTTGTTTTATAAAAAGAAAATTAGTACTTTTGCTTTAACCTAACATGGATAATAATTTTTTTTCTTTCATCATATATATATATATATATATATATATATATATATATATATATATATATATATGTTACGGTCAAAGCCCGAAGTCGGCCAATGCTAGGATTGGCCGGCCAATCCGCGCATTGGCCAATATCGCCTCCCATAGGTCGGTCAAAGTCCGAAACTTTGCTTGATTTCGGCCTTTGGCCAGCCAGTCCGCGGACTGGCCATGGTGGACCGGCCAAAGTCTTAATTAGAAGATCATCTGGCTAGGGACGATCGGCCAAAGTCTGAATTAGAAGATCATGGGCAGATTTTGGTTTTTTATGCCGTAAGGATCATGAAATTAATTCTTTATTGATTATTAAATAAAGTAAATGACAGAAACATTCAATTTTTTTATGGTACTATAGTCTCAATCTATCAATATTATCATTTGTTACAACAATTTGAACTTTTATGGCATTTAGAATTACATAGCAGCTTGTTATTTTTACACTTGCAGCGATTTGTTGTTCACTTAGTTGTGCAATTGCAGCGAGTGTAGCCTTGGCCCCCAGTCAATGATTGTGAAGATGCGATGGTTCGTAGTGATTTTTCCTCAGTGCCAACTGACGACAATAAGAGCAGTTTTTCGTGAAGAATTGAAAACTCACTTCTAGCATACAGTTGTTTTAGAACACCATGTTCCGTTCCTAATTTGTAGAAACCGCCCTCGACGCTCATGACAACTGCAATCACGCTTCGGGGATCATCGTGACCTCTGTCAACATGGGGAAAACGGATGCGTACATTGTCACCCACTTCACCATCTTTAAATTTTGTATTTGATGTTTTAAGCATCTTAGCACCTTGAGTTTGCAAGCCAGTATGAGCTGCTTATCTGTGTTCCATGATGTCTTGTTTGTTGTGACACAATCTGCAGGTAATGTTCCCTCCGTACCCTTTGTCTGCTTCATTGGGTATTCCACACATAGCATAGACATAGTTGCCACAGGATCCACAAGAATGAGCTGCACTAGAATGTTTTTCACAAACTATATAGAATCTGTTGACCACATTATTGTCACGCAACTGGTCTGGGCGTTCCGCCACGGCAATAGATGTGTTAGCTGAGGATGTCGTTGCATTTATGGCAACCTCCATTTCTTGTTCAATGCTCTCAAGATCTTCCTCAGTAACTATTTTATCGAGAGCCCATATATGGAAACTAACATGGATTTAATTTTTTTTCTTTTGACATCCATCTGCTATATCTGTCTCATGGTCTGACGGCCCTTTTGATCCATGTCGCCTTGCATATAGAATGCTATAGGGCTTGTAAGTAGGTCACAACTTCTCGTTCTCGTACTATGCAGCTAGTAGATTTCAAAGCCGTAGACTTACAAGCCCTATACAAACAAGAGCTAAACAATACGTTACTCTCAATGAAAACGCACCCAGAATAATGAAAATGCGATCACAACTTAGTCTAGATAGAACATTGGCCAGGACATCCCGGCCAGTGCGCGCATTGGCCGGCCAATGTACAAAATACGCTTTTAGTGCTAAGTTCTTCGGGCTTTGGCCAAGAGAGCTGGTCAATGCGCGGATTGGCCGGCCAATCCTAGCATTGGCCGCACTTCGGGCTTTGACCGTAACATATATATATATATATATATATCATGTGATATGAGTATGCAATATAGCTTATAGCTGTAACTTAACAATAACATGATACTGATATAGTTGTCAATTAAAATTTAGAGGTACATAACAGTTCCATAACAGTTAGGGTGACACAGGCAAATCTAGTGTAAGACTGCGTATCATAGCCATTTTTTTATTCAGAGCAATGACCACCTGATATTACAAAGAATAACAAATAAATCTATGGTTAAGTGCAGCTATATATTTTAATACCTTATTGCTCCTGTAGCAGTTACTAGCAGAGCTATTGTAAAACCGTGAGCTATGGCGATTCCCACTATGTTTCCACCAGTTCCTTCCACAGATGTACATCCAATAAACACAAATAAAGTTACCCCTAAAAATTCAGCAAAGCAAGGGCGTATATACTGTTCAAACTTGCTCAATTCAATCGCTGGTGTTACATCTCCACTTAGGCTTCTGTTGATTAGTGGCTCTCTCTCATTGGACATCTTATTATTCCTACTCTGTTTCCAATTAATAAAAGTAGTTTCCAATTAATAAAAGTAGTTAACATACAGTATTATTAACATGACTAAACTATAGGCCTGAAACTATAAACCTAGATTAGTCAGAGCAGTGTTTCTTCAAGATCTAGATCTTCACTGATTTATGAATGTTAGGCCCTCGAGTTCTTACTGGTCCAGAGTTATAAATAATAATAAATATATTTAAGACTAGCTAGCACTGGACTAGTAGATCTAGCTAGATTGTAGATCTAGATCTAGTATTTGTATAGACAGATCTAGATCTAAGAGAAGTAGATCTAGAATCTAGATATAATTTAGTAGTAGTAATAGTAATAAATAGTAATAGTATACCAGTAGAAATCTAGATCTAGATCTAGATCTAGATCTATATCTAGAGTTCGATACACTCCGACCAACTTGATTTCTAGCTTGGACTGATGTCTGATGAGGTAGCAACAAACGTGCTTACATTTTTTATTTTTATTTTTTTGCGTTTATTGCGCAGTGTCAGTGAGTTGTGAGCATTACTCAGTGATAGGCTAGATCTCTACTAGATCTACTCAATAATCCAATATTCTAGAACTAGATTCAATCTTCATATCTTAATAGAATTCTAGATCTAGATTCTAGATCTATCTATAATATATAGATAGATCTCTATATTAATAATATAGATCTAGATCTAGTCTAGATCTACCTAGATCTCTGTCGACTAGAGAGTCTACTAGTTGTTATGACCTTCTCTCTTTCAGTCTACTCTTGAATTTAGATCTAGATTCTAGATCTAGATTCTAGGCTAGAGATTTACTGACTTCTGACGGTCTTTTGTGTTCAAATAAGCTGAGTGACATAACTTGTGTGTCAGTCACGTGACAATTTAAAATATTTTTTTCAATTTATTTGAAAAGCCCGATCTGCGGCTAGATCTAGACTCTAGATCTAGAGGGGGGGGGGGGGGGTCTGGCTTTTTGTGACGACGTGTGACGGAGGGGAGGGGGAGGTAAGAATCGTCAAAAAAAGCGTGACGTTATTTCTGGATGACCCCCTAGACTAACACAAAATGTAAACCCAAACTGCCGAAAAATATAATATAGGTCTAGAATCTATTATGGTTTCTTACTTCTAAATTCAAAAGTAGGCGGTACCTAATCCTCATGGTTTCCAGACATTAAACTTACAGTGTTTCTTCCAGACTTTTTTCCTCCGGGGAAAAAGTGGGGGGGGGGGGGGCGGACACTGTAAAGGTATATATTTTCTATACTAATAACATTTCGTTCAGGGGAGGGGGCGGAGCCTTCCCGAAGAGATGACAGGAAGAAACTCTGAAGGCTTAGAATCTAAGTCGTCGACTCGCAGTATCCCCAAAAATGTTAAAAATGTTGAAAATTGAGATATTTAAAAAAAAAAGGACTTCTGGAAAATAAACAGTTAATAAGAAGGCAAAACGGATCTATCTAGATCTAGCCTATATACTATATGGTTATTGTTACCCTACATGCATTTAGTCAGGGTTAGCAGCAGTACGTTTCTTCCTCCTTCCCGTAACACGTTTACCGTCCTAGACGATAGTGCTAACATATTAAATTTGATAATATAATAAACTTTATACTAGACCTATAAGATCTAAACTTTGACAGTTTAGCCAGTGTCTGATTCTGCTCCCCACCACTAAATTATAGTAGTTTTAGTCTGTCTTCAACACTTTAAAATGGGATCAGCGTGTTAGTTCGATGTAAGCGGTGTTACCTCCAGACTTCTTGTTCTCAAGGGGGGGGGGGGGGGGGGGGGCGTACACCGGTAAAATAAAAGTATATATTTTCTATATAAATTATGTTTCGTTTGGGGGGGGGGGGGGGTAGACTTTTTTCGCCCCCCCCCCCCCCCTTGAAGAAACTAAATCTCATTAGCCTTATGCAATATGTAATAATGTGTAAGTTCAACCATTATTACAAGCATGATTTGAAAAAAAAGGTAACTTCTAGACTTTTAAGTATTAGATCTATTCATTATCAGTAATTTAAATGGACGATTTACCTTTCAAATGAATTATCATTAAAGGCCTAATAACTAAAACAATGTAAAAAAAAAACCATACCATTTTGAAGTATTTTAAATTTTCCAAAAGATCCAAGTTTTCTTAAGTCTGTAATGAAGTGTAATGATAACTTTTCTATGTAATAATGTGTATTTAAGTTCAACCATTATTACAAGCATGATTTGAAGAAATGGTAACTACTAGACTTTTTAAGTACTAGATCTAGATCTACTAATTGTTGTCATTAGCAATTAAATTGTAATTTGTAACAATAAACTGTTGTCTTTTGTGGAGTATCAGTAATTTAAATGGACAATTTACTTTGAATTTACCTTTCGGATATTTTATCTGAAGTAAATAGGCCTAATTAATAACTAAAACAATGTAAGAAAACCATACCATTTTGAAGCATTTAAAATTTTCCAAAAGATCCAAGTTGTCTGAAGTCTGTAATGAAGTGTAATGATAACTGTTCTATATATTTTAATAAAACTGAATGTCATTCTGTTAATCTGGCCTGTGCTTGTAATTAGATAATAGAATCAAGTTGATAAGCTAAAAAGATTGTTGTGCTTTGATTAAAGAATGGTTTCAGTACAGCAACTTGTTCGTGTGACCTTTGATCCTGTTAATTCTGTACAGTGAAAACATGTTTGAAGTTTTCCCATAAGGGAATTTATTGGATTGGTCTTTTAATTTGTCAGATGGATTCCTTTTATGATAATTAATCAGACCAAGTTTGTGTTAGCCTAGAGCAATTCAACTATTTTTACAAAAAATAATGAAGTGCATTGGTGAATCAGAGGCAACCATAACCTTTAAGCAAATGAAGGGTACTTAAGACTGAGTCTGTCAAGCCATGAGATCAAGAGAAAAGACAATTAGTCTTTAACTGGTCCCTTTTTGTAGGTCAACCCATCTGTATCAACTGTATAAAGAAGAGATTTAAAAGCACAAATTTAGCAGAAGAAAAAAAACTTTCATGTTCAGCACTTCTTTACAAAACTGTGCAGTAAAATTATTTTAGGAACAACTACCCATTGTATTTTTTGTCCTTTTGGTAATTGTGAACAGGTTTTTAAAATTCTTTTTGTAAATTAAAAACAAAGCTTTTTTTTTTTTAATACTGAAGATGCTGCGTCATTTGTCTACTTCATATCTTACTATCTTTATCTAATCACAAGTGAAAATTCTAAAAAAAAAGTGTGCTATTTATCTCTATGCAGACAGCCCCTGAGCCCATGTTGTATAAACTTTTATATTTGTAAATAGGCCACTAGATAAAACATTCATCAGTCCTTTAATCGCTTATCAAATGGATGTTGTTATAAAATAATATTCAGTCCTGATACAAAGTAAAAATCATGATTTGATTGCTAAATGTAATAGGCTAACTGCTGTAGTATAAATAAGCATACATTAAGACAAAGGTAAAAATTTTTTTAGAATCTCTTGTAAATTAAAAAGGAAGTTCAAACTATTAAAATTAACTATTTGAATGGTTGTGAAGTGAACATGCCTAGATATAAAAGCTGAGATCTTAAATATTATTCATGTTTGGAATGTTTTCCTCAAGTCATCCACATTAGCTCTATACAGTATAAATGGCTGGACACTTATGCCTGTGGTTTTGGCCATTATTTGGCAAACTTTATAAATCACCACAACTAAAAAAAAAAAACAGAAACAGTTAAAGCTACATTTGCCCAAATAAAAAATTTTAATATTTAAAATAAAGTAAGGTAAGCCTTTGCATATTTGCATCAGCTGCCACATATAAATATATATATACATACAATTTATAAATATTTACATTTTGTGAGATTTAAAATGTACCCTTAGTTCAATATACAATTATTTTTTTTTACTTAAAGTAAAACAACTTTAACAAGGTTCTAATGGTCCGTCCAATATACATTATTATAAGCTTGTAATTTCAGGGTGTCAAAAGTTTAAGTTAAGTTAAAATACAAGGTTTATTGGTTAAAATGTGATGTAAAATTAATTATCATATACATTTTATTACACATTTAGCTAAGTACATTCAAAGATAAAAATGCATTTATAAAATTATATATTACAATATGGCTTTGACTTTCAATTAGAAATATACCTAAAATTTAATATGTATTCAGTCTTATATTCTGTTCTACATTGTACTTATTTGATAATGTTTTAAGGCACAATTAAAGTATTTATCTGTGAAAAAAAAACATGTATCATAAGATTTATTTATATTAAAATGTCATGCATAACTTGTGTGTGTCAGTATTTTTTATCAACATACTTGAAAGACAATGTTTAAAAAATTATCACAAAATACTTCTTACACTGCCATTACACATTAAACAATTCTTCATTAAAAACAAAATATTAACACATTTGTACAAAATGAAAATAATTGCTGTTTTTACTAATAATTTGTCAAACAAAAAAAAAAATCTGTAACAAACAGCATTTAAAAATGCACCCATTTCAAACCAGAAATAGTCATGTTAGAAGGTAAAAAGACTATTTTTAGAAAAAAAAAAAGTGTCTTTTAACCTTACATTTATGGCAAATATATGTTTTGGGCTAAATAATATCATAAAATTGTGGGGTATTGTTCTTCAGCATCAATGTTGTTTGCAGAAATGGCCTTTTCTACCTGGTGAAACATATTCAGAAAAAGTGTATGACTATAAAAATTATCTTTTTAAAAAAAGGGGCTGAAATTTTTTGATAAAAGACCAGTGTTTACTACTAATAAAAAACATAGTTACCAGTTAGGAGTAAATTAAAATTGTAACTTTCAAGATCTAAAAAATTAAAAAGATACCCCTAAATCGTCCTCCTGTCATATGCTCTGGTAGCCACTTCTTGAAGCTCGTGTGCAACTCCACTCCACTATATTAAATCCCATTGTACCCAATGTCCCCATGACAACAAGTATCAGGAGCTGCCACTCCAGCAACAACACATTACTATAGTAAAACGCTACTGCAGCTGCAATGGACTGGGAAGTATAATACAATTAGAATATAGAAAGGAAACCTTCAAATACTTTAATTTTAAGTTTATTAATCTTTAGTTTTTAATGGTGTACTATAGTTATTTCTGTAGGTATTTTTCTGATGAAGACTTTAGATGTAATCATTTTAGCAATCAAACCTAATACATTCTTCAAAAGTTTCTTGGATTGTTAAAGCAGAAAAAATAATTTTAAATTAATTTACCTGTACGAATTTAAATAGTGCAAAAGCAGGAGAACTGTCCTCTGGGAACATGAAGCCTAGGATTGAGTACAGCTGTAAAAATGTAATCAGTTTTAAAATCAATACAACCCCAATTAAATCTTCAACTTCTAAAATAGCAATGATGTTAATGACTATTGAAGGTCACTTTTGTACAAGAAATTGTATTAAACTTTTTGTATTAAAAAAATTTGCAAAATTATAGGCCTATCACAGATCAATAATTTAAAAAAAAAATGACATAAAAAGAAAAGCCAAAGAACTTAATTTCTTAAGTTTATGACAAATCTTCAAAGAACCAAACAACTATGGCAACAAGTTGAACATAAAGCCAATACAACCCTATGGCCTTTATAATTAAATTATATTTCAAAATAAAACTAACAATACATTTTTTTTTAGTATAAATAAATTTACCTGCGTATTAAAACTACTGTCACCAAATCCAAGAAGAAAACTACACAGAATTGCAACATATTTGCTGTTGATATAACCAAACGAACAACTTAAAATGTGCTTCTATTTACTATTTTAAATAGATTTTTAAAATTATTTAACACTGGTTTAAATAAAAAGTAAAACAATATTAAAGTCAGACTTGTCTACTTTTTGTTACTATTGCAAGCTATAGTAATAACTTACTTTGAAGTAATATATGTAGGTTGATTAGTTAAATCAATGGGAGAATTTTGAGGCAAATCCAGAAATATCAGGAAAAAAGCTGTAATTTGAACAACATATCCCAATACAATTATGGGATCTCTTCCATGTGCATTTGTTTTCTTTCCTAATAGCCCAAACAAAGCTCCACCTGAAATTGTGATAGGTATCTTCCATAAATGAAAATGGTTTCACACTTCTTTGGACAACTTTACCTCCTCCCCTTCTTTCCAAATGACTCCATACTTTAACATGCCCCTCCTAAAAGAGTGATATAATTAACTGAGCTGGGTCAATATTACATAAATTGATCTATTTTTATTAAAAACCTTAAAAAACGAATGAATAAAACAAAACAAAATTTCTAATAACAAGCTTTTAAATGCACTGAAAATAAAACAAACTTGCATTAATAAACGCTTAGGTCGCTCTTACAAATTTTAGCAACCAAAACTTTTATTAAAACTATCATGTTTTTTTCTTATTTTATGTGCACTTAAAATTAAAAGCTTGTTATTATAAAGGTTTTTTAAATGTTTGTTTTATTTTCCACATTTTAGTAATATGTTCTAAATTAAGTTGACACATCTAAAAATATTTGCTTCAAAACCAGATCAATGGATCTAAAAGACAGTTATCTGCCCTAGTTCATGTTGGACACTCAGGCAACCAACTGTCACCAAAGATAGATGTGAACAACAGCTCAGCAGACAGATAGTATTCAATTCAGTAATCTTCTAGTTAAATTTTAATAACTAATGTAATGTCTAATTAGAAATTCATGCATTGCCATAGAAGAAAATAGTATCTATAAAGTTTGAATGAAGTTGCTGCATTAAAAGTGGGTCAAATTTTAGTGACAAAATTTGCCACAAAGTGATTTTGTGAACTAAGTTAAAGCTTGTAAAATAAAAGCCATGTTTAATTCAATTATTCAAAATTACTTATGAGCAGCCATCCCCTCAAGACCAAGGTCTGACCTCTTGTTTCAATTAAAAAGGGGAAAAAATGTCTTACTCATTTTGTATTTTTATACAACTACAAGTAAAAAGTTCTTACCCAAAATCTCCCCAACACCAATGAAAATTCCAGATATCCCCAGCAAGCCATTGGCCTCACTTCCAAAATGTTGATTGTGAGATATGCTTGACCCATACACTCCACTAAAGAATGTGAGTTCCAAACCTTTACATTTAAATTAAAATATTTATGAGTTTGACAGATTTAAAATTTCAACATTTTATTGTCTTATGCAAAAAGTGTTTTTTATAAATACCAAATGTTTTTCTTGTACAATTTGACAATTAAAAACAAATAAAAACTTATTTTTAGCTACATCTATGTTACTATTATATGCTACTTCAGAACTGTGAGTAGTGTGAGCTATTTTACTTTTTTTGTTTACCTGTGTAGGCAAAGGCCAATGAAAGTAGCATCATTTCTTTGGTTCTGAGCAGCTGAAAGGATCTCTCTGAAATTATTTGGTGGCATTCTTTACAAATATTAGTATATAATCAGGAGCATTCTCTAATAAGATTTTTTTAAAGATTTTTAAATATTCACTAAATCATCATTAAAAAAGATAAATAGACATTTTTATAAAACCAATAACTGAAAAATATTTTGTTTTATTTAATTTTATATTATTTTTAAGGGCAAACATTCTAATGATGGGTTTTAGATAATGAATTTAACTTTATTATTATCCATCAGTGCTAAAGTGAAAAAGACTTTAGAGTATTATATCACAGACAAAATAAAACTTACTTAATGTGGCGAGAGGTGAGGGGGGTGAATGGATGGCACTGCAACATGAACAAATAGTTCTGTAAAAAACTTAAAATTAATCTGCATAGATGATTAACTAAAGAGGAAAAAAAACATCCAACTAGCATTTTAAAGTCATTATTGTGGTGAAGAATACTTTAAATTATAGGCCTAGTGTTAAGGTAAGTCAGGAATAGAGTTAGGTAAGGTAGGAAAATTAACAAAAAGGTCAGTACAAAAATATACAGATATAATAAAAATGTTTATATATATAGTATATAGAGACATAATTACGTATTATTAAAAAGTCAATATAGTAATGAAATACATCATTAATCATTGTTTAATAAACTAAGATATATTTCAATGGTGACAGGATAAATGATCTCAGACAAAATATCCCAGACAAGATATCTCATGTACAAATGATACTAGGGCAAATGATATTTGTCCTGAGATCATTTGTCATGGAACCATTTCAATATATACTTTACACTGAATATTAAATGTTATTTGTAGCTTCAAAATAACCAGGGCACAAGGCTTATTCAGTAGGGAATCTGTTGTAGTAAAACAATTATTTAAAACTTAACAAGACTGTTTGCATTATTTTTATACTCAATAAATAGTAGAATTATTATTTAATCAGTAAACTATTAACCATAAACACCCATAGTTCTTACTTAAAGCTTGTAGGCAACTGATGACCTTGTCTGACCAGTGTTCCCAGTCTAAAGCATATAAAATTTCTACTACACTTAGATAAGCACCTGGCTCCAGTCAAGCAAAGTAATTGCATCTGGACATAGTGTTAACCACACAATCCCTTCATATACTGAGGTCATAGAAACAAACTTTACTTCACCTGTCATTTGAACTATCAGGTCTGAATAAGAATTATTTTTTTTTACAGTGCAGTATGAAGTTTTACAGACCTGGCATTCAAATTAAGTACATTGTCAGTGTCATCAACTCTTGGCCGACGCAATATAAGTAAGCAAAGACTTCCAAGAAGACCTGCTCCAGTTAGTGCAGCAAACAATTTTGTACGTTCAGATTCTGATATTTCTGATTTTCCTTGAAAAACAAAATAGCTGTAAAGGTTTCCAATGAGGAGACTGAAAAAAAAAGGCAAAAAATCAAAATTTATTTATTTAGTTGAAAAATATGACACAATGGGCTATGAAATCAATTTTTTGAAATGTTAACGTAAATAATATATAAGTGATAATTTTATAATTTTCAAGGACTTTTATACCTGCATTGCAAAAGTGCCCAAAATATACCACTGTTACGTGCAACAGTCTCTGCATTAGAGTTGATTGTAAGAAAATTTCCTTGAGCTGTCCATAAAACTGAAAAGGCAGAAAAACAATAGTAACTCATTAAAATTTTATACAATGTTTAACAGTAACAATAAACAAATAGTCTGATATTTTTTTAAAGTATAGTTCTTAATAACCAACTTGTTATTAAAAGGATACATTAAGTTTTACTAGATAAACAGAAATAAATCTATTGTTTGTGCTTGTTAATAAATGACAACTTGCTGCTGCAGGGAAAATGATGAGGTGGGGGTGGTAGAAATGTCATGAAGCATATATTTTGTATTTCTTATGGACAAATATGATTTTAGAGATGGGGGAATTAGACCATTTGTAAAGATGTGTAAAGGGAGGTAAAAACCAGCTTAAATTCAATGATATTTTTTCACCATCCTAAAAAAATAATGCTTGATACATCTACCAAAGTAGTAAAAACCCACAGAACACAACCCCACAGTAATATTATATTAAAAGGTTTAGTAGTACCTTCATTTATTTTTAAAATGCAAACTAACCTGCTGCTCCAAATCCAACTAAAACTGATCCAAGATATAGTGCCCATACCATTGGCTTGAGAAATGATGCTACAAATAGACTATAGAATTTATGTTAGTAGCTATGAGAGAATTAAAAATAAAATTATATAAATGATACACACTTCACAGTAAATTTAAGAATAAACTAAATAAAGTTACAATGTAATAATAATAAATAAATGAATATACTCATAAATAAAGCTTGTATTTAACCATCAAACAATTTCAAGTGTTAACTTACACGTAAAGTAATGATCCAAAAAATAAAGAAACCCGTGGACCAGCAGCTGTTACAAATGATGGGGCAGCCCAGTTTGAAATTGAAAAGACTGCATACAGGATGCCTAAACTGTGTGTAAAAGGTGTTTTAATTAAATAGCAATAAAATGCTTTAAAAATACACTAACATTCAAATCAGAATAAAATAAAACAAATACACTCTAACTTCAATGACATTTAGCAGTCCTGTTAACCTTCATGTATTAGAAAAATGTGAAAGGGCATTGGCCTTGTTGGCTGAGAGGAACCTGATCACATTTGACATGAACAAAAAAAATTGTTTTGGTACATTCTGAGTAGACTTAAATTTTAAGAATAAATAAAACTAAAGATGAAAAAAAAATTAAGAAATTTAATATTTTTTAATCAATGCTATTTTATTTTGCATTTACCAACTAGATGTTAAGTGGCATTTCACGTGTGTAGGGTGTTGGTAAATTGCCAGATGCAAAATGGCAAGGCAGTAAATAGAAGATGAAAAAGAAAATGCAAGACATATCTGCAGAATTACGGGTAAATAGCGAGACACAATTTGCTAGATCTTATTTTATGCTTTGGTTGGTTTGTTTTTCACCTGATGAGCAAGAAATAAAGTTATAAACTAAACAAGTAGATATGTCACATTTTCTTGTCAGTGGGAGAAAAATCCTGTCTCAGTCAACAGGTCACTATGAGTTCATAAAAAGAATATTATTTTAGTATGTCTAGTGACAGAAAAATCAGAAGATATAACAATACAAATGAAACATCTTTGAAGTCCATAACAAAGTTTATTGTAAATCAGGTGGGGTATAATTTTCGAAGACGACATTGACATTATCCACACCCAGCGTAAGTATCAGGTAGGGGCAAGATGAGAGACAAAAAAGTCATGGGACTTTTTTGTAAACCCTTCTCGCAATTCACTGCCTCACCATTTTGCGTTTCACAATTTACCAACTCCCACTTGTGTTAGACAAACTCTGATTGGCTATTATTCAAACATAGTGTTCCATTCAAATATCACTTTTTGGTGATGTTAAAAATTAAAAAGCAATACATTTTGGTTATTCCCTATTACTAGCATGACCTAGTTTTGTTTCTATTACCATAAGGTGAAAAGTTAAAAAAATTGTTTGTCATTTTCTTTAAATATTATTCAGTTACTGGAAAGATTATAACAAAATAAAAAACTAATACAAGAACCATAAAATTAATTTTTTATAACCACATGTTTCTATAACAATGCACTAGATTTTTAACTATGTAATCTCTGCTCAAAGAAGGTGCCAGTAATACTCAACATACCTTGTATATGCATGTCCAGAAAATCCCCCTGCACTATCTAGAACAGTTTTCTGTGATAATAAATAAATATTAGCAGTTTATAAATTGTAAAGCTGCTGATTTCAAATTACTGTTACATTACAACAGCTTCAATAAATTTGTTTTTTTTTTATTACGCCTAATCAGTGGCGTAGGCAGGGGGGGGGGGTTAGGGGGGTCATACCCCCCCCCCCTCGGTATATATAAAAAGTATGAGGGGGGGTGCAAATCGAAAGTTTGAGGGGGGTGCAAATCGAAAGTTTGAGGGGGGGGGGGTGCAAATCAAAAGTTTGTCCCCGGGTAAAAATTGGAACCCCCCTTGAGACGATCCTGGCTACGCCACTGCGCCTAATGCTTTTTTATTAACTTTTGTATGTGTGTGCTTACTGTGGCAGTTTAAATAAGTGTATATAATTATGTAATAATAACCATCTGTTACTATTTGCATTTACTTACTACTGGTGACAGAGAATAGAGATCAGAGGACTAGACTTATCTCTGTTTCGGTTAAATAAAATATTTTGGAGGCAATTGTTCTTACACACAAGTATTTAGTCACAACATTAACATATTTTTAAAAAAACAAGTCTTGTTAACTATATGTTTACCTATTAAATAAAAAAGTAAATAAAAATACTAGACTAGTACAAAAATACTCTAGTTAATAAGGAAATTGTGTACATTTTGTGTTTACCATTTGTAAAAACACAAAAATTATCATTCTAGGCCAAGTAGGGCCTACTTAGTACTTTTTTATACAAATTTTCAATGTTATGAACATAACATTACTGAAAAGTTTCAATACAATTGTTTAAAAACAGGTACATAAATGAAACTTTGAAATTTTTTTTTTAATTTTAAAACAAATCCTTCTAAAAATGTGAAATAATTACTAAAATTTAAGTAGTCACCCTTTTTCACATTACAAGTCTTGGCCAACTTTATCCAAAACGGGAGAATATTTATACCGGTGTCCGATAATGGAATCTTATTTAAAAAAGGGGTGTTAGGTTACTGGTAGTTAACTAAATACACACATGGCTGGCTAATGTCAATGCTAGCCCTGTCCCTTACCCTAACCCCAACCCTACCTTACGCCTAACCCTAATTTCTAACCATAAAATTAGTTGAGATTACAATCCTACTATCAACCCAACACACCTATTTTATGGAGGAGTCTATTATCGGACACCGGTATCTATAATCATCCCCTAAAACGATAGATTATCTTAATTAAAATATATTGAATATTAGTGCATTATTAGGTATTAATTAATTGAAATAAATTAGATTAGTTAGGTGCAGTTAGGAAATGTTAAAAATTAGGCCTAGTTGAAGTTGAGTAATCTATCGTTTTAGGTACGTAAAATCGCCCGCGGCTATTCATGTACGAAAAAGTTACCTCATTGTCAAGGCTTTAATTATAGTATATTGTGATATATTTGTGTGAAATATTATAGATAAATGAATAATAAACCTAAATCAATGGCTAAATATATCAATATAGGCCAGAAATTAACTTAAAACAGCAGTGTTTGCGAGCAAGATTTGCTATATAAACAGCATCCATTTTTAAAATAGAGTGGCTTCCCCTGAATCTCGCGCTATAAGTTTACAAAAAAAACAACTGCTATTGTAAATGAGCAAGGTTGCATCTGTTGGAAACATCGCTAGTCTTTATTTATTACTGACTGAAAAGTTTTAATTCAATTGTTTAAAAACAGGTACATGACCACACATTTTCATGCCCCTAGGGTATTTTTAGCATTAAATTAGGTATTCTAAATGAAATTTTCATAATGAAATTAAATAAAATTTAACACTTCCACCTGATAGGGATTGCTTTCATCAGAACAGAAACACCAAATTTATTGATGTATGTCCATTTTTAAAAAAGTTATGAATTTTTTAAAACTCGAAAAATGTGTTCACTTTTCGAGCAGTAAAGGGTCTATTTGAGACCCCTACTAACTTCTAAAATTACGAAGTTAGAACTCACAAATTTCTTGCACACACAGCCAGTAATACAAATAGCAAACCCAATTTTTTTCAAGGTTGTCAGACAGATATAAATGGAAAATTTATTCACTTAAAAATGAGCCAAAGCACAATTTTACCAAAGTACGAAAAGGGAGACAAAAAGTCAATTTACAGTCATTTTTAAAAAATCATATAAAATAAACTAATTAAGCCACATTGATAATATAAATGTTCTAAGAAAGGAAATTCAAAGCATGTTAATATGAAATAAGCAGGTAAAGAATTAATAAAGAAAGTAATTAGTGAGACCAGATTCTGCAAGGTCAGTTTATAAAAAATAGAAATTTCACCCTTTTTCAAAAAATGATTAAAAAATATTAAAGTAAGGTATCTTAATAAATTTTACACCATCTTAAAGCACATGATGTTCTTAACATATAATAAACACAGAAACATAAAATAATCATTCTGCAAAACAATATAAGGCATCCTTCCTTAACGCCCAAAATCAAGAATTTTCATTACCTAACATCTTGCAAAAAGTGTCCTTACTTTTAAGAAAGTAATATAAATTGTGTAGGAAACATGTTAGCATTACTTTGTTATAAAAAAATTAAATAACTATGCTATTACTTTACTTATATACTTACTAAGAAGAAATTTCATGCCTTTTAAACACTGATGAAGTAAGATAACTAATTAAACTAAAACTCTTTATAAATGATCCTAACTGTTAGCTTTGTGGTGTTCATCTAGTTTTGTTACTCTGCTCCCTAATCATGACATGCTTAGCCTAAATTTACTTGTTATCAGTAAATTTATTTCTTCTAGTTAGTTATTGATCAATGTCAACTTCTGGAAATGTCTAGGTCCTAACTTATACAATTATCAGAAATCTTAGAGCAGGTTCAAAAAGACAGGTCAATATCCTGATTGGGAAAGTTCTCTATGAGGTTGGGTAGCATTGTAATTAATAGTCAATATCTTGGTTGAGTTAGTCTTCTTCTTCAAGGTTTGGAGTAGCATTGTAATAAATTATTGTGAACTGGCAGCACACATCAAATTATGGAAACTAGTAAGGGATCTTTCCATTGGTCCAGAGTATAGAAAATGTCTGTGAATAAAAACAATTAATTAGCATTTCCAATATACTGAATTATATAGTAGGTCTGTATATCTTTATACCTACTTAGATATCAATCATGTAACATTACATCATTATAACTAATAAGCAAAGTGAAGAAAATACTAACATCTGACATATGGTTTCCTTCAAAAGTATTCAGTAGTCCTGTTGGTGCTTACACAAACAATACACATTTTTGGCAGGCCTTTCAGTTTCAGTTTCCCCTTTCTTTTGCTAATATCTTGCTCTGTAAATAGAATAATATTAAAAGTAAGGCTGCTCAATGCTTTTTTTAGATATTAAATGTAAACACTTTAGATAGTTCTACTACTAAATATTAACATGAAAGCAATAGTGAATCTAACTAATCTAAGTAGATCTAGATCTAGAAACAATTTTGGGTTAAACTATTATGGAAGGGGGGCTACATTTTATTTTAATGTCGTCAGTTCAATAAACCTAGAGATAAGAAACATTAACGATCGTAGTATTCTAAAATTTAATGTAATTACTGCAATTATATAGAATAGTTAACTATTAAACTAGGAAAAACAAAATAAACAATGCTACAATAAATTGAAAGTATGCTGTTAACCCTGCGTAATATAATAGTTGAATCCAACATTAAGAGAAGGCAAAAAAAAAAAAAATGGCCGACAAGCGGCTTGAAATATCGACAATATATTGATAGTTTAATCGGTCGATGTTAGTAATTAATAAAATTCACGAATACAAATTAAATTCTATCACTCTTATAAACATCTTTTTGATTTAATTGTGCATTCCTTTTTTATTTTGGTAATCGTAAATTAAATACAAAGAACTTTTAAAAAGGTCTAGATAATTTTTTGGTAAATGTTTTTTTAAGCGTGTAGCAATTACCGATAAGTGGACACTAAAATGCAAAAGGTTTAAATCAGCAGTTTATTATAAATAAAATGAATATAGCTAATAATTTATAAAGCACTTAACTTACCTAGACATTGTTTAAAATCCATGGTAATCCGCGAATAAACACAAAATCCTGCTTTGAACTTGAGCGGGGTGTTCCGTGACATTACGCAAAACTAGATTTAAGCCGGCAAAAGTTAGCGCGGGTCATCACGATACGTATGCGTTCGTTTTTATTTCTGCGATCCGATACCATACATTAAGTGTTAATTAAATTATAACATTTTTATAGTAAATTGGACGCCCGATCTGAATATATAATTTTGCCGGCTGTAAAATATTTTTTTCGTGTAAAAAAATCATTTGAAACTTTTAAATCTATTATTTTTAGCATTAAATTATATTTTACAGCGGGCAAAGTCATATCATCTTAAAGGGCGTCCATTCTACTTTCTATATTAGTTTTCAGTGTAATCGTATGTATTATGGTATCGGATCTCCGAGCGTTGGCGCAACCCGACCAAATTTTTTTGCGCGCAGTACGTTTTTTTCGGCTCATTTAGAATACCTAATTAAATCTATAAAAAACGGTCACGACTGAGAATAGCCCCAATACAGCTATTCACATTCAACTTTGCATAAAAAATGAAACAAGGAAACTTTTTTTGCATTTTTCAAAACAAAATAAATCCTCCTCAAAATGTGAAATAATTAATATTATATAGTATATATAGGCCTAATTAATAAAATTTATGGAGTCACGGGTTTTTCACATTACTAGTCGCGGGCGATTTTACGTACCTAAACAGGCTAAAGAAATAGATGAAATTGTAATCTATGGCCTACTGTGTCATCTGTACTGTGTGTGTACTGTGTACTACTGTAATTTCAACTTGTAGGCCTAATTTTTTAACATTAAATTTTGGTAATCTATCGCCCATTCTTGGAAGAGACCACTGTCGGACATCGGTAATACGTTTACTTCCAATGACCCATAAATAAATACATAGGCCATAATTACCTCAACCATAGAACATGTTTGAAATGCGGTAAATATCAACATAAACGAGAACCCCAAAACAATTATATTGAAGAGTCTTAAGTCCGCCATCTTGGACACTATCACATGATCAATGAAAAATTAGTGGATCACAAGGCCATGTTTCATTGGGGGAAAAGCGATCAGAGTTGTTGGATCAAAATTTTATTATCATTTGAAGTAGAAATAATATATAAAAACAAATATTATTGCATTTCTGAAATAAAGTGTTTATTTTATAATTTAACAGAGCTGGCTATGGCCTATTATTTTTATCTAAATCAAACCAAACGTTACAAATTTCGTTGTTTTTTATTTCAAAAAGTTTTGACGGCGCCGTCACTGCGAAATGAAAAGGAAACTCAAATTTCACCGAGATCTCAGTGATGCTTATTTATGTGCGCATGCGTACATCCTCCCGCCTACTTCACTGTGAAAGCCATTTCCTGACCTAAAAAACAGCGTGGATGTCATTTTACTAGATTGATCAAGATCTAGAATCTAGTTTTTTTGACTGGTTGTGTTTGCCGTATTTTTTGTTTTTACACAAGTATGAGTGGAGGTTACGGTCGAGGACCACCTGCTATTGACGGAATGGTGTCGCTGAAAGTGGATAACTTGACATACAGAACAACGCCAGATGATTTACGCCGAGCTTTCGAGAAGTATGGCGACGTTGGTGATGTTTACATTCCCAGAGATAGATTCACACGAGAAAGTCGCGGATTCGCTTTTGTTCGATTCTACGACAAACGGGATGCTGAAGATGCGATGGATTCAATGGACGGCGCCCTTCTTGATGGCAGGGAAGTGAGGTGTCAAATGGCTCGGTATGGACGACCGTCGGAACCTCACAGGCGAGGTCCACCAAGACGTGGTTATGGCGGTGGAGGCCGAAGAGGAAGGCAAGTGTTTTTTTTTTTTTTTTTGCAGTCGTAGACCTTCATTTTTAAAAATGTTGATAAAAAATACGATAAATTACGAACGTGAAGTGAACAATGAAAAAAAAATACGCTAAAATGGCGTTTTATCCGAAAATGCTGATCACATTTTGCCGCCCGCCCCCCCCCCCCTCCTCCCGCTGTAGTGGTTGTTTTTGCAGTTAGATTCTAGAGTACCTTACACTTTGCGGACACACACCGCGAAAATGCGCATCTTACAACTTCCATGCAGTCTCATTCAGTAACCGCTTAACATAGAAAACAAAAAAAGTATCATATCTATCCGAAAACATTCTACTTTAATAATGTGTGTGTCATTTTGTATTCATACGCATAGAACTTTAGCTATTCTTGTTATAGTGGCTGGGGGGTCTTAACATGTGTCCGAACACATGTAATACAATTTTACATGTGTTCGGACACCTTTACCCATCATCGGACAAAGCACTTTTTGTTCATTTAGAATAATTTAAAGTCAATTCAATGAATAAAAACATTAAATGCATTTATATTGTGTTATTGGTTGTTTGTGAGGTAATTTTAATAGTATAAAACCTTTTCCCACACTCCCTAAGTTCATCCCATTCAGCCACTGCCACTCGCGCTGTTTTTTGCTGAGTCAGCCAGGTCACATCAGAAAACGGAAGTACTTGATACGGAAGTGTTCATAAATGAAGTTTACGTGCAGGCGCTGTGTATTCGCATGAGACATGCTAATTAAAGTTTCTATGAACCAAAAACCGACGAAGTGTCCGGACCTATGTAGTGTCCACGCTTAAGTAAACTTCTCTAATTGAGATATTTATGAGTAATTAGTTATGTTGATTTGCCTTTTTTATATCGAATTTCCATATTAGGTACCCATGCAGACATATTTTTAGTATCGTGACGTCATTAAGTCTTAATGTTTTAAATATAATTCAATTGTAACGTGTGCAGAAAAGGTAAAATTGTGGAAATTATTATTGTATTAGTAATTTTATTAGTATATTGATTTTTTTCTTCACTGTGGACCTATGGTAGCTGCATTGAATTTTGGTTTTTGCTGTAAGGGGTGGTTCACACTAAGAAGAGCTGAAAACTTTGCTAGTCTATCGGGATCTCCATATTATTTCAGTGCGCAACTTAAAGTAGATTCTCAACCATCTTGATCAAGAAATTTTGGAAATATAACTGATTTTTTTGTCTTTGTTCATATGTGCTTTCCCGTGCCACTGCATATAAATATATATTAAACAAAATGGATTGTTGTTTTTGGTAGTTGCTTAGTAAATTCTATAAAAGTTGTATGTTACTTTATCTTTCATAGGTCTCGGTCTAGATCCCCAAGGAGGAGGAGACGTTCCAGAAGTAGGTCAGGCAGCCGCTCTCATAGTCGCTCAGCAAGCCGTTCTCGCAGCAGAAGTCGTGGAAAAGCTGCAGGATCTCGAAGTCGCTCTCGATCTTTTGACCAAAATGGAGCCGATGCCTCAGACTGAATTTAGGTTGAGTTGTATCATTTGGATGTGAACAGCAGCTTTTTGCTACATTGGCACTCCAATTTTGAAACAAAAGGTGCTTCTCAAAGCTGTTTACACATTGAACTGACATTTTAACATTCTGTAAATATTTCACACATTCTGTATTGTAGCATATTGTATTACTGTCCATTTTTAACAAACAAAAGAATAAGATTTTGTGTGCATGTGTTTTATATTATTTTCTGTTAAGTAAATGTGGTTAAGCATTTTTGTGGTTGGTTGGTTGGGTTTTTTTTTTTAACTGTAAAAATTTAACCATGGCAAGCTATTTGGTTCATTTTACACATCATCACATTCATTGTGTCTATGATCAATAAAGGTGTAAATATTAACCTAATCTCTTTTCTTGTTTCCCCATAACTGTAGGAGCTGGTAAGGCGGGGTTATTAATTGCTGTGGCAGACAGTGGTGCAATGGCGGTGCAGTGCAGAGATTGCTGTAACTGTCGCTGTCGGGTGTGGCTGTAAAGATAGCAGCGGGGTGGAGTGAAGGGTGTTGGAGGAAAAAAAGCATGCTGTATTAGTTTGGTAGACCCAGCTGGCAGACAGCGGCGTTGGTGTGATTGCAGTCCTGTTGTTGGTGTGATTGCTGTTGGTTAGGGTACCTGCCAAGCATGGTGAAAAAGTCTGCAGTATAGTGATTGCAGCCACCTTACCAAAGCTTTATGACTGGTCTACCTATGAAATAGTGGATGTTCTAGGTTATAGATTTGACCTGATATAAGGTTATAGCAGATGTTTTTCACAAATGATGAGATACCTTCATTATGACTAGTTGGGCAGATATAAATGTGACTTTGTTGAATTGTCCTTAATGTTTGTTGGAAAGTTACTGCTTACAGTATTTTATTTTGATTTTTAAACTGGTTTCTAGCAATAAATGTAGATAGAAAGGGTCTTACTTACCATGCAGTTTATTTTTTTTAAATCTAGGATCTTGGTCTGTTTCAGCCATTCCTTTCAGAAGTCATGCTTATGTTATTTTTCAAGTTAATGCCTTCATTAATTGTAATCATGGTAATATTTAGATAGCTACTGGTAGGTATTGTTGTAGCACTCTTCAATGCCTCTGTATTTTGCAATTTTTTAAATGTAAGGTTTTTTTTTTTTTAAGAAAAGAAATGATACTTTTATGAATATTTTTGTTTTGGTTTTTTTATTTTAATTTTGAAATAATGCCTTAGGGCACTAGTGTGTATATTTTGTGTTCTTATCAAGGCAAAAAGTTATGGATAGTACCATTGACTAAGGTCACTAAGGATGAAGCTGGCTTTCTATTAAGGGAAATTCGGGTCATTGATGGTGGAATTTTGACTACTTAAAAATTTCCAAGGATCTCAAAATTTATTTTACCATTTGTTTGCTAAAGCATTATCTAGTTCAGGGATCTCCAAACTACGGCCCGCGAAGTCCTCTCATCCCGCCCGCGGAGTTGTTTTTGTCCAACGAAAATCGTTTGGCGGTGATTGCTGAGGAATTTTGCCCAGAAAAATCAAAGAATTGCCTGGAAGAAACTGGCCCTCGGACTGAAAAGTTTGGAGACCCCTGATCTAGTTGTTGAACACATAATTGATAGCATGAGGATTTTGCTGTGAACAGTTAGGTATAGATTGTTTTGATTCAATGTTAAAGGGTACAGCTTAAGTCTGCTGACGCCCCATTGCATAATAATTTTAAGGCACAAAATTAGATTCTTCGTACATTTTTATTTTTCAAGTGGATCAATCCAGATTTTTTACTAGAGCTGGTAAATTTTGTCCAAATGACGTCAGAAGACTGTAAGCACCCTGCACCACACTAGGCTCCCTGGAAAAGAATGTTTAACGTTACAGATATGGCCTACAGAAGTAGTTTTTGATAAGAACAAAGCTGATGGAAACATTTATTGCTACGATCAGCTGAGCTAATTGCAAAATTCATTTAACAAGAATTTACCATTTATTAGAAGTCAGTATGCTATGCCACTCAGAATTAAATTGTTCAGTCAATCTAATCTGTAGTCTTAAGTAGTTCTCTTCAAACTTTAGGCGTGTCCACTCCTTTGACCTTTTTAAATGGTATTGCAAGTATTTGTCTGTGAAATAGAGTATGATCATTTTAATGGTGTGTCTATTATTTGTATTTACTTCCAAAAATAAACCCCTACAGAAACGTTAACAGCTGAGATATGTACAAGCTTAAGGGCAGGTTAAACCCCCAAATTGAAATTTAGAAGTTGTAACTAACATAGTATATGAAAAAAATCACTAAAAAGTTATGGTTTTGTGAAAATATTTTCTAAAAAGTGTCATTTTTAGGGTAAAATAGCTCAAAATTAGCTCTCATTGAAATCACAATAACACAGCTTCTGCTTGTCAAAATAACACATCTTTAACATAGAGTAATATACACAATTACAAAAAAGATGAACTAAAACAATTGGAAAATAATAAAAAATGGATTTTAGTCAATTTTTGAAAATGTGAGACCTAAAAAATTTCCAAAAAGTAGGGAGTAGACTTAGCTTTTTATTTTATAAAAATGAGCCTAAAAAATTTCCAAAAAGTAGGGAGTAGACTTAGCTTTTTATTTTATAAAATGAGAAGTTTCAAAGATATAGAAATTCTTTTAGTTCAACTTTACAAGCAGTGTTTATTAAACGTGTGCAAAATTTGAGCTAAATATCTCAAGTAGTTTTTCAGTTATACTGATTTAACTGGTACAATTTTGTTGAAAAGTAACATAATTTGAGAAAAACGCTAAATTGTGAAAAATATACTAAATTTAAAAAAAAAAAACGAGAAAAAGTGAAAACTATACCAAATAAGTCATTTTTAAAACCTCCCAGTTACATAAATTGCATCTGGAGCCTCTTACTCAGCAATAAGAACATCTGTTTTAGTTAGTTTTTAATTTTTATGTTGCTTAATATAGGTGAATTACATTATTACTCTCATTAATTAAAAATTATAAAAAATACCAGCAATACGAAATTTGGCAAAATGATTATACAATGCTCAGAATTAAATGTAGTTTCAGAAATCAACATTTCTGACTTAAAATATGTATTTTGGGGGGGGGGGGGGGTTAACCTGCCCTTAATTACATTTTAAAATAACTGGATATTGAAAAACTAAACTCAGTCCCATAGAGGCCTATCCATTGACCAAATCAGGTAAAGGGCATCCAGAGAAAACAAAAATGAACACAGGTTTACTAATAAACCTATATTATTTCTACCACATGTAAATTCAACAACTGTTCTCTTAGTTGTAGTACCTTTTTTTTCACAATGGTGATGCTGTCCTGTGTCCATCCAGCAATGATCTTGGCTACTTTCTGTTGTGTTTACATCTTGTGGACTTGCAAACTGAACTGCATAGAATTTAAAATACATCTTACTAAGTTAGCAATACATATTCTCACATTTAAAAAAAACACAAAAATATATTTGAATTTAATTTTAATATGGTGGCATTATCATTAATAATAAAAAAAATTCTGCTTTAATTATTGATTAACAATAACATGTCAATTTCTGTTCAGTCTACCTTTCGAAAACATTTCTGCTTCATCTTGTAATTCAGAAAATTTGTTAAGTACAAATTCCAAAATTCTTTTTGCTCTGTAAATGCTTTCAAATGAGGAATTCTCTGCAAAATAAACTGTTTTACTTAATACATTGAAAATTACCTATATATATAATTCTGTTCTTGGAGACGATAGAAAACACCAAGCTGTAAGCGCGCTCCCTACCACCCGTACATGGTCTGGTGAGCTGTGGTTCAAGCTAAATGTTTACTATCGTAGAGCCGGGTTTAGTGACGGCTATTAGGGGCAGATAATTTAGTTTGAAACGATTTTAAACTTAGGGGAGGTAACTAAGATTTTACTTTCACTGGTGGGGTGGGGGGTTATCGTCCTTAACGAGCTACTGACTGATAGTGTTTTAAAGCTAATATTTTCAGTGGCAGCATTGGTACTGTCAAATTCACAAATTATGAATTACTGAACAGTAGAAAATAAAACAACTAAATAGCGGTGTATGATACGCAGCGTGTCGACTTGTTATTATAAAAATAAAATAGATCCTGAATACAGTAATATTTTTACCTGAAATTTTATCCAGGTGAAGGTTCTCTAAAGTTTCACTCAAAATTTGATGAGATCTTAAACATGTCAGTGCAGAAGCTTGTGTGCGTAACTCTTTTCCAATCTGAGTCTAAAGCCAATAATGTAAAACATTTGCCTTTAATTAGCTGCATCCAAAGTACAACTTCTACTCCTAAAAGTTTTATCACTTCCAATGATGACAATTTTATAATGAGGTACAATTACATCACTTTTTTGTAAGGTCTAAGATAACAAAAGATTATTAGTGTATATCCGTTACCTGTGCTTCAAGTTTGTCTATGAACTGTTGTGCTGGGTCTAAACAACCTTTATGTTTAGTTTTAGCTGCATAGCATTGGTCCCTGAGAGCCTGGGTTTTTAATGCAAGTTTTTTCAATTTTCCAGGAATCTTTAAGCAGCCACTAAGCAGTAAAAATAGAATAACCTTTCACCATTTAGCCCAGCCCAGAATTGTTTGGAAATTTTGGTTATTGTATAGAGTAGAGATACACTTTTTTAATAATTACCATGACTATAAGCTTAAAACACCACTTATTTTTCAGAGCTAGAGATTATGCATTTAACCAGAGTTAAATCATTAAGATTTAGTAAATATGAGTTTAAAGTATTACAATTTACACGGTAATGTAAATGAGTAAATTTAAAATGTACACAGGATATTTAACACACCTTGAGAGAGTGAATTCTTGCTCAGGTAAAGACCTTGTTTCAGGAATGTCTTCACCAGTTTCCAAAAAGCCTATTTGGTCACCAACTATTTCATTATCAGGAGCTGCAGATGAGGGTGTACAATTATTATTCTTGTTAATGGGACTATGCAAAACTTGGGCTTTATTGCTGGATCTTTTTACTTCTTTAGCTCCATTTTTCTGGCACTGATCTAATGGCTGACTTGCAGGAACAGTATAAAACCCTGAGTCTTGTTTTGATGCTGGTGTTTTCCTCTTACTAGTGGCTAAAGTGCTTTTGCTTCTTGGCAGTTTGGCTTGTTCAGTTTTAAAGGGGGCCAACAAATGTACTGGGACATAACTGCTCCTAGAACTTGGCAGTCTAGTACTAGAAGGCCTGGTATTACTGCTAGGTCGACTAGTTTTTTTATCTGCTAAAGTACTATTTTGTTTTAATTTAGATGAATTAAATGCATCAGATTTAGTGGTTGTAATTCCAGGCAGTTTAGGTTTCATAACAACTTGACTGCTCTTATTCAGGTTTTGAGGTGTTCTCTCTTTACTTTGTAATTCTTTCGGTTTAAGATCTTTTCTTGGTGGCTGTTGGTTATCACCTGATAAACTTTCACTAGAGTTAGCAATTGATGTCTCAATAGCTGATTCATTGTTCTTTTCTTCATCTAATACTTCAGTTATCGTTAGCTTGATGAAGAAAAATATTAAACATACAAGTTAGTGTTACAATGGTAATTTTTTATAATTATTAAATATAGGCCTATTCATGTAAAAAAACACAAAAATATATTTGAATTTAATATTTTTGAAAACTCATTTCTGAAACTGAGAGAGTGTTAGTAAAGCTAGGATAACATTAATAACTTTCATGTTGTTGCTCATATTTTTACTACTACAATATGCTTACTGGCATCAATTATTTGGTTTTAGTTTTAGTCATAGTAAACTTATTGTCTGAGTGGGTGAATCTTAACACAAGATTCAATTCTGATAAGCAATATAGCAGATGATATATTTACTCACATCACCCACAGTATACAATTTTCCATTACTTATCCTTCACCCTTCATTTCTTACTCAACTGTAGTAAAAAAAAATTAAAAGTTCGTACCTTTGATTGAAGTGTTTTCTGTGCTTTGCTTAAAAGTTCTTCAACTTGCTTTAGGGTTTGCTTTTCTTCAGGTCCAAAATCTTCTTCGTCCAAATGTTTTTCTTTGAGGGAAAAATAATAGGGAAAAAAAACGTTATTTTTTTTTCTTTTAATTTAATTTTTTAATTTATTTTAATTTTAATGCAAGTAAATGAACATGTCAAGTTAGGGATGACCTAAGTTTTCTGATATTCTTTTGTAACAGTATGAGTAAGGGGGATGGCATTTCCAGTGCAAACAGATTATAGTAGTTTGTGACAAAACTTGTTTTTCTTTTGTTTTGAGAAAACAAGTTTTAGAAGTGAATATTTCTTAGAATATGCTATATGAATTATGATTTAAATTATCAAATTCTGAAAGTCAGAAGAATTGAAAATGGGGTGGAATACAATTTTCTTGGCCAAAAGTAATACAAACTACTTAAAATAAACAACATAATACCATTGAACAGCTGGGATTTTAACTGAATCATTTAAGTCTCTAAATCAGAGTGCATTTAATATGGTGTTGTGTTGACTAATATTGTATTTAACTTGGTTTTAATTTTTCTAAAAGTTAAAGGTATGTGTAGCTTATGTTATTTTAAATGTGTTGGATTTTTAACTATTTAGTATAATTTAGTTATTTCTTTGCTTTGTCACTATTATCGCTCAACGTATGGTAAAGTACATTGCATTTTGACCAATAACTATTTTATAAAATATTTTTCTCAAACAAGTATAACATTAAAATATTGGGGTCTATAATTCACGTGTAACTGGTACAGACGGCTAGTTTGAAATATTGATCTAACTGAAATATTACCCAAATTATGGGTATTTTAGAAACCTGAAAAGCTGGTTATCAGAGGTCACTCAAAAATTAAAAATAATCCAAGTATAACTATAACTGAAGTTATCATTTTCACACAGAAATAAAGTACTATTTCCGGAAATGGTTCAAAAGTTGATAGAAACCTCTGCAATAATGTGATAGTGATACATGAAATATCATCTGCTTTAATGGTACTCTAGTTATTGGCTTTTGGGAAACTAGAAGTTGAGTAAGTACCACTTCCGGTAACCAGAAATTACTTAAAAGTTGATAGAATACAAAACATACACATTGATATAAAACTTGTGTATGAAATTTCGTCAACCTGAGACGGTACTCAAGTTATCGAGTTACACGTAGTCTTACAGGATTGCAAAACTAAGTTTTTCCGCACAATGCATCTTCTATATTTTGTATACCTTAAATTATTCAGTACTTCCTCTACACTCTAAAAGCGAGGAAAGTAAAAATAACATACAGTAAAAAAAACGTAGGGAAAGTAAGAATGACGTATTTTTTGTAGACTAGTACTAGTACAAAGCTATGATAATATACACTAAGATGAATGCCTTGATTATTTATATCATAACATTAACACATCACAACCCCCCATCTCCCCCCATCACTAAAATTGTTACCAATTAATAACCACCTTTCAATAAAGTAGCATAAAATAACCAAAACACTAACAAACAGTATACAATGAGCATAGCAAAAGGAACCAATACTTTGATTTAAAAGATTGTGTTCACAAAAATCCTTTATTTTTCCTAAACTTTTACTACCTTTAGTGGTAACTGTATCTTCTTTCATTTGCTTGGCTTGATCAGATTTTCGTTTAGGCCTAGAAGAAACATGCAATATATAAAAGTGCATTACAACTACAAGGATATGTATAAGTAGGCCTACATGCTGGAAATTAACTTAAAATGTTTAAAGAAATTCAATAAATAGAATTACCAAGGCTTCAACAGCTCTCGTAGGATTGCACACTCTGCTTCTATAATTGATATTTGTTGATTTACTTCTTTAATTTCTTGGCAAAGAATGCTGTTCATTCTGAAATACAAGCAAAATTAAATAAATAGTATTATAAATAGCAAATGCAATGAGGTATAAAAATAATTTACCCCCACCCCCTCTTCTCATAACACTTTGACTTTCACAAAATTACGGATACTTGTACTTGTTCTATTATAAATTTATTAAGGTTGTTTAATTTTAATTACTTTTCATAAACTTAACTTGCATCATAGTAGAATAAGTAGATATTATTTATCATATTACTGTACTGTAATAGTTCAGAGATCTATTCTATGGGCACTCTCTCTTTGAAACAGAGATCTATATTCTATAATGATATATTATAGTATAATCTAAATTATAATTGTACTCTATACTAATAGTACTTAGAGAATTTTAGTACTATACTCTTGAAATACTAAGTATTACATACAAGTATCTAGATCTACACTCACTTTTGACATAACAGACACTAGTGACACTAACTAATAACTAGACTAGTCATTGACTTTCACTAGTGTGAAACTGTGAGTGTGTACTGTGGTAATGAGTGTAGTGTGTAAATCTACTCGAGTACCTTAGTTTAGCGTCTTAAATTCGGCCTAAACTAGTAATGTGGGGGGGGGGGTGAATTAATGAATATTTGCAAAAAATGTACGTCTACTGAGCTACAGTGTTTTCTAAAGTAAAATCGCCTCTTAGTCTTATTTGACCACGGACTAAGCCATCCGCTATGCACTGTCGCCATGATACGGCTTCTGAATGATATAATTTCTGGTTCGCGTAAATACCGATAGATGATCAAATATGCACAAATACAAACTAGCCCAGGCTACCTTTCCTTTGGAAAATTTGTTACTTTAGGTAAAGTATCTTTGCTGTCCTAGATTTAGATCAGGCCTACTGATCAGTATAGATGTTATTTTCAATGTTCCAGAGAAGCAAAAAACATGAGTAAGATTTTATGCCTTATCCCAAGGGGAAGGGGGTTGTCCATTAAATATGTAAATGATGCCACTCTCTTTGGGAGGGGGTTGTGTGAAAAGGTGGTTCAGAAAGTATGATGGCTTTGAAATAACAGACAGACACAGATGATGATTCAGCTCAGTATGTTTTTTAGATCGCTCTTTAGGCTGGAAGTGTGAGATCATTCTACAGTGTCTTACTCTCATTAATGTAACAATATGTGACAGTAAAGAGGGGAAGGTTAAAAATAGGCATTTTTAATGATTTATGATTATGAAGAACAACCACAAAATAAGGGTGGAAAAATTAGTAATTTTTGTAAACACTAGCTGTTTTTTTTTTTTTTTTTGCAGTTTTTATTTTAGTGCAGAGCTTGAAGAATAGTTAATAAAGGCTCTACTTCTAACAAACAAAAACAGCACTATTTTATAAATACAGGGCATTATGAAGAGACACTATGAATTTAGAAAAATTGACATAAAAACTTCAAAGCCTCACATATTTATTTCTATGCTTATTGAAGACATAGGCAAAATTTATATTACAACAAAAATCTACTTTCATAAATTCAACACCACAGACATCTTCCAATTTGAAGCAATATCTTTTTACCATAAAGCTTCAGAATCTCTTTTCCAACTTGTTTCTACAGTTATAAAATGTTTGTTAACTTTCAACAAATTAATTCTCTATTTACATAAAGTACATAGTGTATGAATTATTCATACACTATGGAATAGCCCTATAGAAATTATGGGATGATGTGACTACTTTTCATTTTAAAATAAATATGGTCAAGAAAGAAAGGTCGTTAGGTGATCTGCTGTTCTTCCAACCCAATTATATTGTGGTCATAAAAACAGATGAACTTTACTTTATCTATTGACTGTCAAGTCCAAAATGAGTATTTCCTCTTTTACTATAATTATATAATAACTACAATTTCGAATTAAATTTCTTAAACTTGTATATGGATTGGCACAGTACTTTTGTTATAAACTATTCTCTAAAAAGTAATTTTTAATACTTGTAGTATACTGAGGATGTAGAAGTAATGCATAATAATTTATTTTCTTTGCTTATCAAATATTTTAAAACATCCCCTACTTCTGTAATATCATGAAGTTTTAGGGTGAGCATTATTGAATGACCACATGGCTCTCAATAGAAAACTGCATGCAATAAAGGTGACTAGTAATGTAATGACAATGACCAGAGGTTTATCTTTTTCCTGCCCTACAGGCACAGTCATGTGTAATGGAGCAGTACTCTGAGGAAAGATAAATATGTCATGCATTATATTATGGGATACACAAACTACACATATCAGTTACAGATAAAATAAAACAAAAATTTGATTTAGTATATTAGAATTTTGATGCCTTTTGGGACTAAGGGAAATAATTTGAAGTTTAATTAGCAGTTCTGCGTATAGATAATGGTGAACTTACACTTAAGTAATGTAGTTGTGTCCATTGACATACAGCATTGTTCAGAAAGCTACAAGGAGCAGATATGGCATGATTTGGATCTAAGAATACAAAAACATAATAAACTCGAGTCATAATAAATGAAGTTGAAGTAGGTTTTCAAAATACATTCTAAATTTTTCAATGTAAATTTAAAATCGACAAAAAGTTAAGAAACTAGTGTGAAAAATAAATTTAAAGCTCTCACCCACCCCCACCTCTTTAAAATACAGCACTTGTTCTAGTTTTTTATTCTTATCTTTTAACTATTTAAAATATTAGTTTTAAAAACTAACAAATACTGAAACAAACTGATCAAAATATTTAAAGTTACCTAGTTGTGAGCAATTAGAGTACAGGCCAGGATGTAGCAAGGTAATGGGTGAATGAGTAACTTCTTTCATGGCTGTTGGCTTGTGATAGCGAGCATGTATTGGTAAACTAATATTAATCACAGTGTTTTTGGAACTTTGATAAAACTTGTAGTCAGATACTTGAAGAAATATATACAGTTCAACAGTCTTTGAAAGATACTCTGGAGCCTCAATATTCACATCATTGTTAAATAAAACCTGTAACAAAATGTTTTTTTGAGGTCAGCATAATCTACATTCGGATGCCAGAATAACAATGCAATTTTAATAAAAAATTACTATTTATGTCTTTTAAGAGAGGTGAGATTAAAACAGAACAGAGTTTCTTTCAGGCATCTCTTGTGCCCCAACTCCAGAGAAAAATGACTAAAAGAAACTCTAGCTTAGAAAAACGTGTTCACACCATTAACCTACTTCTCTACTTCTAGACTATCATCATCATCATCAATCCTTTGTGGCCCCTGGGGAGCAAAGGGCTGCAACCACACATCTACATCGGACTCGGTTTTGGGCTGTTCCCTTTATCTGTGCCCATGTGAGCCCAGCTGTTTTCACCTCTTCTTCAACTATTCTTCTCCATGTCTTCCTTGGCCGGCCCACCCTCCTTTTTCCCTGGGGATTCCAGTCCAAAGCGTATTTTGCAATGTTTACTTTTTCTTTTCTTAATATGTGTCCGATCCATCCCCATTTACGGACCTTGATATCTGTCTCTTTTGGCTGTTGCTTTAAAGTTCGCCACAGGTCTTTGTTTGATATTTTGTCTGGCCATCTTATTTTAAGTATATGCTTTAAGCATTTGTTTATGCATGCCTGTAGCTTATCAGTATTTGTCTTAGACATTAATTAGACATAAATTAGTCAATAGAAAACATTACCTTAGGACCACCAAACTGCACAAGTGAACTCAGTTGAAAAGGATCAGCATAGACCCCCGGAGGTAGGCTTTGTAACAGAAGTATTGAACAACCTTTATTAGAATGCAATGTCCTGATGTCATCTGGAATCGTTATGGTTGTTATTAACTCTCTAGAATAAAAAATAAAATAAATAACAACAATGAAATAAGAAAAATAGTTGATCATGCAGTTCTACTTAGTTTTAACCATGTAATAATTAATAAGTGAAAAAAAATGTTTGCACACATACCTATGAAATCCATGACCCAATAGATTCCAATGCATTTTTAGGTTTATGTTCTGTGTATGTGTCTTTATGAAATGTACTTGTAACAGCCACATTAGAAAAAACAAAACAACCATTTTTCATGGCTTTATTAATATAATGCAATCTGTAAGAAATAAAATTTGAATAATGAAGGTTCAGTAGCATTATAAGAATTTATTACAGTGGAGTCGCTAGCTCGGGTGTCACCAGGTGTGGCACTTCATGGTCTCACCCCCCCCCCCCCCCCCCCCAAAGAAAAAAAGTATATATGTGTGTGTGTGTAGGCCTACAACATTTTTTGACTTGGTGTCACCCCCCCCCCCCCCAAATGGTGTCACCCTGTGCAGTCCGTACCCCCCCCCCCCCTCCACTGCAAGCTCTGATTCATTGATTTTCAATCAGCATTGTATTGAATTAATAATTTATATTATGTATCTTTATATATATATATATATATATATATATATATATATATATATATATATATATATATATACAGGACCCTAGGATCGTCCTTCTCAAAGACAAAAGGTTGCAGATCCCTGGTCTAGCAGTGTATGAGTGTAGTATTATATATATAGTATATAGTGTATTTAAATATTACTAATCAGTGAGATTAATAATGTAATGAATTGTAAAGTCAATTAAAATAAATTACTAATGATTATCAAAGTCACAAAGAAGTGTAATACTTATCTGATCTAGATCTATCTATAAAATGGGCCTCTAACTAAACTGTCTAAAAAAAATATTTAAATTTCGCTTATTTCGTCGAAACCGATATTTAGTATTATTTACCTTTTTTGTTGATACTTCCGGGGAAAAACGTCAAGATTTGTTTTGTTTACATTTACACAATTTTTAAAATACTAATCAGTACTACTATAGATTAATAAAAAGGAAAACACTCTTTTTAGAACGATTCAGTTTAGAATTAGATCTAGATCTACTCTAGCTAGATCTATATTTTATTTCTTTTAAGTATGGGTAGCCTTTTTGCTAAGAAAAAGCCTCCTAGTCGAGTTACAGAACAAGATAAAGCTGTTCTTGTACGTTCATCCTCCTTGTGATTTTTTTTTCGTTTCTTTCTTTTTATCAGTTTCTAATAATTATTATTAGATCTAGATCTAGAATATACTATAGGCCTATATTAAACTATATTTAATTTATCATTATTAAATCTTTAATGAAGGCCTATAAAATATAAATAATATTAGTATTATTAGCAATATTAGGCCTATCCCTGCCCTAAAACTAAAATATTGACAAATAATAAATATTAATACTTATTTATTATTTATTTAGTTGGTGTAAGAAAAAAGAAATGACACGGACTGGGCCTGTGTTCAATCCTAATCTAATCAGTAGTAAAAGTAATCAGGCCTAAACTCTAAACTAGTCATAACCAACAATTATGTCTAATTCATTATTCACTTCAGCATTTCCCTAACAATAAAAACAAAATCTCTCAACACCCATGTCAATAAATGGGACATATTATTAATTATTATAATGATATCATGTCATCGTTTTGTTGAACTTAAGCATACAAATGACAAATCCAAAAATAATGCATATATTCGTATAGATCTAGATCTAGCTAGGGCCTACTATTTTATTATTCATCTAGATGTAGTATGTGTTCATAAGATGAACATTTTGAAATATTTTGTTTACCCAATACATTAAATTAAATTATCCAAATTCTATAACCATTTCTGATTGTTTGGCTGTTTCAACTTAGGTGGAATGGATCATTGTAAAAATATAAGATACATATTATATTATCCAAATGCTTGTTTAGAATGTTTAAATATATAAATAATCATGTTTCATCTTTTCTTCCAAATAAAACATTCTATTTCAGCAACTGAAGCAACAAAGAGACAAATTGAAACAGTACCAGAAAAAAATAACAGCACAGTTAGAAAGGGATAAAGAGGTTGCAAGGGCATTGCTTAAAGATGGCAAGAAAGAGTAAGTTATCACCTTATACCAAATAAAACCTCTAGTAACTAGACAAATAACAGGTTGGGGTAGGGCGAAATTGTGAGGGGGTGGTTTACCTTCTTGGGACAATGGTGGAGAGGAAGTAGGAAAAAATTTTAAGCATGACAATTAATCATTACTCAGAAGTACTTATAATTTTTTTTATAAATTACTCATTTGCTTTGGGATTTTTTAAGTCATTTGTCTTTTAAAGCAGTCAGTGAGTATCTTTGTGAATGATGGGTTGGTTTGTAAAGATTATGTGTGCCCCCAAAAATAATCTCATCAGACATGATGGTCTTAAAAGATTTTAACACGTTTTTCTTAACTCAGCTTCGCGTTTGTTTGTTTGTTTGTTTGTTGTTAAAATTGACATCGAAAATTAGCCCACTTCTGATTGCTCTAGAGACCTGAAATTTGGCATGCATGCTACTTTCGCCTAACAATTTCAGATGCAATCATAAAAACTAGCAATTAGTGACCGTAATTAGCTTAATTTAATTACGCCCCAAGGACCATAAAATTGAGGACATGATTTCTAAAGATACCGACAAGACTTGAGGCCTATTGACACAGTTACTTCGGCCCCAATCGATGTGAGCGCGCTGGCCGTGATCGTATAGTGGTTAGTACTTCGCGTTGTGGCCGCGACAACCCAGGTTCGAATCCTGGTCGCTGAAGATTTTTAGTCCGTGTATTTATAAACACTTTTTTAAAAACCACGTTTTTCATGTGTAGCAACGGACTAAAAAGGAGAAAATAAAATACTTAAAAAAAACTTTTTAAAAAACCACGTTTTTTATGTGTAGCAACGGACTAAAAAGGAGAACGGACACGGTAACACATTGTTAACGGTGACACGGTTGGTACGCTGGGCATGCTAAAATACACATAAACACGTTTTTCCTTAACTCAGCTTCGCGTTTATTTGTTTGTTTATGGGAGATTTGATCACGTGAATCGTGAGTAGATCTCCACGCCAGCAACGTAAATTACACCCTTTCTCTGTTTAAAGCGTATCGGTCGCTCAAGATTTTTTTAGTCCGTGTATTTAAAAACACTTAGTCAAGTCATACTTAATCAAGTGATTAGATAAAGTAGAAAATAAACTATATAAAAAACTTTTTAAAAACCACGTTTTTCATGTGTAGCAACGGACTAAAAAGGAGAAAATAAAATACTTAAAAAAAAACTTTTTAAAAAACCACGTTTTTCTTGTGGACTAAAAAGTAGAAAATAACTATTTACATACATTTGATGACAAAAAACGTGGGTCGGGCAGATGGGTCGGGAAATTTGATGGTGAACGTACCCACGTTTTTTGTCATCAAATGTATGTAAATAGTTATTTTCTACTTTTTAGTCCACAAGAAAAACGTGGTTTTTTAAAAAGTTTTTTTTTAAGTATTTTATTTAAAAAATGTTTGTAATATTGGTGTATGTTGAAATTGTACAATCAGCACATTGTCCAGCGATCTTTATTACCCTACTTAATTTTTGCTTCTACAATCTTGGTCATTAAAGTTTACAGTTTTATTTCTCTTGGTATACCTATATATTTATTAAGATTCACTTCCATTGCTTTTAAAATATAATTCTATAACAATAAGATTATTTTTGAGCATTATTATTTGCATGTGTTGTGTTATCTTACCTAATTTTTAATTGCTGTTGTTTCTTTTCATCTAGTAAAGCAAAGCTCATGTTAAGAAAAAAGAAATTTCAAGAGAGTCTACTATCCAAAACAGATGGGCAGCTTGAAAATATTGAGAGATTGGTAACTAAATAGCAGATTTTGACAAATTTAAGATTTACATAATGTTACAATATTTAAACTCTCTCCCCTCCCTGTTTTTATTTGATGTAACATTTTTATCTCAAATGATATATTGGATTATCTTTTTTTCAGGTTCATGATTTAGAATTTGCCCAAGTAGAACAAGAGGTTATCAAAGGTTTACAAGTTGGAAATGCTTCTCTGAAAAAAATGCATGAGGTATTTGTTTTACAAAATAATTTTGTTGTCATAAAATATTCTACTTCTATATTTAAAAATAGGTTTTTAACAGGCATTATGATGATTTTGTACCAGTTTGATTTAAAAAATAAATTATTTAGCCCCTTGAGTTTAATTTTTTAAAAATTATTTTTGAATATAGCATAATTTTACCATGGTGCAATTAAATAAGTTTCTGATCAAAAACTTATACCTAATTAAAACATTTTGTTGTCATTAATCTCTTTCAAATGTTTTAAACCCTACATGCTCTCCTAATTTAAAAAAGTTGAAATGAAAAATTTAATTTGGGCAAATACAAAATAGTTTTCTGCAAGAAGATATAATACTAGTTTGCTCTATGTGGAAATTTATAAAAATGTTTTTTCAATAATTTGAAACAAATATTACTGATCATTAATTCACATAAAAACAAAAAATCATTTCCTCTGTAGAATCAAATTGTAATGGTAACATTTTCAGATTCTCTCCCTTGAAGACGTTGAAAAGATTTTGGAAGAAACTCAAGATGGCATTGAGAAGCAAAGGGTAAGTTATAATGACAATAATTAAAGACAGTATAGCAAAAAAGTAATTTTAAAGACACAGTTTTTAGCAGACTTAATAATAAATCTTTAATGCTATCCAGCAAATTTTGGTTAATAAAATAAAAGGGTGATAATTTACACTTCCTCTACTCAAAAATTATGTTATGGTATCAACCCTGATTAATAGATTGCATTTAAAAGTTTCTGATTTCACATGCTTAAAATAAACTCCCTCCTTAGATGTTTCTTTGTCTGCAATGATGATAAAAAATATTTAACAATCATGAAAATCCTCACTTTGAAACAAAAATTTAAAATTTCAGGAAATTGATGAATTGCTATCAGGTGGTTTAACAGCAGAAGATGAGAGTGATGTGCTAGCCGAGCTTGACCAAATAATGAAGGTTCATTTAATTCTGTTCATTAAAATACAAATAACTATTATTTTGCCATCAGCATTGTTCAAAAACAATATTAAAAAGTGTCCCTTTCACTTGATTGCCAGTAATTAGTATTTATTTATTACTTACGTTACTTATATTATTAGTATTTCTTGAAAGTTGCTTATGTGTAATAAGTTAAATTCCAAGTGTTTTACTTTTTAAGATGGGTGAGTTGGATGAAGAAATCAATTTACCAGATGTGCCTAAAGAAAGAATAGGAGGTATGTTTTCAGAAAAAATAAATGTTTTTTTTTATTTTTATACTCGGCACAATTTTTAAATGCTATGACTTGTGGGTAGTATTTTTGTGTTCTTTCCTGCAGTTAAAAATCTTCTCCAATTGATAATTGATTATTTGGTGTGGGTTGAAATGGGAGGTGGTAGTTTTAAATTTGATTTTTGGCTGACGACCATTATTTGATGGATAACTAGGGTCATCTAGTATCTTTTTAAAACAATGTTAAAAACTGATGAATCATTAAAAATCCCAGAAAAAATGTATATCAACAAAAAATTAGAAAATTATGTTACATCCAATATGAGCATAATTATGTATTGATTTTCTGTCTTTTACATATCCAATAGAGCCGAACAGAGCAAAAGATTCACAGAGAGAGAAAAAAATAGCTGTTCCCGCATCTTGATTAGTCATGGCTGTTATGAAAACTTAGAAGCTATTTAATATTTTTATTAAACTGTAAATATTTGTAAACTGTTGACTGTTAATTTTTTTTACCATTTTGTCTGCTTAAATTAAGAAATGTTTATGTATATTTATAATCAGTATGAGTGAGTGAAAGTAATATCTGTTAGGAATTTAAATAATTTAAAGTATTATTAAAAGAATGCTAGTGGTAAATAAAAGTCTGCATAATTTTTTATTTTTTGCTGTGGCACTTTTCTCTTATTTATTTTGTCTTATTAAACTAAAAATATTCATAATTAGACTTTTTTAAACAAATATTCATAATTAGACTTTAAAAACAATTGAAAATCTTTAAACATCAGTTAGCAAAAATAGTGTGTCTTATGAAATCAATAGACATATTGTAAATGATACCCAAACTGCAACAAATTAATTTTGTTTTACCTACATTTTACCTACATTCTAAGTGTTTAACTGCAAACATTTTAAATAAAACTGCTTTTTAAAAAGTTATGAATTCCTTTCTTTCAAACAATAGATTAGTAAAGGCAAAGGGGCACTCCTAATTATTAACCCATGAATGTCCAAAATATAGATTGTTTAAATGTATATGTGCATATAAATATGCTTATATACATCATGTGGTGTTGATATTATATTTTCCTGTTAGTGCCTAAAACACATGGGGCAGATGAAGTAGAGTTCATCTTTTTTTTGTGTGTGTGTGTTGTTATAACCCGAAAAAACTCTTTCTACAAAATTATAAACCCACTATTTTGGGGGTTGGGTGGAAAAGCACATTTCAGTACCAGGACTTTTTCAACCCTTCTTTCTGTAATTCTTGAATGATTTAAAAGTGTATATTATCAATACATAGTGTTCTCTCAGTTATTGCAATTAAAGTTCCTGGCTCTCCATCTTCTGCAACATAAGGGCACTGTTCTGTAATAATGATACATTAGCAACTAGAATGATGATTAATTAGCTCTGCAGTAATGATGGACGCAACTTTCAGTTAAGTCGTAGATGTAACAGATCTCTTTGTGTGAGTAATGAACATAGCTGTGGGCGGCACTGCTTCATTACTTATGTAATGTAAACATTCTTTGTATGGTGCCCTAGCACTATCAGTTGAGCATATCACTGCAAAAAACAAACCATACTCCAATCTTCACTGAGTTGTTTAGCTTTTCTGGCCATGGTTGCAAGATGTTCAAGTGTTAGGACAACCTATTCCTCAGCCTGTCTTTCCTCTACTACGTGTTAATCCAGGTCATTGTCTGTCACTGATTGAGCATGATAAATATTTAACATTCATAATTTTGACAAACCCAAGCAAGAGTTGATAAACAAGGTGCGAATTAGCAAGGGTATATTGTAATACCTAGAGGTAAGGGGGTCTTTCATTAATGACTTCACATTCTCTGGATGATTTTTTACTCCCCCCCCCCCCCCCATTTTCAAACTTCATCACTAAGCCAGAGCCCCCAACCTTAAAACTAATTCACAACTCAGCAAACCCACCCCACCCCAATTTAAAAATGCATTTTTTGTTTTTAAAACATTCCATCTAAAATATTTACTGAGCTTGACTATATTAATCATACATATATATATATAATATATATATATATATAATATATATATATATATATAATATATATATATATATATATATATATATATATATATATATATATATATATATATATATATATATAGGCACGTATATTTAGTCACGGCCCGTGAAAGCAGCCGTCCGTGCCGACAGTTTACAGACAACAATGAAAATATCAAGCAGAAACTGTTACCTTCTCATAGTTTCAAATCGTTTGAATACTGAATTATCTGCCCCTAATAGCCGTCACTTCACTGATCCGACCCGGCTCTACGATTGTAAACATTCGTCGTGAACCATAGCTCTCCAGACAGGTTGGGGTGAGGGTGGTAGCGATATGCCTAGAGAGTGGGGGAGTAACGGCGTTACGTGGTGGTGTCTTGCATGGTCCCCATGAAGAGAATTATATATATACTAGGCATTCTGCCTAGCTTCGCTTAGGTTTTCAAAAACATTTGATAATTTGAATACTAATTATTTGGTGATGGATGAGGCGTGGAGTTCTTAAATCTAAACAGTAATGCTAATTTTAGAGAAGATGTTGTATGTTGTTTAATATCCGCTTTCGAAAATACGCAATTTATAACTAAAATGGAAATAGAACTACAGAGGTTCCGTGAACAGTATATCTCACAATTTATATTACATTGCCTTTAAAAATTAATTTTTTAATTAATTTAATTATGATACGTAGCTTAATTAACAACTTATTTTTTTTTAAAACAAATGCTATACTTTGTCGTTTTCTGTTTCTGTTTAAAATAGTATACAATTATTTGAAAAATAATTATTTAAAAAGGTTACCTCCCTTGAAAATTAACCGAATGACGTATGTCAGTGTTTACTTTTTTTTTTAAACAGTTACTATGCTTATATAAGAAAATACGATATATAAACATATTTAACGTCTACAATGGCTTTTTCCGACGGGAATAAAGTTTTTTTGTTACCCTCCAGGGTCGGTCTACGACCTCAAATAATATTAAGGGGATCGATCGTCAATTTATTTATATATATCTCATATAAGGAGAATTTCACTCGCGGTCATCTTTTAGCACTGGTCGAGGGCTTTGAGTCTGACCAACAGTTTTTCCATACGGCCTAGTCATCTATAGAAGTGTATGCAAAACATTAGCATGATGTACAGAGGTTAAGTAACGTAAAAATTGTGTTGAAATTACCCTGTTTTTCCCATAAAATACAAAGATTATATAGGGAAATACGACTGGTCAGTTTTGACCCCTTTACGAAGTTTTCCCAGATATGCCGAGTTTTTTGTGACACCCCAAGGCGTTCTCCTACCACCTCACAAAATATCAAGGGGGGTCGTGGGAGGAAAAAAATTTTCGTAATAGAGCTCATATAAAGAGAATTTCACTCGCGGTCACTTTTTAGCCCTCGTCGAGGGCTTTGAGTGAAACCGACAGTTTTCCCTAAAGGTCAAGCCATTTACCTAAGAGTATGCAAAAAATTAGCCAGATATACTGAGTTTAAGTACCCTAAAGTCTGCGTTGAAATGACCCTATGTTTTTCCCATAAAATACAAAGATTATATAGGGAAATACAACTGGTCAGTTTTGACCCCTTTACGAAGTTTTCCCAGATATGCCGAGTTTTTTGTGACACCCCAAGGCGTTCTCCTACCACCTCACAAAATATCAAGGGGGGTCGTCGGAGGAAAATTTTTTTCGTAATAGAGCTCATATAAAGAGAATTTCACTCGCGGTCACTTTTTAGCCCTCGTCGAGGGCTTTGAGTGAAACCGACAGTTTTCCCTAAAGGTCAAGCCATTTACCTAAGAGTATGCAAAAAATTAGCCAGATATACTGAGTTTAAGTACCCTAAAGTCTGCGTTGAAATGACCCTATGTTTTTCCCATAAAATACAAAGATTATATAGGGAAATACGACTGGTCAGTTTTGACCCCTTTACGAAGTTTTCCCAGATATGCCAAGTTTGTTGTGACACCCCCAGGCATTCTCCTACCACCTCACAAAATTTCAAGGGGGGTCGTCGGAGGAAATTTTTTTTCGTAATAGAGCTCATATAAAGAGAATTTCTCTCGCGGTCACTTTTTAGCCCTCGTCGAGGGCTCTGAGTAAAACCGACAGTTTTCCCTAAAGGTCAAGCCATTTACCTAAGAGCATGCAAAAATGTAGCCAGAAGTAAAGAGGGTAAGTGCCCTAAAATCCGTTTTGAAATGACCCTCTGTTTTTCCCATAAAATACAAAGATTATATAGGGAAATACGACTGGTCAGTTTTAACCCATTTCCCGATTTTTCCCGGACATGGCGAGTTTTTTGTGACACCCCAAGTCGTTCTCCTACCACCTCACAAAATTTCAAGGGGGGTCGTCGGAGGAAAAATTTTTTCGTAATAGAGCTCATATAAAGAGAATTTCACTCGCGGTCACTTTTTAGCCCTCGTCGAGGGCTTTGAGTAAAACCGACAGTTTTCCCTAAAGGTCAAGCCATTTACCTAAGAGCATGCAAAAATGTAGCCAGAAGTAAAGAGGGTAAGTGCCCTAAAATCCGTTTTGAAATGACCCTCTGTTTTTCCCATAAAATACAAAGATTATATAGGGAAATACGACTGGTCAGTTTTGACCCATTTCCCGATTTTTCCCGGACATGGCGAGTTTTTTGTGACACCCCAAGTCGTTCTCCTACCACCTCACAAAATTTCAAGGGGGGTCGTCGGAGGAAAAAATTTTTCGTAATAGAGCTCATATAAAGAGAATTTCACTCGCGGTCACTTTTTAGCCCTCGTCGAGGGCTTTGAGTGAAACTGACAGGTCTGCCCTACGGCCAAGCCATTTACCTATAAACATGCCAAAAATTAGCCAGATGTAAAGAGGGTAAGAGCCCTAAAATCCGTTTCGAAATGGCCCTCTGTTTTTCCCATAAAATACAAAGATTATATAGGGAAATACGACTGGTCAGTTTTGACCCATTTCCCGATTTTTCCCGGACATGGCGAGTTTTTTGTGACACCCCAAGGCGTTCTCCTACCACCTCACAAAATTTCAATGGGGGTCGTCGGAGGAAATTTTTTTTCGTAATATAGCCCATATAAGGCGCCGGTCAGTCGAGGTCAGTTTTGACCCCCTCTCCGTCGACTTTTCGGCCAACCGTCACCGGCCTTCGTGTTCTATCGCCCGAAGGCACCATCGTGCCAAATTTGACGCGCCTGCGGCGCCGGGAAGTGCCCTATCGGGTACTTGACCACTTTGCTTTATATATATAGATATAGATATGGAGTTTTCACTTAAAATAGAGGAGAAGGAAATGATTAGGGGGGTAGACTCCAGAAAAAAACGGGAAAAAAACTTCCTAAATAATGAGCCTTTTTTATTTATTTATTTATATATAAGTTAAGGTACTTAAGAGTAAATATTTGCACACACCAGTTTTTTTTAACGGAAAAACCTCTAGAAATATTTTTTTCAAATTTTATAAAAAATGTATTTTGAAATACCGTTAAATTTTGCATTGTTTTAAAGATTTCTCACCATACCGAATTTCGAAAATTAAAAAAACAATTTCTAGAGTGTTTTCTGTTCAAAAAAACTAGCCAGCTAACTCTATTAGTGTTAGTAAATGACGGATCAATGATTATATGGCCACTTAATTATTAATATATGTTAGTTTATGAAATTTTAGGACTCCTCAAAACTTTTTTTTTTTTTCAAGATGGCGGCCGTTGCCATGGCAACCATATTTTCAAAAGCGTCCCTGATACTTGCAAATATATTCCTTTAAGTACCCTAACTTAGATATACACAAATAAATAAATAAAACATAATAATTAAGAAGTTGTTTATTTCTGGAGCCTACTACCTTAAGTTATCCAGCATGTAACTACATTACACAAAATCTATTTTATTTCATTTCTGCAAGTCTTTAAGGGGTCATCCATAAGGGATGTTACTTTTTTTGGACTATTCCCTCTCCCCTCTGTCACACATCGTCACTCCCAAAATATGACGTCAGTGCAGTTTAATTTTTTTTCAAAAATATCTATTTCTATTATATTGACTAGGTCAACCCAGAGTATATCAGAGTACATGAATGAATTTCTATCACAATTTACAACAGACAGTTCTATAAAATAAAAAGGGCTAAATTTCAGTTTCTAAAAGTGTGACGTCACACTATGTGCCCACCGCCCCACTTCCTCATCACACATCGTGACAAAGTTACGATTTGATGAGTAGGCCTAATTTTTATGATATTAATATTATTCAGTTACATTTGGATTCAAATATCTACACGTATAATTATAATAATTTAAACAAGTTATTAGTTGGCCTATAAAAATCTATTTAATTTGGTATGCGTTGTGAATCAATTTTAAAAGATGGTAGTAGCAGTAACAAACTACTTTACACAAAACCTCATTTTATCTCATTTCTGCAAGATTTGTCTTTATTTGCGTTCAGCAAAAGTGCGTTGTGTTGAGAAACATCCGTTGTTTATCAAACTAAAATGTCTGAATCTGAAAGTGTTGAAAAGAATGATGACAGTGAATCAATTCCTCCACCCTCGGCAACTAATGAAAGTGTGATAGAACAAAAATCAAATGATACTAATTTATCACCAGTTTCATCCGATACGAAACTGAAAACCAATTTAAAAGGTGTGAAATTATAAAACAGAACTAGATTCTAGATCTAGAAATCTACTAGATTAGGTTGAATTATGGATTTTTAAAAATAAAATATTCTGTTATTTCAAATACACCATTAAGTTCCTTACCCCTTAAGAGAACATTTGACACCACATTTGAATATCTAGCTTACTCGGTTGACGAGAAAAGAGAGAATTTGAAATTTTTCCGATATTGGAAAATGAAAGACAAAACCGCGTTTTAGCCCCTCGACCTGCATAACATTACGTCGTGGACGTGTGTACACGAGCTATTAATTCCCGCCATGGTAATTGCGTCAGCTTAGGTTATTTACTCACCGGAAAATAACAAAAAGCAACTGAACAAAAAGCAACTGGTTGATAATAAAACTAGATCTAGTTATTTTATTATTTATTAAATTCTACTCTACATGTTATTCATACCATTTTATGAAATAATGAGCACCTGCATAAATCAAATGACCATAATAAATATTTTTATTTCAAATCCTAATTTTAAATAATATATGCATAAAATAATATGATAGTGTAATAGTTAAGATAGTTTATAAATAAAAATACATTTTACACTCAATATTGAGTCAACAGTGTGGCAGCTGAGGTTCATACATGGTATTAGTGTCTTTTTTTTTTTACATTACATTTTTTTTTCATCTTGAAAACATGACGTATGTGATTTTTTTTAAAAAATAAAATCTCCAAACATCGTCACTCGCGTGATTGCTTGCTTACGTTTACTATCCTGTGGATGAAAAATCCCACCACGGTCGCGGGTCACCGTGAGTTCAGCAGGCCTATAGTACACGTCATAGAATGAACACGCGTACACGAGATGGTCGGTGTCTTCACTTCTCTCTCTCTTCCCTCCCCCCCCCCCCCCTTCTTCAAGCAAATTGAAAAAACAGACCTACTTCCCTACTTCTGGACATTTTTTTAAAAGTTCGGTCATTTTTTTAAAAGTTCACATATCATTATCAGGCATGCTAGACAGCCAGCTGTATAAAAATTATTTTTTTTTAAAACTAGATCTACGTCTAGCTTAAAAAAAATAAATAAATAAACGTTTAAAATGCCCGTAAACAGATTATTTAGCGCAAAAAAAAAAGGCCGCTGAACGAGCATTTTTTAAAATACGCAGCAATGAAAAAGGCTAACGGCCGATCAATTAAGTCTAAAAATCGCCCGTAATTAGGCCTAACTTTGAAAAAGGCCACTGAACGAGCATCACTGATTATATAAACGAATAAGCCACGCAGCGTTGACGAGGTTGACCACAGGTCACGAATGCAGCAACTGTCGGCCCACAGTGAAGAAAAAAAATCAATATACTAATAAAATTACTAATACAATAATAATGTCCATAATTTTACTTTTTCCGCACATGCTACAATTGAATTATAATTAAAATACTAGATTTAACAGTTCATTCCGCAAAAAACAAAAACTAGTTGTTTCTGTGAGGTAACTAGCGTAACAATGACGTCATGATACTAAAAATAGCGGATAGAAATGTCAGCGGGGGTACCTCATCCTCGAGTGAGATTTTGGAAAAAGTAATCAAAAATACTGTAAATATACATGATAAATATATCAATTATATATTAATGTACAGTTAGTCGAGCCGTTTTCCCCGTTAGTCGGTCGTTTTTGGCGGCGGTTCAGTTTTTACGGAGAGTGCTCCACTAGACATCCTCTCATTATTTACAACCACGAATCTTGCGATTTTTTCTGGCATTCTAAGGCATATTATCCATTTTATTAGCAATTTGCATTAAAATAATGATGAGAATTTGCGATATAAACAGTTTTTTCATTTGTCGTGGATGGGACCCCTAAAATAAACGTAAAACCCGTCAGAAAACGACGCGTGACGTTTCAGGGTCAGAGGTCAATCCTACCATCTAAGCAATGCGCCAGACTATACTAGATCTAGTCAAGTCAATTCTATTGAATCTATTCTTAGTCAATTCTAGATCTAGTAACTCTAGTCTCACGTCTGATCTAGAATAGATCTAGATCTAGATCTAGACTAGATCTATATCTAGAGATCTAGAACGTTGTTTGTTGTTGTAGCTCTACTCAGTGGCGTAACCAGGATCGTCTCAAGGGGGGGGGGGTTCCAATTTTTACCCGGGGACAAACTTTCGATTTGCACCCCCCCCCTCAAACTTTCGATTTGCACCCCCTCAAACTTTCGATTTACACCCCCCTCATACTTTATATAATTATATAATATTAATATTATATAATATATATATACCGAGGGGTATATGGGGGGTTATGACCCCCCCCCCCCCTGCCTACGCCACTGGCTCTACTCCACTCTACTAGATCTAGCTAAAATCTAGCTAGATCTAGAGTAGATTAGAAGCTAGATCTAGATCTATCATCTAGATCTAGAATTTTAATTTTTGTGTGTAATTTCAATCTAGTAGGTCCTAGTCCTAGATTTAGTACCTAGCTCTAGTTTGTCAGCTAGTCTTGATCGAGATTCTAGATTTTCTAGATCTAGAATGTTCAATGTAGATTCACTTTTTCTAAATTAGTAAATTCTAATTTATTTCGTGGCAATTTTTGTACCAGTGTCTGATAATAAAATCTTCTTTAAAAAAGGGGTGTTAGGTTACTGACGCCTAACGACGACTAACCCAGATTTCTAACCATAAAATTAGTCGAGATTTCAATACTACTACTAACAACCCAACACACCTATTTTATGGAAGTCTATTATCGGACATCAGTATCTAAAATCATCCTTAAAGTTCTAATTTAGATTTTTAATCTGAATTTAAGAATTTTAAACTATTTTAAGATTAGTGCACTGATTAGGGCACAATGTGACAATACTTGTAAATTAAGGGAGGGGAGATCACCTGGTATTGTTTAGTATTTAATTTTACAATTTAATTTAGTTGGTTAATAGTTATAGATCTAGTAAAAGTAATAAAGTATTTAATATTGATTTGAAGTAATATTTACAGTTACAATACTGCGGCCAGGAGTACCACAAGGGGTATGATTGATCAACTGCTTGCAGAGGGGAGGGGTAGTTCCGATTAGATTTGTTTGACAATATTTTCATCCTTTGAATTAATTATTTAATTATAAAGTTTCTATAATAAATCCATGTTTATTATTAAAAAAAAATATTGGGGCACAAATATCAAATAGGCTTTTGTTGTTCAATTTAATTAGTTTTGTAATTGTTAAGTATGCCAGAGAGGTTGATTTAACAATATTTGATAGGATAGGGCTACCTGTGACACTTGAGTATGATGTACATTTAAACAGTTAAAACCAAAAAGAAATTATTTTTTTATTAAAAAATACAATAAATTATTTTAAAGTGTTTAAGCTTAAAACACTCATAATATTTTCACTATATTTTAGTGGACATTCTACTAAAGTCAGCAGGAGATGCACCTATTATGAAGAAGAAAAAATGGACTGTTGACAGAAGTAAAAAAGTTTGCTGGGTTACAGATTTTATTAAAAAATATATAAAAAGTGAGCCATCTGATTCACTGGTATGTTTATTTATGCATCTTAAGAATTTAAGAATTTATGATACTTCAAAAGTATGTTTCTTATTCTTTTAGATTTTTTTCAGGATAACACTAGATCTGTATAGAGAATAATTAGATTGTAGTTTTATAAATGAAAAAGGTTTAAATTATAGATTTTAAATAGTTCATTAATGTTTGTCTATCTAACTTTTTGTAATATTTTTTTTACCACAGTTCCTGTATGTAAATCAGTCATATGCACCTTCACCAGATACAGATATTGGATCCATATTTGATGTAAGTATGAAACATGTATTTGTTTTAACAAATTGTTTTTAAAAAAAACTATGTACTAATCATTCAGCAAACTATATAGAACTTTTAAAAATTCAATTGTGATTGTTGTTTAAATTGCTGTCATTGTAGTTCAAAAGTGTCAATGGTTTATAATACCATTAATTATTGAGGTTTAAAATACCATTAGTTATTGACTATTTTAATTTCTGTTTCAGTGCTTTGGGAGTGATGGAAAATTAGTACTACATTACTGTCGAACACAAGCCTGGGGATGATCATTACTTTGCATATTAAGATATCATTTTATTTATACTATTGGAAATGTCTGTGTAAGAATGTTTTAAACAAAGACTGATGAGCTTTAAAAAATTGGTTAATTTTTATTGATATTTTATTGTGTGGGTTGTGTTATAAATCAGTTTTGTGGTCAGAAAGAAAATAATTGTGTGCCTACTGTTTGTTTTGTTTTATATACCCTAAATGAATAATTTGCAAAGTAACGACTTGGTTTGCAAATATATTCCAAGAGTTAAAAGAAACTCATAGGGTAAATATAACATGAATTTAATGTATATCTGCATTTTTTTGTGATACACGTGAATTTTTTAAATCACATGAATGGTAATCCCTCTGTAAATAGATACAACCATTCCATGTGGCATAATTTTTGTCAAAGGCTAAATGTATGCGCTGTGTAAAAAGTATCAATATTCTATTATCATCATAACTTTAATGTACTTTTGTTGAATAATTTTAATAAATCCCATACAAAGCAAAAAAGTTGTTTGTAGCGTTTTATTAAAACCAGTGAAAACTATACAGTCTTAACATATTTTTATCAAAATTATCTTTAATTTGTTTTAAAAATAGTAGTACCAAAGAAACTAAACCAGTGATTGACAAAAATTATGGATACAGTACATTGCTTACATCTCGGAAAAATTAATAGTTACATTTATAAATTGTAATTATTCACAAAAACATTCTTTCATACATCCAACGCTACCCAATCTTAAATTAACAAAACAAAAAAGAAGTTTTATTACAGTCACAATGGGAGGGGGATAGTTATTCATGGATGTTTTTTAGACTTATAAAACTTAAAACCTCTTAACATTAAACTTTCATGAGTAAATTTCATCAGAAAATATTCGTGTATTCTAATAGATCAATATGAAATAAAAAATACCATGTATAGATAAAAAAGAGAACGTCTGATAAAAATTGACAGAAAACAACTCTTGCAAATATCTACAGTTTAAAGTTAAAATAAGCCCGTATTCTTGGCATAGTAGAGAAAATTAATCAAAGTTAAGATGCAGTATATTTTAATTAAATTTATCAAAACAAGTTTATTATTGTGTCCAAGATGAAGGATGTTATTTAAACAGAACATGTGGATACACTTTAAATTATTCTTAAAATTTAAATAATTCTCTGCAATTTTTTAAAAAGAAATTTTGCATTTTTAAATCCAATTATGATTACTCTTTCATTTTTTAACAGAACAGAATGTTGTTTCATTTTCTAACATAAAAGCATTGCTCTAGTTACTTTTTATTCACATATTTTACTATTTTTATTTTAGGGAATACACATTGCAGAACAAAACTCTAATCAACTGTTAGCTTAAGGCTTGGATGTTATAACCAGGTTATTTTTTAATATTAAGTTTGATTTCAAATTTTAGGAAATCTCCACTGTAAAATGGCACCATCTTCACTGACACTAACAATGCTCTTTGAGTCAGGGGCAATTCGTACACGCTGAACATTGGCACTATGTCCTAGGCCAACATGAGTTACTTCTCCTTCTCTGTACAGCCAACACTAAAAAATTAAATATTTTGCATCATTTTTAATGTAATGCGATGTAATAAGAAAAAAAAATGAGCCAGTTTACTTTTGTAAAGACTACTTATGGCATATATAATAATTGACATCAATCTTACAAACAAAGGATTATTATAGTTTTTATTTTTAATTTACTGTAATATATACTGATGTATTTTTGTGAGTAGTGAAGTAGATTGTATACTTAATCTCAGGATTGAGGAGTACCTTTATCAGTTTTTCCTCTCCACCGGTGACAAATGCATGTTGGTCTGCTGTGATGTCCATTGAGTTAATGGCACCAGCTTTAGCCCCTTCTAGCTCTCTGATCATTGAGCCATCATATGTCTCCCAGTAGCCCAGTTTGTGGTCAGTACCACAAGTGATGATTTGAAGCTCTTCCTCACCATAGCAAACACTTTTGAATAGTGTGTTAGCAAACACCACGTTTTTACGTGAGCCTTTACTGCAACACATCCAGGTAAAAGTTTAACAGTGATAGCTTTGGGCTTTTTTTTGTAAGTTTTATAAACAAACATTCAATAAAATGAAGTCCTTCGTTTTAATTTTTAATAAGATTGAGCAAAAAAATATTCCTGGATGTTTTTACATAGTTTCTAAACACTCCAACAAACAAATCTTGTAGCTAAGGTTATGCAATATTTGTTTCAAACTGCCAAAGACCACTGAATTTTGTTTACTGTTAATAACTATTAAATTAACTAATTTGAGGTAAATTTAATAGAAAGATTTTAACTCACGTCAAATCCCACATGATAGTTGTGCCATCCCCACCTGCTGAAGCACATTCCTTATCATTTGATCGGATAACAATTTGTGACACAAAATTCTTGTGCTCCTTCATACTCTGTCTCAGTTTAACTCTGATTTCTTTTTTGCCGGATTGATCTACCCCTGAGATTATATCCCAAACTCTAACCTGGTATTAAAATATATTAGAGCTGTACTTAAACAAGGTGTAGGACTGAAATAATAATTAACTCTTTTTAAAATCTGCATTATTTTTAGCATGGTTTAAATGGGGAAAAATATTCTTTTAAAGGTTATTAATAATTGTTCCAAAAAGAATTTGAATTTAAGTTTTTATTACCATTCCCTCTCCCCCTCCACTGATTATGCAGTCTCCTCCTGATGTCATGGCAACAGCAGTGACACCTTTGTTGTGTGCATCCATCACAACATGTTTCAATTCCAGGGTAAGATCTTGAGCTTTAAATCCAAATATCCTCATTTTGCCATCATTCCAACCTTAAATTTGAAAACTTTACTTTATGGACATTCTTTCTTTAAATAATTTAGCAAATAACCAATTTTTAAAAGCAATCTAGATAAAAATATTTTACCAGATACAATTAGTTTTCCATCCCTTGAGATTGCCAGAGCATTGCATGTCTTGTTAGCCAGAACAAATCTCCTCAACTCTTTGCCAGTGTCCAAGTTCCAGACTCTGATTTCTCCTTCTTGACATGTCAAAATCAGTTGAGACACACCACTGCAACCAAAGTTTGGTTTATTAAATAAATACCAGTCATGGTATACTTCATTGTAAACCCACCTGACCTTTGTAAAAAATTTAATATTGTAAAAAAATTAAAACATCTAAGTCAGTCAGTATTTTAATTTGAGCACGTTGCCACATCGATGTGTAATTTATTTAAAAGGTTAGCGATTAACATTGATTCTTAAGGATATAAATATAATGAACTTACTATGGAAAAATAACATCGTTTACTGGAGAAGAGTGGCAGGTTTTTATCAGTTCGGCTGTAAAGTCAGCAAATTGAAATTTGTACACTTGTGACTGAGCTGTCCCAACATAGAACTGCAAATAAATAAAATAGGAATAGTTTATCTTTTCATTTAGCAGCTATAAGATCTGTGTACATTCAAAACTTGAAAATTTCAACCCTTGGTTTAGCAGCCATGCATGTGAAAGCTAACCCACTTCTGTCCTTAATGTTTTTCAAAAAGTTGAAAGCCTACCTGATGCCCGGCCCCTCTTTTAGCGATGGAAGTCACTGCACTTGTTTCAGCTTCATGTTTCCATGGCCTTCAGTTCAAAAGTTATTTATTTAAATATTTCCACAAAATTAAAAATGAATGTACAATAACCAAACTACTTTTTTTTCCTAATCACATAACCAAAATGGTTGTTTTAAAGTACAAATACAAGTGTTACAGTTAGTTTACTTACTGAATATCATTTCTGTGTTTGAATATGGCTTTTACTTTATTAGCATTCTCAAATGCCATACCGATTTCATAATTTCCAACAATGCCATTTCCCGTGCCTATAAGCAAGTTGAAACCTTTGTCTGTCATCTTAACAAATGAAATGGCTGTCACTCCAAGGCTGAATTTGTTCTTCCCAGGGACTTCACATTGAAGAATATTTGTGTTTTTGTTAATGCACAAGATGTCTCCTGTTGTTGTGCCACAGAAAAAGTAAGACAACTTATCATCCTGGTCGTCAACCACCTATTCAAATATTTTTAAAAAATAAATTCAAATGAAAATTGACTTATGTTGAATGTTATGGATTAATCTATTTGAATAAATTTTCTAAACCTAAATAAATATTGTACCTCAATGCATGTAATGATTCGCTTGAGTCCACCAAGGTTTGTGTTTGATGGTCGTATTTTGCGATTCTCTCTATCCAATGTCCATACACGGAGAGTATTGCTGAAAAATAAAGCTTTAAATTTTGAAAAGCGTTGACTATAAATCCATTTTCACAAAAAAAAATAAAAGCCAGATTCAATTAAAATTTGACTGGTGTGCCCTTTGATGCAAGGGAGGTAACAACTATATTAATAGCATCAACAAGGTTAATACTCACTCTCCTCCGGTAACAAACACGTCATCACTGACTTTGGATGCTGCCAGACATGTGGTGATCCCAGCACTAACCACCTGGGCAGGAGATCCACAGATAGGCTCTTTGGTTGCCATGTCCCAGACCACCACACTGTTTAGAAAACATGTGGAGAATTCTTCATTTACTTATAAATTTATAAATTTAATTTTATTGGATATCCAAAGATAAAAAACAATTTATTTAAAGTTTGTATGATATATACATACGATCCATCATCTTGGCCACCAAGAGAAATAACGTATTTGTCGTTGGCAGAAAAAGTCAATGCCTCAACTTTTACTTTGTGGAGTTCCCACTTTTGAATAGCTGTCTTTGTCCTGTAGTCCCACAGTGTTATACATGCCTAAGGAAATTTCAAAATTGTAAAATATTAACTTTATCAAGTACAATTTTTTTTTTATTATGCAATGCTTTTATAAATTGTTGGAACAAAATAGCTTTTATTATGGATATTAATGCTTATGGTAGATGAAATTCCTCACTATCATTTCAACCTAATTGTCATTGTGAAGAACTTACATTATTTAAATATTGAATTTTTAAAATATTTTCTTTTATGTCAAACATGCTGAAATATAATTTAAAAAAAAAACAACCTTGAATCCCATGTAGGTTTCCTGCCCTGATACAATATAGCAGCCATTGTTTGAAACAGCAATGCAGGTAACATTATTTGTGTGAGAGGAAAGAATGCACTGCTTGGCCTGTTTGGTGATGTCTTCAATAATTATGTTGCAGCCCAGTGGATAGATGATGTGTTCTCTGTCAGGGTGGACGATTAAACCTGACGGTACTTTACCTAAAAGTAAATCCACAGGCATGGTTTCAAATCTTAAATTGGGTAACATAAAAATAAATAGCTCGCATCTGTAGTGACTGACAAAATTTAAAAAAAAAATTCTTTAAGTAAAGTAAATGTTAACTTAGTTGAAAAAACACATCATCACATAGAAGTACATAGAACAAAGACAAAAGTGTTATATTTTTCAAAATAGGACACTGAGTTCAAACCTTTTTTTTCTGAATTAAATGTTACTTAGTATTTGATAGTAATTTCTATATTCAAATGTTGTATGTTATTATTTAACATATACTGATCTACATCAGTGCCAAATCTATGATAGATGGAATCTTGTTTTATAAACTTAAGCACTGATTAAATATTAATTATTAACAAATACTTCAAATAGGCATAAACAATTTAAAATATAATAATTAATATTAATTAATAATATTGGCCCAAAGATATTAGTATTATTAGTATTATTAGATAATGATTATGATTTATAATTTATAGGCCCTAAGTCTTATCTTAATTTATTATTTTAATTTTCCAAATTTGAAATGTAGGCTTATAAAAGATCTAAAACAAGTCAACAACTAAACTTTATTTATAATAATTAACTTCTTAAATCTAGATCTAAATCTAGATCTAACTAAAAAAAAACTAGCCAAATTTTCAAACTAATAGACACTATTTATTAACAGACATCTGTCATCATTCATGGAGACTTTTTCGAGGGTGAAATTTGTTAAAGTTGTAGAGTGTAGAGTTAGACCTAGAACTACCGTTTACAGTAGTTAATGATAATTGATTCATTAATGAAGTTACAAGTTAATGTTGTCAACGGTAACTCAGTTTTACTCTTGATATTATTTTATTTTTATTTTGTTCAATTTAAATTTACTCGTGTTCAGTATTTAATAAATTGCAATTTAATTAAATGCTTACCATTAAAACCAATAATTCTTTCGAGTTCAAGCTCCTTCGTGTCGATTACATCGTCCCCTGACATCTTGCTAAAATAAATTGTTTAATACTTTGTAATCAAGTGTACAGCCCTCCTGTTCTCTCTATGTGGAAGAGACTGTGTTGTCATGGGTTACAGTCATGGCGTCCAACACAAAACTCTTGGTATCAGGATCCATAACTCCGTCAAGAAAAATTGTCTGCAATCTTTTATCAATAAAAATTACGTTTCCCAACAAATAGATCTAGACCTAGATTCTACTCTAGTAGGCCTACTTCTAGGCTAGGTCTCGTCGGCTTGAAAATCGGCATTGCGTTTAAAAATAAATATAGTAACATGTCAATTTAACATTGTTTTACAAATAGATAATAGAATCTAAGTATTTATGGGTCTCTTCCTAAATATTAGTAAAGGTATCCAATAGATACTAAAGTGACCCACGCTTTTCTTTATAGTTTATTTAAATAGTAGTGCATAATTTATTTTCTACTTTTTAGTGCATTATTACATAAAAGCTTGTTATTAAAACGTTTTTTTATGAATTTTTAGAAATATAAAGTACAAATATTACACTGTATTTATAGGCCCTTTTGAATTCGTGCACATACGTCCTGTATAGGCTTTTCTTTTACGTTTTTGACATAATTATAACAGTTCTACATGATGATAGTGATAGTCATCATCATCATCACTCCTTTGTGGCCCCTGGGGAGCAAAGGGCTGCAACCACACATCTCCAGCGGACTCGGTTTTGGGCTGCTCCTCTAATCTGTGCCCATGAGAGCCCAGCTGTTTTCGCCTCCTCCTCAACCGTTCTCTTCCATGTTTTCCTTGGCCGGCCCCCAGTGTTTCTTCCAGACTTTTTTCTCCGGGGAGGGGGGGCACTTGAAATTTTCGGGGGGGGGCGGTAAACTTACTTTCTTCGGGGGGGGGGGGGGGGGCGGACACTGTTAAAAGTATATATTTTCTATATAAATTATATAAATTTCATTCCGTTCGGGGGGGCGGTAAAAAAATTTCGGGGGGGGGGGGGACACTCAGTCCCCCCCCCCCCCCCCGAAGAGATGCCTGGAAGAAACTCTGCGGCCCACCCTCCTTTTCCCCTGGGGATTCCAGTCCAATGCATGTTTTGCGATGTTTTCTTTTTCTTTTCTTAACGTGTGTCCGATCTATCCCCATTTACGGGCCTTAATATCTTTCTCTATCGGCTGTTGTTTTAAAATTTGCCACAGGTCTTTGTTAGATATTTTGTCTGGCCATCTTATTTTGAGTATATGTCGTAAGCATTTCTTTACGAACGCCTGTAGCCTATCAGTATTTGTCTTACATGATGATATTATTGATAGTAATAAGGGACGGCGTGGTCGGACTGCGGACTCAAAAATCTCGAGTTGGATCGAGATCAGAGTTTCTTCCAGGCATCTCTTCGAGGGGCTTTGCCCCCCCCCCCCCCCCCGAACGAAATGAAGTTTATATAATTTATATAGAAAATATATACTTTTAACAGTGTCCGCCCCCGCCCCGGATATTTTAGTCCCCCCCCCCCCCCCCGGAGAAAAAAGTCTGGAAGAAACAACCCTGACTGACGTTAGGTGGTTGGGCATAGTGCTGACCACGTTATTCCCTTGTATGCCAAGATTACTGAAGCAGATGCAATCTACTTCATCTGCCCCGTATGTCTTAGGCACGAACGGAAGAAATAAGATGATTGACTGCCCCCTACTATTATAAACATCTAACATGTAGGCTATACAGATGGATATACCACACACTGAGGAAATCGGCCATTGGGGTATAAGGGCCCATTATGGAATATATAAATGTATAATAAATATATATTACATAAATATACATATATAGTAGGAGCATGGCATATTAAAAACTCAGATAATAACGTTTGTGTAGCTTTAAAAGAGTTATTTCTCTTTGTAGCAAAAATCCCGTTCTAGTGTTGAGGTGGGGAGGGGGGGGGGGGAGATAACCGATTGAGAGTGAACATAGTTCTAGACATACATATACAATTATACACATATACCGATTCAGAAATATATTTAATTAAGTTACACTGGCATTATGACGATAACATTTTTTTACAGAGGGGTCCATGCGGCGGGGTTATAACCCCCCCCCCCCCCCCCCCTCACCCGCCTACGCCACTGACCTATTTGATATTTCTGAATAACAGAGAAAGAGATGAGCAGAGTATTTTGAAGGACTAGTAGACTTAACCCACAGTGCACGCAAGATATACCACCAGCTAAACGGCTAAATGAGATATGCCGCCACACTGTAGACCACCTTGAGAAGAAGAGATACATAATCTTTTAAAGGAAAACGGTTCAAGTAATAGATGATATACCGCATTAACGGACAACGGAAATCGAAACTCGCATCAGTACTACACACACTTCAGGAAAACACGGGAAGATGAACGAATTCGAGAGAAGCGGAAGGAGGGATTTCTCATAAAACTCACAAAGATAGATAATCTCAGTTCATGCTGTAACAAAAAAGGGATAACAAGACTTTCCATCCCACCCAAAGTCTTCAAACTGAAAAATTAAACAGGATGAAGGAAACGGTAGACACCCAACTTCGAAATCAAAAGGCATGAATTAAGAAAGAAACATCATGCATACATTAAATTGTCTCCCAGTCTTAAAAGAGGAACTCACCTATGCAGCAGACAGTTCTCCAATACTCCACGTAGAAAAACATCTCTCAGAATTTCACACAGCCCCTAACCCATTCAATATTTTATAATATTGAGGTCGTTATTTTTAAACTACAGTTGGTAAAAAAAATATTGTATTAAACGTTAGTTAGCACCAATACCTCGTTATTCATCTTTAATATGTGACATTAATACGTTACTTTAATATAAAACAAGAATAGATAAAATGAATGTTGGACACTTACCTTAAAGTCGCTTATAGTCAATTCACGTAACACACGCATAGCTGGGGAATACTAACACTATTTACAAGAGAATTTCATAAATGATAAGCGTAGTCCTACATCATGCAGAGTATAGTCAGAATTCAACAGTTTGTCATGATAGTTCGAGCGCAAACTGTGAGATTCGGTATAGCAGTTAGTTCTTAATTCTCTTAAATTAAATAGCAAAAATAAAACAAAGTGTATGTATCTTTCTGCCCGCCAACATATGATTTGATACAACATAGTAAGTAAGACATCGCTGCTGTATTCAGTATTCAGTCCTTCGATAAGACTCCGCCTCCAGGTCTGTCTTAGGCAATCTCTTTCGCTTTCCCTGGGGTTCCACTCAAGCGTCTGGTGCATCACTTTAGAGTGAGTCTTTCGCACAGAGAAATTAATTACTCGGTGAATTTTGCTTTCTAGCTTAATTATTCTGAGTTCTGAGGTCAAGTTTTCGATACATTTTTTGTTTTGCATATTGGTTATCGATGGCCGGAAAAGCAAGGCCATCAGACTCGTGCTGTTTGATTATGGATCTTCGGTTTATCTTTATGTTTTTATGTTTGTCGAAGGAGAATCAGCATTGGCAACCGTGACTGGGAGAGTGGCAAACCGCACATAAGCAGTTGACGTTAGGTCAGATGCTCATTATGATTTTCAGTGTATCCAATCGGTTTTGTAGCTTCAAGTTTCTTGATGTACTCACGTCTGAAGGTTCAAACCTCTGACATGAAATTTGGGCCGATGTCTGATAAGTATGTTTGTTGCAGTTGTGTAGCTGTTAATTCCAAATCAGTTTCGGATAAGTCAAGCTGAGATTTGGGAAAAAGAAAACTAAACACTACCCTTCAGAACTACTCTTAAGCTGTGCCATTGCTATTTCTGGATCTCAACGTGTGTCACTGTTCGGTTCATCAAATAGTTTCTTTATGTATCTCTTTGTCTGGGATGGTAGAGCGCAAGACTGCTAACCCGAAAGTCTCCCAATAGTTTACAAATGATAATAAATTCATAAGAATTCAGCTTTTTCTATATCATTATCATACCTCAAATCAGTAACATGACCGATCTCTCCTTGGAATCTTTCTTTCCAAGACAAATCTTTGTCAGAACTTGACAATGTGTTTGTTTTTTTTTCTTCACATCTGTTTCTGCGTCTATTCTAGATGGCCATCTTGTAGTATACTGCAGAGGCGTAGCGACCCTTCCCGGCGCCCGGGGACAAACTTTCGATTTTCAGCCCCCCCCCCCTCGAACTTTTCATTTGCACCCCCCTCGAACTTTTCATGTGCACACCCTCCTCAAACTTTCAATTTGGCGCCCCCCCCCTAAGGTCGGCGCCCGGGGACATATGTCCCCCCCCCCGCTTCGCATCTGTTATACAGTGTTTTTCAACTTTATTATCTTAACTTTCCATCAGTCAAAGTTAAGTAAGCCCCCCCCCCCCTCTATATTCCTCGTACAAACAACGACCAATGAAATTGAATATTTCAGTTATAGTTACAATAAACCAGGAGTGATCTCCCCTAAACTTTCTCGTGCATTAGTACATAAAAGCTTGTTATTAAAACGTTTTTTATGAACTTTTTTTTTAGTTCTTTACATGTTTTTATTTACAATAGTGTTTCATGACTAAACAAAAAACCGCGCCTATTGAAAGTGATGACGCGTGTGGTGTGGTTGGATAGAAATGCCTACTAATTTGGTCAAAATTTTAATTAATTCATAAAACATTAATTAGGCGCCCAATTAAGTCAAATTTAATGTCACGATGCATTGTCTTCATATCTTGACCCACGTACCAATTACGAACCGTATTTGTCAAGTAGAAGTGCCTGCAATTTCGCTCCGGCGTTTCGATCTAGACTGACGAAAGACTGTCGACAGAGGCAGTGAGTTAAATAAAAGCTTGTAAAAAAAGTATATATTTTTTATATAAATTCCACTTCGTTGGGGGGGGGGGGGGTGTCCCCGAAGAGATGCCTGGAAGAAACTCTGTACGGCACCTGTCTGCTGGGTCGTCATCACGTTTTCTTTCCGCATCGTTAAGTTAAATGCACTATTTAGGCTTGCTTACTAACAACGTGTAATTTTAAAATTAGCATGCAGAATTGAAAAAAAAACCACAAAATTAATCTTAAACAGAATCTTTAAATAGACTGTCAGTCTACTCTTAATCTAATTATAATATAATATTCATGTTAATACTTTATACAGTAGGGCCTACGTTACTTTAATTTATGTCAATGGCTTATTAATAACCAGTTATTTCCCTTTGTATTTTTTAAAGCCAAGTCGAATGGAACAGACCAAATGAATTCGGCCTAGGCCTAGACTCTAGATCTTTATGTTTTTCTGTCGTGGTGTTAATAAAATGGGGAAAAACATTGTATAAAGTCAAATTTGTAAAATTAAAATGATTGCGATAATTTGGCGTTTAACTTTAACCTGAAAAGAGTAGTCTACTTCTGGAAATTTTGCCATATTTAAAATAAATAATTTAAATGTTACAATAAATAAGCCATTATTAAAATAGTTAAGTGGTTGTTTATAGCAATCAGATCTGATTGCAAATATTTTCATATAAGGCGAAGGTGGCCCAACATTGCAAAACCTTTAATTTAACGTATAAAATAATATAAATAGGTCAGTGGTTAAGTTTGTGGTGGTCGAGGTCGAGATAGCACGCGGCATGATTAATGCCGCAGTGCATTGTGGGAGCTGTTGTTGGATCATGTAAACACAGGTACAGGGTATGTTGTTTTCCTCTCCATGAGCTGCCATTTTAGCGGTGCTAGATCTTGCTATGTCTGGAATACAACATCCAACAAATAACCACGCTCTTGCGTTATTAGCACTAAAGTCTGCTCCTACTAGCCCATCAAGAGCAGTATGGAGCTCAGAAACACATGGGGAAGCTATTGCTCGGTTAGAAGGAAGGGACTTCGAGTTCACGATGAGGAAGCCACGCATCACCATCGGCCGAAATAGTAGCAAAGGAGATGTCGATGTCAACATGGGTCATTCAAGTTTTATTTCTCGAGTGCATCTTGAAATTTTTTCCGAGCATCCCAATTTTTTCATGAAGTGTAATGGGAAGAATGGTGTGTTCATTGACGGAATTTTTCAAAGAAAAGGCGCGCCGCCGCTGCAGTTGCCTTGCTCGTAAGTTTCATATTTTATATGGTGTCGTACACAATCCAGGACCGCAGTCATTTTTGTATCTTGAAAGGAAAACAAATGGTGGGGTCGATGTACGCTGTTGTCGATTTGAAAACACTTTGATTGCTAAGGTCGCTAAGGAAAGTTAGGATTTTGGTAATATGACATCTTACTACTATATTTTACAAGATTATCAATGAGTTAACATATTAGACTTTTTCTTTATTTAATAAGTTAAATGCGAGGCATTGCTTGAAAATCTATTGAGTAAATTTTTAAGCTTTTCAGCCCTATTTTGGATTTTGTAACCATGTGCTCCTTACAAAATGGCGGAAATGTAAACAATTATTTGTTTTGAATCTTTTGTTTTATTTTTTCAAAGGTTGTTTACATTTACCACATTAATTTTATATTATATCTACATAGGCCTTCATTATTTTAATTAAACCTATTGAATTCATTCACTGTTGTTTAAATTTACTAAGGCAAAGCCTGGGCTGTTAATTAAGACCTTGCCTGCATAATAATTTTTATTTTATAAACAGCAGTGCTGCTCTAAGTCAAACTTGTAGTATTGTGTCCTGGCCAACTAGATCTAATACTGGTCTATTGCTCAATTCTTTTTCAATAATCTGTTTGTAGCCTAAATAAATTGTAGGCTATTACTTTAATTATAGTAGGCCTATTGGCCTTGAATAAGATCTTAAAAATTGACTTGACTAGTCACTTTAAAAAAAGTAAAACAACAGGGATTTATGATTAGGACTCTAAACACAAAGTAATGTAAAATATTTGGCCTAATGGGTCTAGGCCCTAGACTCTAATATAGAAAATTTGCTTAATAGTTATTAATACATTTGTATTACATTTACTGATGTCAGATAACAGACTCTTCAGAAAATAGAAGTGTTATATTGTTAGTATTTTTGTAATCTCAAGTCTAGTTTTATGGTTAGAAATTAGAGTTAAATTAAGTATGGTGGGAATAGGGTTAGCACTAAGATTAGCAAGTTTTAGTCATACTTGTATTTAGCTAATTACCACTAATTTAACAACACTTTTAAAAGATTATTTTATTGTGCCAGTATCAGACACTGGTATTGGTATAGCAATAATTAGCAATTACACCCACCTCTCTTAAAATTCTCAGAAGCTATATTGTTTTTATCTGCAAATAGGGTAACTTTTATTAAGCTTCTTTCTTTATACATAAACAGCTTTTCAGTTTTATAAGACATAGTGCTTGTTTAGTTAAAAACTAAATTTTTTTTAGATTAGTAGATTTATTTTCTGTGTCAATTAGTATAGGATAGCTACACCATAAGCAGATTGGCAAAAGAAGTAAAAATTATTGCTGTTTGCTGTAGATTTCATCTGTAAATTTAGCTTTTTTTTCTTTTTTAAATTTGTGAGAAAAATCACAATATATTTTACATAGCCTATTTACATTTGAACCTGTCTGTCCTCTGGTGGAGGAAGTTAAGTTCACATTTTTCTGTGACATCTGCATATTACAGGATAGTGTGGTCAGCACTACCCAGATGTCTTTAGTTTTCCTTATGTAAGTCAGGTACCAAAACTCGACTTATTGGGTTAGCAGTCAAATGCTGTACCATTCGACCACACCATCCCTTGGTTTTTTACCATTTGACAGTAATAAATTTTTTTTATTAACATTGTTTCATGATTACTAAACTCAAAATTGAATGTTTATTTTGACCATGCCGAATTATAACTATAATTACAAAAGTGTTTAACAGTTTAAAAATTAAGACCAATAGCCCTATTAAGTATGACAGTAGTAACATGGAATATGTTTTTTAAAAAGAAAATAATTTTTTAGGTTTTTAAGACCACTTAATTTTATCTTCTGACCATTCATTGTTGATGTGTCTAGGCAGTAGGGTTGATATTTGCAATTCGGGTAAGGGCAGGGGGGCGTTTAAAAGTGTAACATCTGTTTAAAAACTACACAAGACCCGCTTACATTACAGCCTTCTACTTACCTATCATATTTATAAAAAAAAAATTTTCTGTTTTGATATTTTTTTCATACCATGTAGTGATGTAAAATTTTAGGGTGGCACAAAAATGCAACAAATTTTATTTAAAAAATATTGAGCTTTAAAAATTCATTTAAATTTAATATTAAAACAAATTTTATGGAAGGAGCTGTAAATGTGAACAATGAAATGGGATCATTAAAGAGGCTAGTAGTTTAACTACTAAATGTCTTTTAAATTGAAACAATTCAATTGTTTGTCCAGGTGCACTTTGCGTTTTCCAAGTACAAACATCAAGATAAAGTTTCAGTCATTAATAGACGAGGCTGTACCTCCTCCGCCTCCTGTAGCTGTTACAACACCAAAAAAGAAGCCACCTCTCCCCTTGAAAATCAACATCCCAGAACCTCAGGAAGTAGTTGCCTGCAGTCCTTGTCCTTCTCCTACAGGCACAATTAGGTATGTACAATGACTGGCTGGAGTTAGTTTTGCTGGTATAAGCTAAGTATATAACATAAGTTTACACTTAATAATTTTGTCAGCTGAAATCAGAAAAAAAATGTTTTATGTGGTTTGTGCTTTAATGAGAGCGCTTTTTGGTATTCTGTTTATTTATTTATTTATTTTTTTCCAGTGCTGCTAACTCCTGTCCTACTAGTCCACGCAGTGGTTCCAGCCACAATCCTAGATTTGCACTAATACCTGACCTTCAAGCTGTAGCAGCGTATGCTGCTGCACACCCCAGGGAGGAGCGAGACAGCAATTCAAGTTCAGCGTCTAGCACCCCAAATGTGGGGGAATCATCACGAGATGAGTCCAAACCTCCATATTCCTATGCACAACTTATTGTGCAGGCTGTTACATCAGCCACAGACAAACAACTCACTCTTAGTGGGATTTATGCCTATATCACAAAAAATTATCCTTATTACAGAACTGCTGACAAAGGATGGCAGGTTGGTGTATGGATTGTATTCTATAAAATTACCAAATATTTTCTGTGCCATCAATTCCTACCTTCTTGTCCTGGTACAAATGAGTGGTTGATGAAGTCTAGATATTAAATTAATAATTTTGTTATAGTGAATTTTATTTATCTAAAATCTTTACAATAAAATATTGCTCATCATGAATGTGCTTTAATTAATTATTTATCACCCAATTTTCAGAACTCTATTCGGCACAATTTATCATTGAATCGATATTTTATCAAAGTACCCCGGTCACAGGAAGAGCCTGGAAAGGGCTCATTTTGGAGAATTGATCCTGTCTCAGAAGCAAAATTAACAGCACAGGCCTTCCGACGTAGGCGTCAGCGCGGTGTGCCTTGTTTCAGAACTCCATTTGGAGGGCTATCATCCAGGTAATTTAAATTCAATGAGTGAGGTTCCTCAAGAAACTTTTATTTTAAAATAACAGGTATGCCTGTTTCATGATTTGATGTCCCATGGAATTTTTTTTTATATCTAGGTCCGCACCAGCTAGTCCCAGTCATATGGCAGGTTCCTTCACACCAGACTGCCTGTCCAGAGAATCCAGTCCTATACCTGAAGCTGGAATGGAAACAGAAGTTTCACATTCATCTTCCCAGCCTGGAAATCTCCAAGGGCAGCAACAGCACACACACCCTGCAATAGCAGAGTTGAGATTTTCTCAGTCGGCACCAGGATCACCGTCAGGTAATAACTCATTTGTTAAAGTTCTTGGGGTATAAATTTTTAGTTAGCTTTTACATCAGGAACTTACTATAATTTGGTGTTGATAATAGTATTTATGAGAAGTTGACACTTTTAAAAGTTGGATTACAAAAGGCCTGAAAAAGTTAGAATTACTTTTAATATAAAATTCTTTTTAGATAGATTTTGAAACAAATATTTTTCCTATAGGTTCTCGCGTCATGTCACCTGTAACAGTTACTTCTAGCACTGGACAAGCTGCAGTTCACCAGCTCCCTTCAGTGATAGCCAAACCTAAGATCATTATGACCACACCAGGCCAAGTGGTGTTAAATGGTCCTACTGCCACACCCCTGACCAATGGAACTCATTTAGAAATCAAAAGAGAAAATGGAGAAGGTATGCTTGATTTTTTAAAAATATTGAACTTGAGTAGTAATTCGTAATATGTAGAATACAGTAATATGTAGAATACATTGACACACAACAGAATTTAATAAAAAGTAATGTCAAAGTTATAATTTTTTTTTATGTTCCATCTAGCTGTGAGTTTGGGCTTGACTGGAGCTTCCCAAAAGATAGCCTCCTTGATGGCCACAGCAAACCAAGCACAGTTTCAGACTAGAACACTGAACCCGGTGGCGCTGGTGAGGAATTTGCATGGTACTCAACAAGTTATGGTGACCACATCTCCTTGTGGTGAAACAGGGCAGGTCACTCTGATTCCTCAGTCAGTTCAGTTGCTTCATCCACAATCTTCCAGTGGTCAGGCGGGTGTCAACCAGTCAGTTCCTCAGAATAATCAAGTACAGATTGTACCGCAGCAAGTGTTTTCTCAGCAAGTCATTTTACAGAAACCCATAGGCTCAGATCAGCAACAGAACCAGTCGAGTGGTAATTGTTGGAGCACCCAAGATGTTAAATCAGTTCATGTTTTGGTAAGTTATTTCTTCTAGAACTTCTGGTAATATGCCGTTTTTATTTAAAATGTATTTGCTTGATCAATTTGTATTATTTAGCAGCAAAAGAAAAATATTTTTATTGCTGTTTTTACAATGAAATCAAGTATAAAAATGTGTATTTAAAATCTGAAATGGCACTTGGTAAAACTATTCTTTTTTTTTTTTGTCAGATGCCTCATCAATTAGGGGTTCAAGTAAAAAGAGCCCAAGAAGAATCATCTGGCCAAGACTTAGATCTTTCGGGTGGTAAGAGATTAAAAATTGATGAGGAAGCAGACAAGGGGGTGAAGCAGGAAATGGAATAAAAGATTGAGATCTAGTTTTTATAAACTGTGTGGTTTTTTCCTCCGTAAATTGGTGTATCTTGCCTCAAACAAGTGAAAGCTGGAAAGATATGTTAGTCATAGAATTGTCTGTCATCTGATCCTATGTCATGAACTAATTGAGATTCTTTTTATCTTTGCTTTTTCTGTCACGGGCTTGTTCAATTTGACTCTATTCAATTTTTTAGTATGTTACATGTTGTATCTTAGATAAATGTACTGACAATTTACGATGCTGCCATTATTTTGTAAAAATAAACCATCAGGAAAGTGTTGTGTAGCCAAGTAAGTAATGCAGAGAATGAATTATTCACATAGGGATATTCAAGCTCCACAAAATACCTGTTTATCTGCTTTGATAGTTTATTATGATTGAGGCAGCAGACTGTTTTATTTTTTAAAATCATCAAGAATTCATTTTGCTGAAGTATAACTGTGCATTTGGGCAGCTCTTCCACTATAATTTATGCCAGTAGTTCTACCTTGAGAGTTCATTTATCACTATTGATTCACACAGTAATCTCTATCCATCCTGAAATGATTTTTTTTCTTTTAGAAAATGTAGTTTTTACAGAGTGTTTTATGCATTTTTTTTTGTTTTGTGCTTTAATTTTATCTGTAATTACTAAATTGCCACTTTTAAAGGTAATAAGTTAAAATATAAGATTAAATCTCTTTACAAAAATAAAATGACAAGAAATTTCAATGAAATGGTTTATTTTTACTATGCTGGAGCTTTGGTTTTATTATTTCCTGCCCTATAGACCTTCATGTCTAAAGAGTACTTTTTTCGCAGGAGTTTTTCTCTTGAGAATAAAGCCTTACTGTTGGTTTTTTTTATATTATTTGCTGTTTGGTGAATCAAAGATTTCAAAATATTTTCCATGTTGGCCAATACAACAGAAATACAGCTTATTTATTAAGTCCCTTTTTATAATATTTTTTACCTGTGAATATTTCATTAACTACTTGGTGGTGCCTACAGCAACAGAGAAATAGTGGTTTGACGTGTGTTCAATAGACTGCTCAGTAAACATTTTTTTTTTGTAGTTATCACTTTGGTCGGCGGTAGAGGAAAGTCATTGAACATATCATTTTATTTAAATTAGGTTTTCCTAGCTTCATTTTTTTTATATTTGACACTGATCAAAATTATGTTAACTTTTCAGTCTACTGATTTTGTAATCATTTAATGTAACTAGTAGCTTGTTTGCATACATTTTTTGGTAGTTAGTCAAATGTACAAAAATAAGCAATCATTGTCCACTACTATTGAAACGGGTAGCAGTTTTAAATTTTTTTTTTAATGCATTAGGCCCATTCAGCACAAGTATGTTACAAATCCTGTTACTCTAGTAACAACATTTAATTGCTTTTGCTTTCAATCTAGCACATTTCAGATGATACAAATCAAGCTTTCATGTCTGCTTATTACAGATTCACCCCCACCCCCTAAAGGGATAGCTATTTCTTTTAAGTCACTTCTTGATTGTAAAAATGTTTTCATAAAAGAATCAGCTTTTTTTGTCTAATTTTAAACTACATTACAACTGAATCTTCTCACTGACCATGTCAGTATTGGTGATCTGCAGTACCATTTTTTTTCTTCCAGTTATTGACTTAAAGAAAAACTTCTCCCAGTCTAGATTGGTAAATAATGCATTCATTCTAATAGGACACTATTTTTTTTTGTTAATTTGATGGGGTTTTTTTTTTGAGTGGAAAGGGTTGTGGTTATAGTAGCAAGACTCAGTTGTCTAAAGAGTGGCCTGGTTTGTTTTCACATGGACACATATTTTTACAAAACAAAAAAAACCGTTATGGTCAGTCGTTTCATTCTGTTTTAAAATATATTGGTAATAACTAAACCTGAGTATTAACTTTTTAAAATAGCTTGAAAGATGTTTGTGTGTGCACATTATTGCAACTGTTTTTAACAATCCAGACAGCAGATTGTTGTTTACGTTTGAAAACTAGTTTGTTAAGAGTGTCTGCATTGTTTCCTGTGACCTTTATTGTCACACAAACTGTACATGTATAGCATAATTTATGCCTATGGTTTAGTGTGATATTTTTATTTTTAACTGATAAAAGGTTAGTAAAAATGTTTATCAAATTTTGTTACCTCATTTTCCCTTTTGTTATGTACTGGGTAAGACTGTATTTCATTAAACTTTTTTCGCATTATCATCAAGTCAAAAAAAAATTCAGACGAGATATTTTATTTGTAATTTTTGTACAAATTTGGTGAGAATTCTCACTAGTATATTTTAAAACGTTTTTTTGTCTTATTAAAAAATGCTAATGGAGATTGTTCCCTGCTGTTGAAAATGTGACAGACTTGTACAGTATTGTAATCAGCTACTAATATTCTGGATTGTATATTTGATCTTGTATTTCTATTCAGTTGTTGTTACTATTGTTGTGTGATTTTAGTAAAATTAAATTTTTTAGTCAATTGATTTGGAAACTTGTCATTTAGTAATGAAACAAGATTTGTTTTTACTTGTGTAGAAATAATTTTGTTCATGGAGTTCAACATTCATTTGCATCGCTACAATTTTAAAGTTTCTTGCATTTATGTGTGGCAGTTCATCATTTATACACAGAAGGGAGTTTCCCCTTTTCATTTAGCAAAGTAAACAATCTTTTTGAATTTGTGTACAAGAAAGATAAGTCACTGAATTCTTGCATGCATTAAGCACAATATAAATTCTTAACTGTGGGGGATGAAAAGTCCTTCTTTATTGTTACTTACATTCAGTTTTTTCTTTTAATTAGTAGCAATTAGATAATCTATTTCTGTATTAGAAATTGGTGTAAATAATGCTTATCGTATTTCATATGCTGAACAAGCCATTCATATATTTTGATTAGTTTTAATAATCCCCTTTCTGGTGGGCTAACAGTTATTTAAAAATTGGTCCGTTGTTTTATTTAATTTATGGAACATTTTTTTTTATGGAATGAAACCACCAAATAAAAAAAAAAATAAACAATGTAATGTTTTTAAATTTGACACAGGGAAGCAAGAAGAAACAAGATCATTTTTTTAAAATCTCCAAATTTGTGTGTGTACTATATAAGTTTAAAAATAATTGTAGATAGCACATAATGAGTATGTGACATAATTGTGTGATAATCCATTTCATTTGCTTCCTCACAATTAGTTCTTGTATATTTAACTATACTTGTATGACGAAGAAAAAAAATCACCAATACAAATGCAGTAGCCCAAACTTATCAATACCACTCCTGGAAGGAATCAGATATGGTTCTGTCACACATAGTGTTCATGTCTGTGCTTTATTATTAACTGAGCTGTTTTCACGCGGAGGCGCAGTGATGTTTTTGTACATAATACACTTGTATGTTTAATTTTACCACGGAGTTTTTGTTTATATTTATATATGTATATATTTAATATTTTTAACATGTTGCCAGTTTTTAAGCATTATTTCTAGTTGAATTCTATACTTATTTTAAATGAATTATGAATTGCTCTGGTTTTGACATTGGAAATGTGTTGAAGATTTTCCCAAGTAAATAAAATACTTCCTATTTTGATGGAATCACAGCATCAGATGCTCAGTTCTAGAGTTGAATTTAACAAAAGTGAATAACAAGCTCGGTTTGGCATTACCTAACCAAAAATCAGCAAGTGATAGGTAATTAATATCATCGAGGCGGGCTTCGTCTTTTTGGCGATATCCTATAGTTGGGCATAGATGTACTCTTTAAAACACTTTCTTTCAAGGAAGAATACGTGGAGTAGAATATGGGTACATTTTTTTGGGTATTTGAGGCTTGATCATTGAAAGCTGGAAAAGCTTCAATAGGGGCCAGTCAACTTTATTAAATGGCAAAGCATTCCAAAGAGAATCTTGTACAACATAGACCTACAGATCTTCCAGCCAAATATAAACTTCCAAATTACCTGGTAAATTTCTGCTACTGTGAGCTAGTTCTTAAAAACTTTAGACACAAACGTCAAGTTTGCAATATGTGGACTCGAAAGTATAATGGCAACGAAACATCTTTCATACCAAAAAGTTTTTATTGTGTGTTATTGGTAGTAGCCTTACTTCCATTCCGTGTTGAACACGCTAGTATCAATACCGGACAATACAGAAGGTTTGCATGGTTCCTAAAGCCGGCAGAGTAAAACGTATGCTCGAAATAAAATAAATTGCCCTACGCTAGCAAATAAAGGCTGTGCTGAACTGAGTATAAGGTTAGTAAAGTAATTATTAAATAATCTCAGCAAATGTCCTCCTACTCGTGCACCATTGAAAGTGTTGTGACTAAAATAAAACTTCTCCATACACCATCATCGTAATCGCTAATATTTTTAATTTAAGGGCGTGTCGATTCAATGGGGGGGGGGGTGGCATAGTTTTTTTACATTTCTATTTAAAATACGATGTTCTGCGGATGTTGGAATGAATGAGTTTATAATAGAGGGTAGTCTGCAGTGTTTCTTCCAGACTTCCCCCGCAGAGATGCCTGGTAGTCTGGCGTTTTTTTTTTTTTACCGCTTGTAGAGGAAGATGCGACGATAAAAATTAGCTAAATTAAAAATAAAAATACCGTAACATAGCATCAAGTGGGACAAGTGCAATAAAAAACGAGTAGTGATACAATAGACATTTCGACCAAAACTCTTCGTCAGCACACAACGGTGTGGTTAAAGACAAGACAAAAAGGACAAACAGTAAAATAATTTTGGACTATAGAAGATAATTACAGGTACAATATAATATGTACAATTTTTATTCATTTATTCAGCACTAATGGCGGAAAATGAAGGTTAATGGACTTAAATTTGTTTCGTGATTTTAAATTTAATCAAGTAATCTACTTTTTAAATTGTCTAGTTTTTTTTTTTTTGTAAAATCAAGTCGTTTCCCCTTGTAGTAAAAAACTAGCACGACATCTACTTCCTTAGATACGCGTTGCCTGTAGCGACTGATTACATCGAGAAAATAAGACTTCGAATCAGGCATCAATAGAAAACACTGATACAACCATCTGTTGATAGGATTATCTATTAAGATATTTTCTAGGTAGTAGGATGGCTGCTGTGATGACTGAGCAGGGTATACCTGCTACTGCGACACTTGCAAGTAGAGAAATTCCTCCTGATCCACCAGCACCAGTTTTAAATCCTAATCCAAACAGAGAAATAACGTACACTGGAAATACTGGAAATGACATGGGTATTTCTACAATGGGATTTCGATCAGCAAAATTTAATCCATCTGAATGGCATGAATCCAATTATGCCAAATTTTATCAGTCTTTTGTTGACCGAGACAACGCAGAACGTGTTATTCATGAATCAAGGCGTACAGAAAAAGAAACATTGGAAACAACAAATAAAACACAAGCCGAAGCCACAAAAAAGCTTGCAGAAAGTGCAAAGAACATTGAGTTCTGGAAGTTTGAACTGAACAGAGAAATATCGGTGATTATACTATTTTAGTTTGCTTGCCTTTTACTGGTAGTATTACTTTGATGATAATTAGTAATTAACGGTTCATTATTCTGTGTATTCACAGTGTAAACTTAAGTAAATAAGTAGTATACTATTCTTATGGCTGGCAGTTTTGTATTTGCTTTATTATACAACTTTACAATGCCCATTAACTAATAATTGTTATTTTCAGTGTTTTTAATAGTGAAAATGAAACCTTCATTGATCAGTTTATCAATCTTTAATTGTTAAATCCATCTTAGTTAGTCAAAGTTATGAATAACAATAAATAAGTGGTAACCATTCCGAACACTGTTTAACCAATCAACCATTTGACAGTATTGCTATACTTTTTGGAGGAAAAATATTATGCTTGATGAACCTAGGAATAATTTTACTGAACAAAGATTTCTTTATCTTACAATTGATTTTATAAATTTAAATTTGTGTGGATGAAAATTCTAGGCTTTTAAAATACTGTGCTATAATTTTAATTTTTTCTTCTCTTTAAAATATGTTTTTAACTAAATGAAATTGATTTTAATCTTAGGATGTTATTGATGAGACAGATTTGTTATTAGCCCAAAAAAAGCGCCTGGAAAATGCATTACGGGCAACTGAGATCCCACTTCATATTGCTACAGATAACCTGAACTGTCGCCAGAGACGCTTGGGTGTTGATTTGGTGCAAGATAATGTAGAAATATCACTTTTAAAGGTATTACTTTTCTTTTATTGAAAGATTTCTCTCCAACAATTCAGATTGGTAAATAGAAATGATAAAAATGTTTTCATTACCATAAAAGTAGGCCAAGACAAATGTCTTAATCCAATACAAAATATTTCATATCTTTAAAGTTTGAACATCTTTCTTTTACTTACATATTTGCTATGTAGATCTACCTCTAAAGTAAGTCGAATATTAAACAAAGAATAACAATCTTATTCCAAGTTTATTTTTCAGCAAGCCTAAAGTATACTACTTTCCATTTCCATTACATAAATATTCTGCTTGATGCGTTACAATGCAAAAAAATTTGCTTATCACTGTGTAATTTTGAAAACTAATTTTAAATAAAATTTATCTAAAATGTATTTAACTCTATATTTAGGAAGTTGATATCATCAACAATGTCCAAGATTTGTTGAAAAATACTATCAACCAATGTGAAAAACAAATTAGGTAAGTTTTCATTTAATTTAAATAAAAAGCATTTTTTAAAAAAGTTTTAAAAAAAGTATTTAGGGTTTAAACAAAGACTTATCAATTTCTGCAATCAACTTTTGACCAAATTAGGTTAAACAAAATTCAGGATTATGTCTTCATAGTTTCTTAACTAATTAAAAAAAATAATTTCAATAGATCTTTTTAGGGGGGTCGGCATGGTCGAGTCGGTAAAGCTCAAGGTTTCTAAAAAGTCTCAAGTTCAAACCCTCTGGTAGATGAGGTTCATAAGCTGGGGACAGCCACTCTTCTAGGAGAGACAAAACTCCAAAATCAAACAATTGCTGCCTTGTAGTTTGTTCTTGGTTGGACAAAGGCTATGGAAGCAAATCCAAAAAGAAAAGCAGGCTGAACTCAGAGTCAATGACTTCATAAGTTCAATGGCGCATAGCCAGTTGACATGTATGTTTAATTGTGTTGGAGGGGATCCCTTCCAACACTAAAAATTAAAAACTAAGTAGAATAGAACTTTTGTAATTATTGTATAGTTTTCTTATCCCACATCTAGTGATAAAAATCATTGTTTTATTTAACAGGTTGAACAGAGATGCTAAACAAAATTTAGAAATGGACTGGAGTGATAAGAAAGAAGCCCTTGAAATTGAAACAAAAAGTGGGAGTCTCCGCAACCATCACACAAACAAACAGTTTCACGATGGAGCAGCTAAGTTTGAAGAAATGTAATACAACCCTCTGAACATAATCTAAAATAAAACTATACTTATTAAGTGAACAGTAGATTAAATATAAATAGATGAATTCACTTATAAATAATCAAAGAGCTGAAATTACTCATTAAGTAGTGCTTTTTTTTAATAGGCTCGCAGAGTTTCAAGTTAAATAATTTGAGATATAATTACTACATATTAGGACTGGGTACATTTTTTTTCCTAATCATCTTTTGCTATACAAGACATAATTTATACATTAAATTATTTTCTTAAGTATTTATTAAAAAAATGCTTTTAAAATTTGTAGTCAGTCAACACCTGAGTCTTGGGCTCAGTTTACACATGACAACATTGCAAGGGCTGAACATGAGCGCATGGCTAGCATTCAGCTGAGAACTCTAGTAGACAATGTGTTGGACGACACATCTCGTGACATGCGTGAACAGGCTGATCAAGTTGATGTTAGTTTCACCAACAGAATTGCAGAAATGGAGGATGCAAAGACAAAACTGGAAGAAAATTTGACAAAGGTCTGAAATTAAAATATTGTTCAGTTCTTTATGACTGGTGACCACCAGTAGTTGTCAAATCTTTTGTTTTAATAACCTTTCCACATTTTTAACAAATTCTAATCATTCACAAAAATACATTTCCCAAAACTAATTTTTTAAGGTGGTGAAGCAAATTAAAGATCAAGAAAAGAACATGGAGGAGCTACAGCAAGCTATTCGAGACAAAGAAGACCCGCTTAAAGTGGCTCAAACACGACTCTACAATCGTACTTACAGGCCTGGTGTTGAGCTTTGTCGGGATCCAGCACAGTATCAGTATGTATCTTTTCTAATCAGGCAATAACATTTGCAGAAAATAATTTTGACTTAGTATTTGAAATTTTGTTTGGTCACTAAAATGGATGGTTTTTTTTTCACTGCTTATCTGTATTTTTGTTGGTTAGAGACAAAAGCTTGTTGGCCTCACAAAATGCTGCTAGTTTTGAATTTTAGACTGCATATTTTTTAAAAGTATTTTTCTCCACAACACTTGTGATCAACATGCAGCAGTTATTTTAGCATTAGTTGATAAATTGCTTGGCTTGTTCTTAAAAAAAAAATACTTTTTTATTTCAGTTTGGTTGGTGAAGTAAATGAAATCAATCAATCTATTGATGCACTGAAGCTCAAACTGAATGATGCACAAAACTCACTGAAAGACCTACAAGACAACCGCATGGCTTTGGAAAAAGAAATTGCTGTAAAAAAGAACAGCATATTTATCGATCGTGATAAGTGCTTAACAGTTAGGAACAGATTTCCATCTAGCATTAAACTGCAGGGTTACCAGTAACAATTCCTATATTGTATTTTTAAAAAAATCATTAACAATTATTCAGTTGTTTATCTATTTAGCCATTGCCTACACATTTTACAAAGCCTTGTTTACACAAAAATGTTTCTTATTATGGCTGTGATTATCTTTCTCACAATATATTTAATTAAATTAAAAAAAACAACTTTCTCATTAGTCTATGCCATGTACATAAATAACAGAAATGTTGAAGTAATTTTCAGTATTATAACTGTTGTGCTCTCTAGTGAAGCTCGTTTCTTTTTGAGTGATAGATCGAATGGCAGACAGCTGTGGTTAATGTATGTATGTTGCATCAATATATAGAATGTTTTTCAACCTAAAAAATAGCCAACTACATTTGCTTTGAAAGGGTGTTTTAACACATTCACATTTTTAAAAAAAAAAAAGCTTTGCATTCTAAAAACTTTTTGATTGTTTTACATTCACTTTTGGTAGTTTCTATTGCTTTATAAAATTGTAATGTATAATTTAAAAAATAAAAAGGTTAAAGACAAATATTGCAGTTTTTTAAATTCCTAAATTATCTGTAGTCTAGCAGTTTGTTTTGGGCAGGCATTTTGGTGAGCAATCAAACACATTTTTAATCTTAATCTTGCAAAAGTGGAGACTACTACTATTCTCAAACTTCATGTGATCATATAAATAATCCAAGTTTAAAATATTTTCACACCCAGCTTGCTTCTTAATTTTAGTGTTGGAAGGGGGATCCCCTCTAACACAAGTATACATGTCAACTGGTTATGCACCAGAGTCCAATTTCAGCCTGCTTTTCTTACTGGATTTGCTTCCTAAGCCTTTGTCCAACCAAGAACAAACTACAAGGCAGCAGTTGTTTGATTTTGGAGTTAGTCTCTCCTAGAAGAGTGGCTGTCTCCAGCTAACAAGCCTCATCTGCCCAAGGGTTTAAACTTGAGACTTTTCGATTTGGCAACCATGAGCTTTACAGACTCGACCACGACGACCCCACCAAGCTTGCCTTTTCATGCTCTTAGACTTTCTTCTTCGTTCTTAATTTTTAATGTTGGAAGGGATTGAGCCTTATCTGCCAGAGGGTTGAACTTCAACCATGAGCTATTGCCAACTCGACCACGCCTCCATCACAATTAAGGATATGTGTCAACTGGTTATGAGCTATTGAGTCAGATTTTAGCCTGCTTTTCTTTTTGGATTTGCTTCCATAGCAAGAACAAACTACAAGGCAGCAGATGTTTGATTTTGGAGTTGTCTCTCCTAGAAGAGTTGCTGTCCCGAGCTAAGGAGCCTCATCTGCCCGAGGGTTTGAACTCGAGACTTCAGTTTAGCAACCATGAGCTTTACCGACTCGACCACGACGACCCCATATCTTAAACTTTAATAAAATATAAATCAAGCCAGTTAAACAATAGAAATACATTTATTTTCTTGTACATACATTAAAATCATCTGAACTCTCATAAGGTCAAGTATTTTGTGGGCAAAAATCTTTATCCTTTTAAATTAAGTATAGGGTAACATAATTTTAAATCAATATTTGAAATAAGACTTAAGACTGTAACCAATGATTGAGTAAAAAACAAAAGAAACAGGTCAGTAAAAAAAAAATAATTTTTAACAAAATTTCCTTTCCCAATAGTAGTAAGGTTTTACCACAAAGGTAAATTTGATTAAAGTAATAATTAATAAAAGCACCAAGTATTACAATACTGACCTTTTGTGAGTAAAACATGAATACTAAAAATATTGAACACACAATAAAAACAATTACTCATTTCTTTACATTCATTCGTCAAATTATGTTAAGAACACTAAGTAGTTCCTCATGCACTAGTCTTTAAGATTTGCAGTGCACAATTAAAAATTTAGAGTGAGGTACTTATTAGTGTAATAAATTCAATGCATTAGCTAAGTAAAACAGTGGAATGATGATTCCAAGTTTGTATTTTTATGTTTGGTTAAAGAACTATGATGAAATTAAACAACATTCAAATAGACATATTAACCAGTTAAGCATATTATTAACAGAAAAACCATTAATACAAAAAAGTGTCAACAACTAAAATCTTCTGACTGTAGCAGCTGCTATACCAAACCTATTGTCACCCTGTCTGGTCAAACTTCCTTGCATCATAACAGGTGGACCTGACATTGCTGGTTGAGCAATAAACACCGGTCCACCACCAAGACCACTTGCCATCATTGGACCTTGCTGAATGCTGAAACTACCTCCAGGCTGTGACATTACCACCCCACTTTCCCATCCATCACTTTGGCCCATTCCACTAGAGCTCAATCCTTGAGTCCACCCTCCATCCATTTTAGAGCGCTCCACTGGACCGTTCCAGGCACCTGAGCCACCACCAGAACCCCGACTTGATTCTACAAAAAATATAAAATAAAACTAAGAGACTGCAAACAAATACAGCATGGTGTTTAAGAAAAGAATAAGAAAGAATAAGATTTAATTACCTCTTTCTGTTTTCCAGTCTCGAGACTCGTGTCTTGGTGGCCCACGTCCTGATTCTCTACCAGATGGTCTATCATCTCTGGATGATCTGGCATCTCTAGGTCCCCTATCCTCTCTGAAGGCAGGTCTATGTTCATCAGCTCGCCTGCTGTAATCTCTATCCCTTGGCTCACGGTCACGGGGTGGCCTTTCTCTGTCTTCAAATCTGCACAAAATATCTCAAAACTAAAAAAGTTGCAATCAAAGGACTTGTTTTATCTAAACCCTGCTGCAATTGCTTGTGGTTGAAACTAAGGCTTGATTTAAAGAAAAAAAAAATTTAATACCTTTCATGTCTTCCACGATCATCTCGCCGACCATCAAACCTCCCAGATTTTTCAATAGGATCTCTTCTGTCAAATCGCTCTGGCTTGCGATCAAATCTGTTACCCCTGAAATTATAATAACTACTGCTTTTTTTCATGTGGTAAAATGCGTTCAAGCCAGGTTCAGATGAGCCCAATTTCTAACCCTGGAATGTACAGTTAAAAAACTATATTTCCCTTCCAAAAATTCGAAAAAGCATCAGAATTTGCCTGGTGTTTTTGGTATTTTCCTATTGACTGATTTTAGGGTTAAAAATTGGAGAACATTTTTTTAAAACCAATTAAAAAAATGCTTTGATAGAAATATCAGGGAAAAAAAAATGAGGTATCGTCATGATGAGCATTTACAATTGTCATAATTTAATTAAAGATGTGAATGGATTTGACTCTGCAATGTTTTAACAAGAAGCATGCACACAGTAAAAAAATTGTCCAAATTATTACAGTGACAATAACCTGTCTCCGGAACTATATCGATCTGACATTGGACGTTTGCTAGGCCATTCTTCATCCCGTAAACTTGGTCTGTCGCCTGGTCTCTTCATTGCTCTGCGGTCTTGTAATACTCTGGTGATACATTAAACTAGATGGTAAGCCTGTTGTAACTCAGTTCTAACACTAACCATTAACATAACACAGGTCACTATGCCTGACATTCTTATACCCATCCTAAAAAGGAACTGGCATTTATAAGTTTTGTCAAGTTAACATCTAAGACAAACTCAATGTTTTCCAACTAGTATTTCTAAACTAAATCTAGCAGAAACCAAGACAGCACGTTGTTACCTTTGTTGCTCTCTTCTATATGTTTCTTGTTCACGTTCAATTTGAAGACGTTCAGTTTCAAGTCGTAATCTTTCTGCTTCCATTCTCTCTCTCTCTATTTCTTCTCGCATTTCTCTACAAATAATAAAAAACCATTGCAACAGCACACATTACCACTAGCATTATTTTAACATACTAGAGACAAAGTTAAGATTAGTGAAAAATAAAAACTAGAAAGTCTATCAGTCATAATAAGAAAGAAGTTTAAATTTCTAGATCAGTCTTATTAGCTATTTAATGTTTATTATCATTAGCTGTGAATATTTATTACAAATTTGTTATTTGACAAGACCATTTTTAGTTACAAGCTAAAAAGAAGTTTCATATTAATCAACAAAAAGTACATAAATTTAAATATCTAACCGTAGCCTTCGTCTCTCTCTTTCAATTTTAAGCGCCTCTTCTCGTTGTCGCTTTTCAATTAACTGCTGCTTATATTGTTCTTGTTCTAGATCTAATTGCCTACGACGAGCTTCATGGCGAAGATACATTTCTTTGCGTCGCAATCGCTCACGTTCTCTTTCAGCCTTAAAATTGAACAATTAGAATACGAAATTTAAAAAGGTTGAAATGAACAGCTTTATAATCTTTCAACATGTTAATATGAAAAAAAGTTGAGCAACATTAAATAAGACTATTTAACAGAATAAAACGGCTTTAATGTCGCTTTTTTAAAAGAAACTTTTACTAGCAAAAGAAAAATTTAAAAACTGGATAATTTTAAACTAAAAATCCCTGATTAAACAACAAAATCTAACCTTAATTTTTTCAAAAGATAAGACATCCAATTCTTTTCTTTCCCTTCTTTCTCTATCTGAAAGACTTGACCTCTCTCTAGAATGCCTGTGGTGATCTTGTAAAGAAATATAAAATTAAATAACCATAGACAATACAATCATATTAAGAATACAAGCCCCAAAGTTGTTAAGACATACTTTAAGCAGTTATTTCTAGATGAAAAAACCAAGGGATAGCTCAAAATTACAAATTATCGTTTAAGAATGTTCTAGTATTGACAGCGATTCAATTTTACCTCCAGACCTTGCACTTGTACTACGAGGGGAATGTCTTCTATCCCTACTTCTTTGGCGTGAAGTGCTACGGGCATTTTCCTCTTTATCCTCTGTTTTATCTTTATCAACTTCTTTACTTGGATCTTTTGTTAAGTCTTTTTTGTCTACAGAAGTTAACATTTTTAAAATGATAAATCTCTTTATTTGGGATATAGGTGATGATAGTGTAGTACTAGTAATTTGACACCAATTTTTTTTATACCTCCTTCTTTACGTGCACCCAAAGACTTTGAGTCAGATCTTCGTACAGGGTGAGATTTTGTGGGTGATTTTATTCCACTAGGTGGTAATACTTTAGCTTTAGTTCCTTGTGGTTCAGTCTTGGCCTTTAAGTATGGAACAAGCAGTTATTATAAAAGCAAATATAAATTATAATAATAAAAATATTTTAAGCAACTGACAAATAGGATTAGCATATTTCATTCATTTTTTTAGTATCCAAAAAGAAAAACAACTTATAAAAGATGTTTGCTTGGCTTCATCTGGTAATATTTTAAAGGATTGATACAAAAATTAGATTTTCCCCTTGAGCAAGGAAAGAATATCATACCCTTTCAACAGATATCATTCTTCCATGTAGTTCTGTTCGATGAAGATTATTAATGCATTTTGTAGCTTCATCTGCAGAGCCCATGGTCACAAAACCATAGCACCTTGAGCCTGGACATCTGGCATTGGTTACCACTTTAGCACCTATAACCTATACATTTATTTACAAATTAATAAAACAAGCTTTCTGTTAAGTTAAAATACAATAAAATGACAATTGCAGAAGAAAATGAGTATGAAATAAAAATTTACCTTTCCATGTTTGCTAAAAAGAGTCTTAAGATCTGTAGCTCTTGTGCTTGATGATAAACCACTAACCCAAAGGTTTCTACTGCATTGAGAAGCTAAAAAGAAAGTTAAAGTATTTCTTTTCAAACAAGAACATACAAAAATACAATAGCATTTTTTACCACAATGAAAGGTACATATTTTTGAAGGGAGGAGAAAAAACTTAACTTGTTAAGACAATGATGCTCCTAGTGCTAAACCGTAACGACGCTTACACAACGTCCAATACAATTTTCTCCATTTAATTAGCCCCCCTCCCCCTAAATCCAAGTTTTTAATAATAAATCTAGGTCATATCGCTGGAGCAGCCATTTTTTGTTGTATTTACTTCTTGAAATTTTCTCGTTGCTTGATTTTTGTATTTAATGGAATTTTTTTTTTAAAACCACAAGCAAATTAGCCTTTTAAAAAACACTGCCCAAAGCAGTTTAGTAGCAGCGTCTAAACGTTTACTAATGCGATCCATGAATTTTGTAGAAAAATGGAAACACTTTTGTTTTCTATGAATAAGAACTCATGAAAAATAATTCTTATAATTAATTTTCCTGACAGAAACGTAGTTATTCCATGAACAAAAAACCCCCCCTTTTTTTTTTCTTTAAAACTAATTAATAATCTTTGTTCAATAAATAATTACTTAAAACGTATATCAGTAAAAAGATATATGAGTTGTTTTGCTGCAGGGGTACTGGAAATTTAAAAAAAAAAAAAAAGTTAAAATTTTTAAATTACGGTTAGAAGTGAAAATAATTACGGGCTTAAAGAGTTTAAATTATATATGTATGGTAGCAAATTAATATGCTTGGTATAAAAATAGCAGGTAGTAAATTTGAAATGTAAGACCACTTAACTACAAAAAAAAAAAAGAATGAGTATAAGAAAGAAAAAAACTACTTATGCCTTTTATATAAAAACTATGTAATTTCTGTAGCTTGTTTTTGGTAGCTCTATACATTTCTAAACTGCTATGCAATAGACTAATACAAAATAATAAGACCTGTAAGAGAACAATATCTTTTGACTAATTTTACAATCATGTTAGTGGTCAAAGATTGCACCATATTTTGTGTTAAAGAGTGATCATACTTTCCACCACATTTTCTATCTATAATAAATAGTTACTGATGCCATGTTAGTTTTAGTCCCTTACATTATACATTCCTCAGAATGCTCATTTATTAAGGAATGAGTTAAGTGTTCACGATGTTGAATGCCCCATATGTCAACAGCTATGTGTAATCGGTGAACAAGAAAACTGACACAAATGAAAAATTGCAATTCCTCTTTAAATTGTTTTTGTATTCCCCCACTCCCAAGAATTTTTAAAATTCAGCAGAAGAAAAATATAATGCATGAGAAATAGATTGTAAGTGATTTTAGCTGACTTCCACAAATGGTGTGACGGTTAACAAATCCGATTGATCATGGAGTGTTACACTTAGGTTTAAAAAGTACTCACTTTTCTCATCTTTCTTAACTGTTTTAACTGAGGTGCTGTAAAAAAAAAAGAAAAGAAAATTGACACACATTAACATACATAAGTTAAAATAATACTGATGAAACTTGACTGTTGAAAATAATGTAGTCACAAAAGTAACAAGCTGCAATGTCATGTAAATTTTTAAAAATAAGAAAAAGTACAAGACTCAGAATTTATAATATGTTAAATGTATAGCTGAAATGTCAGTAACAAACCCTGTCTCAAAAGTTCAACTATTTCATAACAAAGGTACAACACCTGAAATGTGAGATATGATGAGATTTCAAAATGATTAAAAAATGCTGTAATGAAAATTCACTCTTGGGCATTGATCAACATCAACGGATAGATGCTTTGAATAGCGAAAGAACTTAAGAAAAAAGTAAACTATTTCCCCAAAATAACTGTAGACTGCACAATCAAACAAAGCTAGTTAAAGGACGTAAAACAAACCTCTTGGCTGCAGTCTTCAAGTCTTTTTCTTCTTTACTTGCAGGTGTCTTGTTGGTGTCCTTTATGTCAGCATTTTCAGTTGAATTTGCTGTATTATCGGTAGTTGTAGCAGAATTTTCTGGCTCACTACCTGGCGCTACACCTGTTTTCTTCCCATCTCCCTCCTGAGTACTGGCAGCTTCAGTACCTTTCCCCTCACCATGTTGACTGTCCAAGAGATCAGCATCTATTTCATTTAACATGGTGTCATCAACCTGTACAACAAAAGATTCATCCCCACCTTCTGATGCAGCAGATGATTCATTTTTCTCAGATTTTGTTGCAACTGCAGTTTTTGTTGAGCTAGCAACAGCATTTGATGTGTTGGTGATATTGACAGAAGAATCAGCATTTGATTCAACATTGTCTTTTAATTCCACTTTTACTTCAGTAGTTTCCATATTGTGAATATCAGTATTTGAATCCTCATTTCCATGATCGACACTTGAGCTTTCTGGCATACTTTCTTCTCCTACCCCTTCCAAGAATTCTGCTGGCATTTCACCAGATTCATCATCTGGATTGCCTTCAATGTCACATTCCTCAGCTGCATCTCCAACATCCTCAGGAGCATCCTCCTGTTCAGGAACATCAGTAGCATCAGCCAATAACTGGGTTTCTTCTGAAGATTTGCCACCATTCTCCTCAACTTGGGGAACTAAAGAAATTCACAAAATGAGATTAGGATAACATATAATCTGGACGGTGGCTAGAAGCTTCATGGGCTGACTCTGTGCAGCTAACCAGCATACTTACAACATCAGACAGAGAAGATGAGTATCTTTCAATCCTTGCTCCACAAAAGCAGCAATCAGATGACGTGTGATGAAATATGATTAAATAAGAAACAACGGCACACCAAAACAAGGTTTAGAAAATTAAAGAAAGAAAAAGTGACTTCAGGTTTTCAATCGAGTCACATTCCAAGATTTTCCAGAATTTTAGTCTCAACTGCAATGTTTAGGTTAAAATTTTCTTTCCCTAGGTGGTATTAATCAGAACTAAACACGAGAGAATCCACCTTCCACATTTCTTGCTTGATAAAGATGATTCATACTCTTGAAACAGCTACTTAGAAATATGACTTTCACCGATACGCTTGAATGCTATTATGACTATTTAAACAAACAACTGGTAAATTGTAATATAAAGGCTGTTATATCAGCTGAAATACCCCTCATTTAAAAAAAAAAAAAACTTTTGACGTCAATTAGCTCAAAATAAATACCTTCAGTGGATCCTAAGTTGTTATCACTTTGTTGTTCATCCTGAAAATTGTAAATAAAAAGCAGTAGCAAAACAAGTTAAAATGTTCTTCGATTTTTTATAATTAGAAGTTTACTTTTTGGATTATAAATTAATCACCCATTAAAGACCATCTGGATTTTTCACTTCAATAAAATTTTATTATGCAAACAATTTCTGTATCGGAAAACTATTATTTGATTTGAGGACTACATTTTTTAAAACAATGTTAGAAATTCTTTTAAAGATTCACTATCAAAATTAACTTTTAAAATTATTAGCACTGTACAACAATTTTAACATGTCAACACATTAAAAAAAATACAATATAACCCTCAACCCAGTAGTTAATGGTAAAAGGCATTAGAAGTAAAATTTTTCAAGAATATTATTTTTCTTCACATTTACTCCAAAAAAATTTTTTAGTCAATCACAGGTAAAACGAGGCTGATTACAGAAAATAAGCTAGCTATAAAGAACACAAAATTCAGAAATAAGCTACCTCGTCAAGAGAAAGAAGTTTATCTTCAGAAATTAAAGGATTGTTATTTCCACAGGAATTAACATCACCATCAAGTCCAGCCATTTCATTTGCAAGATCTCCCTCAGCTGCCATTAAAATATCTTCATTTGCTTCCTCTTCGTCATTTTTCTCAGTGTTACTATCATCATCTACAAATGTCAACAACAAAAAGAAATATAATTGAACCATTGCAAAACTTATAACTAAGCTAATATCACTTAAATTTCTCTTAATTTTTTCAAGGACATCAATCATATATTTATAGTGCAGACATTTCTGGTGCTTTAACCCTTAAGGGTCCTGCCAAGAACAGATGTAGGGTGGCATACTGGTTCAAGCCAGCGTGTTTGCAACCTACATGTTTGTATGATGTTTGCATTGGGCTAGCAAACCCATCAGAGTAAAAACATCAATGCTACAGAAACATTTACAGTATCCAGAAAATGTCTGCTAATCTCAGAGAGAGAGAGATCATGTAAAGGGAACTACGGAAACTGAGCAGATCAATCTAACCCAAAAGGGAGCTTATTAGCAGACTTCCTTCTTATGTTATTGTATGAGGTAATCAAGTAATATCAGGTGAGAATATATAACAATATACTTAAATACCAGGAGGCAGTGAGGAAAGATGGACACAGGATAAAATTAAATACTCGAGTAATAGTTTCTCTATTCTTGCCATTCAGATATAGAAGCTCAACACACGGAGTAGCAATCAGATATGCCTATCTCCCACTTCCAAAAGTCATACCAACAGTCATAGATAAAAAGTATAATTTTAAGCAAAACAGAGAAACATGAAAATAAAATATACACAGTAGATAAAAAAAAAAAAACCAACATGTAGGTAAACCTGAGACCCCCCCCCCCATTAATCTTTATTTGGATTATTTGTTCATGACGCTCAGTGCTAGGTCATATGAACAACAATAGCTCAAGCATGTTTTTTTAGGGTCTAGATATCTAGTTACTATTACTTAATAAATGCTAACACTAGTCATGGGTTCACCGTATTTTCCTCCAAATTTTATTTAAAACATAAAAAGAACATTTATTTCTGTATTCCTTCTTTGTTTTATAATTGAACATTTATAACAATACTTTAAAATTTGTGCTCATTTTAAAGACCCAAATCTCTGCAGCTAACCTTTCGACATTATCTACATAAAAGTATGTATGTAAACAGGAGTACCATTTCAATTTGGTTGACCAAACTTTATACATAAATATAAGATATTTTAACACGTTTTTCTTAACTCAGCTTCGCGTTTGTTTGTTTGTTGTTAAAATTGACAACGAAAATTAGCCCACTTCTGATTGCTCTAGAGATCTGAAATTCGGCATGCAGGCTATTTTCGCCTAACAATTTCAGATGCAATCATAAAAACTAGCAATTAGAGACCTAAATTAGCTTAATTAAATTACGCCCCTAGGACCCTAAAATTGAGGACATGATTTCTCAAAAAAAAAAAAAAAAAAAACGCATGTAAATTTATAAAGTACTAATAATATCCCGCACTTTTATACACATTTTATTAGGCGTTCACTTGGTGTGGGACGGAGTGGTCTAGCGGTAGAGAGCTGGACTGCTAACCCGTTAGTCTCGAGTTCGAATCCGAGTTCAAGTCAGTAGACCGTCCCTGAGTCCACCCAACTCTGATGAGTACCTAACTCCTGTTAGGGAAAGTAAAGGCGGCTGGGCATAGTGCTGACCACACTATCTCTTCATATGCCGAGGTCACAGAAACAAGTGAACTCTACTTCACTTGCCCCATAGACCATCAGGTTTGAAAGAGAAACTTTTCACTTGGTGTGCAATTCTTTTTTTTATTACGTTTTTTTTAATGTTTTACAGTATTTAAAAACACTAAGTCAAGTCATACTTAATCAAGTCATTAGATAAAGTAGAAAATAAACTATATAAAAAACTTTTTAAAAACCATGTTTTTCATGTGTAGCAACGGACTAAAAAGGAGAAAATAAAATACTTTAAAAAAAATTAAAAAAAAAAACACGTTTTTCTTGTGGACTAAAAAGTAGAAAATAAATTTTTCTTCCGACCCTAGGGGATCTACCAATGACTGCTCGTAGATTTTGTGCTTCCTCGAGCTGTGCAGGTTCTTGTGATGACTGTTCATACATTTGATGACAAAAAAACGTGGGTCGGGCAGATTTATGATTAAAGCGAAAACGTAACCTATATCAACGGAAATAGTTTTATTTTAAGATGCTCAGTTAAAAAAAGTAGTAAATATCATCCTAGGCCTAAATGATGCTCAGTTTAAATGTTCTTAATTTTTTGTGACTGAACGAAAGGATATTTTTGAAAACTTTCTTCAGCAATATTGTTCTAAATTATGGCAGGAATCGATTGGTAAATGTTTCAAGTCGCTAAGTGGTCTGGTTGCCGAGATATGAACCAAAAACTGCGTTTGTTCGAGGTTTTTTGGCTTTTCCGGGAAATCCAGGAAGGAATTCCTGGAATTTTTTTGGCCCACAATCATCCTTGGAACTTGCTTAACATATTTGCTTTTGGAACTAGTCCTCGATATTGCTTCGTTGAGGAGGAGATACGACTTAAAGCTGGGGACACACATCCATCCAGAAATGACGAGTTAATAATCGCAATTGTCCGTATGGAAATTGCGCTAAAAAGTACTAAAAAAAAAAAAACCTTTCTATAGCCCCATTGGACTGAAAGTGCCATACTGTTATATATGAGAAAGTGGAGGAGATCACTAACGCATTACTTAAAATGCGCAAGAAGACAGATCAGGCTACAGCAAGCTGATCAAGCAAAGGATAGATCTTAATCTTGCTACCTCCCCTTAGTTTCAAATAGTTTAAAAACTCTATTATCTGCCGCTAATAGCCTTCACTTACTCGACCTGGCTCTACGAACAAAATCGCTGCATTAGGAGTGGTTCAAAATTGACTACAAGATTTGCCACAAACAAACAGGTGTTGCGAACAAAATAAAAGCTTGAAAAAAATTAAAAAAAACCCAGGAAAGAATGAATGAATAGCTGTACAACAACTGCAAAACAAGACGCAAAAGATAATTATTAAGAAGATAACAGATCTGTTATTATAAAGGTCAAATTAATTACATAGACAATTTAGTGATGGAGGTAGAAGTAGAAGCATCAAAAGGAAACAAAAACCTGTACAGCATAACAAAGAATTAGGTAAACTGGCATACCTGTAAAGCATTGCAGTAATCTAGTTCTACACAGAGTGACGCAACATTTTAAGGGTTTTATCAAAGCATTACTTATTGTGTATTTTAGGCATGTGACTTCGATTTTCTAAAATGGAATTATTTAAATGTATTCAATTCAAATTCGGCGCTATATTTCTTACATTAATCACCCACCATGATAGTGTGGTTGTACCACCACAGGCTGTGTCCCTTGGTTAAGTTTAGTCATAGAATGTTGTGTCCCACCATGTCCCTAGTGTAGGGTACTCTTTAAAACCATGTAGGTGCACTAATGTAAACAGGGGAGCCCAGGGTGATCTACGTCATCCGACTGCAGGTGTAAGCACTTGATTCAATTTAGTCAATGATTACAGTAACCCACTGTATCCATAGTGCATGGCTCTCTTTAAAAGCAATGTAAGGAGCTGGGATGCCAAATTGTACACTGCCAGAGCACTGCCCCTACAAAATTATAATTTCTCTATCGATGAAACCTCCCGAGTATTCTCAACAACTTCTCTAAGTTTCATGCCGATCGGATTATAGGTGTAATAATGCATATAAGAAAAACAAACAAACCCATATATATATATATATATATATATATATATATATATATATATATATATATATATAGCTGTCCTTAAAAGAAAAAAACCTGCTTTTAAGTTCAACGATACTTTAAGTACAGCATTTACAAAAAGAAAAGCTAAAAAATGAACATTTTGAAAAATATTTTTTCTATCCTCAGATTTATCATATTTAATGGGAGAACAAAGACCCTACCTTCTGATTTTGTTTTTAATGGAGTGGGCATTGACTTTTTAGGAGTAATCTCAGATGTTTCAAATAAATAAGTGTTCACATCATGACCTTCCTCTTCAATAGCCTGTAGATTGAAATTAATAGATTAGACATAAATAATGTGATCTAGTTTTATAAGGAAGATTTTAAACTAAATAAATAGTACTATTTATACTTAATATAGAGCTTAAAATGTGTAGTAGAATGAAATAGAGTCTTGGAAATTTATAGTAACAGAAAAAAGCAAAAACTATATAAACACAACCCAGGAGAAGGGTTTGTAAGACTGCATTTGTTTACTATTTTTCAAAAGATAGGTTAAATAATATTTGTAGTTTGATCTATATCTACTTTTGCATGTTCTTCGATGTATAATATTAGATATCTGAAAGTAAAATGTCTGTATCCAGAGGCTTCAAACTAGACATGTTGATTCAGGTGTAATCTATAAGAATTTATGATTTGAATCTAATAAGAAAATATAACCTAGGCCTATATAAACTTTATAACAAATTTTCATAATGCATTTTTTGCTCTTGGCTCTCACTTTTATAATTATAAAGCCTTTCTCATACTTTTTTTCCCCCCAAAAATAATCAGTAAGCCAACAGCTTAGCTTATCTACGCTATTATTATTTTCAAAAGACCTCAAAATTTTGTCTCTAGTTGCATACATTAACTTCAAGCAGGTCAATTTCAAATAAGTTATTTAAGGTGGCTAAAATTTCACACAAAATAGGCATATAGGCCTAATTGTCCAACTCATTTTTGCAATAAAGTAGGTTTTATTTTTAAAAACTACTAGCACACCATTTGCACTCAGTGTTACTGAAAATCAAAAGTATGGTAATTTATCTTGGCTGCTTTACCTAGGCTATTTGATGGCTATAAAATGACACTTTTTGAGCAAGATATTTGATTATAAAGATAAGATTTTTTAAAATACAGTTAGGCTACTGTCACTCTATAATTTTTGTTTTGTAAACTAATAATCATTTTAAGATTTTTAGATAATTGGATATACAGATGTACAATAAGTGTATTAGGCTGTATAAATCTAGGGTTGGGATAGGGTTAGCATTGACATTAGCAAGTCATGACAGGTTGCTAACAAAAATATAGCGTCCACACCAGATGCAAGACTTCCTAAGATTTTTCGTCTTAGTTCCAGTGACTTTCTTAGAATAACTGTTTAAAATGTTTACCACAAGCAAAATGTCGGGGTTTTCATGTTATAGAAACAAACTATAGGTGGCAGAAAAGAATTTTAAAATTTGGTTTGTAGTTCCAATTAATTCAAGCATTTTTTGTGGAGCACTCTCCGGGAAAACTGAACCGCAGCAAAAACGACTGACTAACTGGAGAAACAGCCCGACTAACTCTAGATTAATATATAATTGAGATATTTAGCCTACCATGTTTAATTACAATATAGTTGTTTCCTTTTTCCAAAATCTAACCTGAAGGTACCTAAGCGACATTTCTATCAGATTTATTTCAGTTTAAAAAAAATCTATTATCTGACCTAATACTGTATTGTCTTTACAAGAAAAAAATTAAGTAGGATTTAATTTACAGTTTAAAGAAAGTTGATCTATCATCTGACATAATACTGTATTGTCTTTACAAGGACTAAATCTAGATTTCTGTCAGATCTAATTTTAGTTTTGGATATTATCACCATTATGGGTAGGCCTATCTATTTTTCAATTAATCATGTCTTTAATGTCTTAAAATAAATTGTACTTATGTAGAATTTATAGGCCTAATAAATGTCTTATATTTCCTAAATAAACAATGAATCGACCTATAAAGTTGTATAACTAACAAGATGTTTTGGTTTTTTTATATAAGTAAAATAGCCAATGTTGTCATAATTGTCATGTCATCATGCTAAGAATAGAGGACACAAACCAGCACAACTTTTTGAACTTTTTTGATGGCGAAAAAAAAAAAGTTACGCATTTATGATTTAATTTTAAGCAGTATTTAGGTAAATTTGATTGAATTAGTCTCAAAGTATTATCTCCTACTTTAGTCTAACTCAACAATAAAAATAATTAATTTCTAACCCCAAAGTAATTAATGCTGCGTACATACACATTAAATGATACCAGTTATCACTAGTCCCCATTGGACCCCTCCACAATTGATTTAATTGGAGGTCTACATAGGGCCTACAGTCTAGTAGTTAACAGTAGGCACATTAGTATACCTAGTGTGTAGCTAGTATACTAGTGTGTAGCTGTCCAGAGTTAAGATTGTTGGATGTAAAAAGGGGAGGTACTAGCTAATCTGCCTTGATGCTTTCCCCTGATAAGCCATGTGTGCTATATATTACATAACATGCCACCCCAGATTAGATGAGATCTAAGAACTGTAATCCATGTTACCTACAAAGAGATGAAGTTTTATGGTGGGCTAGAAACAGATGGGGGCTGGGTATCATGGAGGTAAGAAATTGTGATGGGGGAGCAGTGGTATTAATGTGTCTGATTGCTTCCCTACGGCTACTGGACCATGGGGGTCATAAATTACATAACATACCACCCTAGATTGGCTGAAATCTAAGAATAGTTATTTCTGTTACTAACAAAGAGATTAGAAGTTTTATGGTTGGTTAGAAACAGGTGGGGTCTGAGTCGGTTGTATTGCCCCTTAGGGGTAATAAGTATGTGTACCATTTTAAAAATTACCTGGCTAACATCAGATGTCTAAAATTTTGCTTTTTTGAAGGTTAGAATTGTATTTCTATCACTTAGACATAAGTGTGTTTAACAATTAATACATTTTGTATTAACTATTCTTATACCAGTGTCATATTCAGTGATCTAATAAATGAGAAACTTGCACAGAGGGCAATAAGAGCCACATAACAATATCTGTTATAACTTTTCTGAACATGCAAGCTAGTGGACAACCTTAATGTATTCGTGTAGATTTAGTTATTATCTAAAAAATAAAACCATTATGATATTGATCAGTCAAGTTTTACTCTGATAATGATAAAAACTTTATAGCATGGTAAAACTGGACAAAAGTCTGCCATTTTGTTTTGGCATCAACAATCACTGTGAAAAAAAAATTCACCAAAATAAAACTATTCTAGCCATAGCTATAAAAATAGTGTTAAAATGTTCAACAACCAATGCTCTAATACAGGAACAAAGAATGGTCTTGAAAAACTCATGTGGTTTATTACAAAGTGAAGTTTCCTAAGTTATGTCTATTTGGAAAAAAGTTCACAAAATGGTTTTATGGAGATTAGAAATTATAGTATAGGGAAAGAGCAGTGGGATTAAATCCTGTCTCATCCTCTCCCTATTGGACCAAGTGGGTCACAAATTACATAAAATGAATCCTCTGCTTTTCTGTTATCAAAGAACAGCAGTGGTTGTTACCTCAGAAGTAGATTAGCAGTGTTGAGTGTTATTGTAGCTAGGCCAATGCGGCTGCCGAGAAAATCGGACAAATCGGCTTTTCCCTACCCCCTGCATGTTCAACTCTGTTTTTTGCATGCTTTTATTGTGTTTATGTTAACATGTTATACATCATTCTGTTCGTAATTGAACAACCTTTTTAACTGTATAAGTTTGATTTCTTTATTATTTCAGACGTTGAAGAAATCGCCGATTTAATCGCATTTTTTACCCCCCGCGGCGACGTGCCGATTAGGGGGGAGGCTTTTTCACCTTTTTAAAAGAGGGGTGTTACTTAGAGTCTATAGACTCTTTGAGTTTTCGTACTACAACAGTGAAACTTGGTAGAAGAATAGATTAAATGTTCACGTATAACGCTCAAGGTTCTTGGGGAAAATATGTTAAATACTTTTGGAGATATCGAACGGCAAAGTTAAACTAAGTTATTTGGGCTATTAATGAACCGATTTTTAATTTGAACCTTGAGCTGTATTCCTGAAACCTCGACGTTTATTAATATGTATGATATGTCATATTAGGCCCTATAATAAGGACGTCTATAGACTTTGAAGTGGACCGAAAATCAAAACATGACGCGCCGACCGCTGTCCGACTGAACCGCTCGGCTGTGCTTCGAACCGCTGTGTTTTAAATATGACGCGCTACAGATTTTTTTTATAGACGTATCGAGTTTACGTACTATAACAATCAAATTTGGCAGACGAACAGATTAAATGTAGACGTACAACGCTCAAGGTTCGTGGTCAAAATAAGTTAAATACTTCGGGAGATATCGGACCGCAAAGTTGAACTAAGTTTCCCGGTCTATTATTTGACCTATTTTACATTTGAACCTTGAGCTGTATTCCTGAAATCCCGCCGTTTATTTTAATGTATGACATGTATTATAACACCTCATAAATAAGCCGTCCATACATTTTAAGACGGAACGAAAATAAAAATTAACGCGTCGGCCGCCGTCCGACTGAATCGTGATCTACACATCGTCTAGCACAGCCGAGTGTGTTCACGTGACGCTAGGCGGTTGATCCGATTGGATGAGACTATAAACAATTTCTAAAGATAGATACGTCGTGTGTTCCCGTATTTGACTCGTCGGGTATTGCTATTTTATATTTAAGTAGACAGGCATGTTTCATAACTTTGTTTTAAACCATTGAAACGGCAAAAAAAAAAGTCGTAATAGTATTTACTAATCGTCAAAATTAATCTTCTTTAGAAATTAATCCGGATAGCTGCGACCCGACCAAACAATGCTAGCGTGATTCGCGTGCCGTAACGTTTCATTATGTGTACATTACTTTTTCGTAAAAATATCTTTAAAAAATATATTAAATTTTACCCCGGGCTCTTTTTTTTTCGGTTGACTAAAAAATTTAAAAACCCTTAACAACGTGGAGGTTACTAGCTTGCCAAATCGACCAAAATGGGATGGGGTGGGTATGGGGAGTCACTGACCATCCTACACGGTATGTAACTATTGTAACACCGTATGTAACATCCATAGCCTCACCCCGCCCCTACTACTCCGTGACGCGACATGCCGAGGGTCGGCGCCTTTGATGTTGTATAACACCCGTACGGTACCCGAGCGGCTCGCGGTGGTTTCATACCCCACCTCCCTCCCCCTTCACTTTGTGGAGTTGATGTTACTAACCCTCGGGCATAGATCAGGAAATCTTCCCAGACTTTTGTCTCTAAAATTACATAATATTCGTCTGACACGTTCATCTGGTTGGCCGACTAGCCTATCTAGCCTCGTGTTTACGTAATACGGCAATAAAATTCGTTGGTCAGAAAACCTGGTTAACCACGTCTGATTTCACTAAATCTAGGCAAACGCTGATGGTGATAAACGCCTCCGGAAACTTAAAAAATGCCTAGCATCTACTACACACAGTCAAGCACTCAAACACGTGCTTTTTTCCCAATGTAATAGGCCTATGGTAGGCCTACAAAATACACAAGCTTACAACTAGCATAAACATTGAGCATATATAAATCTATGTTATAGACCTATAACTTACACTACCTTGTACAAGCAAAATAAAAAACAATTTTCCTCCAATATTATAAAAATTGTAAAAATGAGCAATTTTTTTGTATTTTAAAATATTACAAAATTGTCATAAAGCACACTGATTCTGATAAGACACTTTTGTAACTAGGCTAATTCTATAGAAGAAAGTTGTATCAATGGTATGACATTTAAAGTAACAAGAAATATAAATATAATAAGATATGCCTATATTTTGGAATAGAGTAGGCCTGTAGGATTGCACATAGATTACATCACATATTTTAAGAAGTTACATCATCACAAATATACTATTGTTATAACATCCTTCTCTTTGTATTAAAACTGTATTAGTTATCTTTTCTTTAAGTAGGCTATTCACTTAAGTTAACTGACAATGAGCAAAAGAGATTTTAAAATAAATACATGGTAAATTATGAGCAAAAGGTGCGAATTACATAACCTGACCTTTATAGTTTTGTAATAATGTTCGACCATTTTAAATACCACCATTAGCTTCAGCATATACAAATGTCATTTTATGGTTTAAAACAGTGTTTAATTTAAAGAATGACTTCTTATCACATTGATTATCAGATGTTGTAAAAAAAATTGAAGGGGGGGTATTACATAATCCATGAAATAAGTCTGTTATGTAATCAAAAGGCACTTTTTAAAATAGCATCATTGGATTCGGCATACAAAAATCTACAAAATATCATAAAATGACATCAATTGGTGAAGTCTGCTTACTTTTATACCACTTTAAGTGAAAAACTCTTAAAAATTTGGTCCATACCCTCCCAGTATTTTTCCTCTTTCAGGGTCTACCCCGGTTGTCTGAAAAAACTGCTGTTTTTTAATGACAAAAAAATTCATAACTTTTTTGTTTATGGTCAGATTTTGAAAATTCAAACTGATCTGTAATCAGATTGACAGCCCCTATCTAAATATGTAACTATTATATTGTTTTACTGAAATTAAATTTTTGCATTGGCCTAGCTAGTTATTGGGGGTTTTGTGGGGTGCTGATCGGGGCCTAATACCACACGGCTCTTAGTGCCCTGCTTTACCCTACCAAAAACGATAGATTGCCGAACATTTAAGTTCTCTAGATGAAAAAACTCAGTAGTAGACTAGTGATTTAGTAAAGTAATCTATGCAGTGAGTTGTATGCAGTCACGGAGTCAGTCAATGTAGGCCATTTTCTAGAGGGGGAGAGGCTACATGTTGCATATGTTAGCTCACAAACATTAATTCGTTGCCAATAATGTGTACTATTACCTTCTGAAGTCTTTCAAGCAATACCGACTTTATACCCGTCTTGTCAAGATTTCTCTTTTCTAATTCGCTTTTTAAATCAATTACTCGAAGGTCGATTAATTTCTTCTTCTCTTGAGAAGCCATGTTGCATGTGTAGTCGTCTGTCATAAAATACTCGACTACGTGCGAGTTTAGTCGAATCCCGGATTAGCCTACCTCTACATTACAAGCCTAAAATTAGTCTAAAATAAAAAGCCTGTTTCGATTTAAAATAAAAACATCATCACATGAAGTGTATCAATCATATTAGTATTATAGTATTATTCATTTACTGTATATGTATTCACATCGAATATTAAGCTTGATTTCAATTTTTACACCACATTCACATTTATAATAACACATACAGAAGTTATGCGCTCATAAGAAAGAAAACGTACTTTTTTCTCAAAGTTGTGCCTTCGATATTAATTTAAGAAAAAAAAAAGAAGCAGTGCACTAGACGGGGTAGGGATGTGTTTCTTTCACACAATTTTCTCCCGGGGGCGGACACTGATAAAAGTATATATTTTTATATAAATTATTTTTCTTTTATACCTTCATTTGCAAATATACAAACTACTAGATCTAGAACACACACGTAACTGTAAAATGTCAGAAATCTAGAATGTATATAGAACGTTATAGAACGTTATACCTTTCAATATTTTACTACGGGAATACAAGATTTGAATCTTGTTTTTCTCGAAATTATGTTTTTCGGCCATAGGCCTACTGTATTTGCACTCGATATAGACTAGTTGAAATTTTATGGTGGGTGAATACAATCGGATGAAATTAAGCTTCGTTATTTGTGGTCTAAAAGTTTCCCCCATCACCTGTTTTATAATTTTAGCTTATCTTAATATAGTAATTCAGGTGTAGTTAATATTCTGTGCTCATAAAAATTATAAATATACCCAAATGAACTTTATATATTGTAAAAATGTACAACGCCCGTGGATTGGAATTCAAATAGAATGTTACGAATTTCGTGCCCCATTGCCATTGTGCTTAGAGACAATTGTATTTTGAACAGAAAAATGTGCTGAATGTTTATGGAACAATGTAAAAATGTAAGAATATTTTTATAACTTTTAAGTTCATACACGTGGTAAAGTAAAAAAAAAAACAACAACAAATTCTGTGCCATTTGTGCTTGAACTTGATATTGGGGGCTGTTTCGCTGTAAACCGCATTGTCAGAAGCCGTTTTGACAAGGGTCATCTGTGATAAGAAGTTTTGGATGCGCCGTTTATAAAGAGCCAATTAAAAAAAAAGCCTCATAAACGAATATAAACCTACATAGAATTTCAACTCGTATCGGCGCAATCAGTAGGCTACAGTTTTGACTACATCTAGATCTAGCAGAAAGGATCTCTGGGCGCAACAATAATATTAATAAATGTGTATATTTCTTCAGTCAGTACTTCAACTCATAAATATCGTTTATTCTTTAAGGTATCGAATGAGATATGCAAATAAGGGTGATTTATACGCGATTGCCCGTATGTAATGATCGTTTGAGAATGCGCATGTCCACGACACATTTTGACCTTTTTATTTAGGGGACTTTTTTGGTTCCACTTGCCAAAGAGTGTCAAAAGCATGATCCTGTGGCAAATATTTAGAGGGCAAGTAATATACAAAGTGTAGTGTTAGTGTTATGAATATGATTAGATTTACTCATACTCTGTTCATTATATGTTATGATTTTCCATCAAATAAATTCATTCTAATATTTCTAGTCTCAGTGTTCGATCTAAATTAATGTTTACAATCTTAAAATATTTGATAAAATTAAAATACTCAACCAAAATCACATCCACTCCATGTCACTCCAGTGACTCCACTCATCATTCACATGCAATGCGAACGCGCCTGGTCTTGGTCTGCTAGACATAGATCTAGGACACTGACTTAATCTAGACCCCTAGATCTAGTTCTAGATTTAGTAGACTCCTAGGTCTAGATAAATCAAGTCGAGATCTTTTGAACGTTTTAAAGTTTCAATAGTTATCAAGATCTTGTCACTTTTATTATTATTCTAATAATTCCATTGATTGGATAGCTGGGGTGGGCGTTTCTCCCAGTCTTCACTCTGGCCCTAGGCAAGTCTAAGGGGGCGGGGGGGTGGGGAGGAGGACAACGTAGATCTACTTTCAACTTTGAGTTGTCAGTTTAACCTACTTTCAACTTTGAGTTGTCAGTTTAACCATAGCATCAATGATTATTAAATAAATAGGCCTACTTACTTAAGAAAATTAAGATTAATTAATAATTCCCAAGCCTAATTTAAATATAAAAGTAATAGCTAATACTGTAAAAGGCCCTATCACTTGAACTTAATGTCTTAATTGAGATTTGTAATTTTCTAGATAAGATCTACTAACTCTAGTTCTAGATAGTAGATAGTGATACAATCAATGTAATGTGTATAATCAGAAAGGGAATATGAATATAGTATAGTAAGTATAATAAAATATAGAGTAGGTCCTATCTTGTTGGGGTTGGGCTAGAGTGGTGGTTTATCATTTTGATATAAAAATATCTAGATATCCAAATCATATATTGACATAATTATATCTATAGTCTGTCTTTAGATAGGCCTATATATATAGGCCTATAGATAGATCTATTTTAAATAAAATATGATATGGGGGTGATAACCTTGTAGAATCTAGATTATTTAGGCTATGTACTATATGCATAATATGGTTCAAAATGTCTCTTTGTTTTGTATTTATAAAATAACAGATTCTAGGGTTTTTAAAAATTAAATTTAATAGGCCTATCTAGGACCTTTAGTTTAGACCTAGATCTATATAATGTATAAAATATATGGATCTGGGGCCTTTTTAGTTTTATTATATGTGCATAAAAGTAGTAAAGTGTAAACAGCATTGGGCTTTATTTTATTTCCCAGTTAAAAGTTTTAAGTAACCTGATAGGTCTAATAATTTAATATTAAATTTAGTCTATTTCTTATATTATTATTGTTATATAGGCCTATATTAGGTCTAGATTTGTGTGTGGAAAAATACAATTTTCTCTAAAATTTCACATTTTCAGAGATAGTAAGTTTCCAAGATATTGTTGCAGCAATGTCTAAATGTCGTTTGACAGTTTGTAAATCACAGTTTTCATTACTTTACCCGAAGTCTGAGCTCTTCATATCAGGCTTGTCAAATCTTGCTGTATTACACAGACATACAATAAGAACTGACCAAACCTGGTCAAAGAAAAAGTATTGTCGCTTAGTAAGTAAACACAGAAGTATTTAAGTAATTAAATTGTTATCTGTTTAAAGTTTTAAAGTTATGTACAGGCACACAATATAATTAAATTATTACTTTTTCCATAGTATGGTCAATCAAGACTGTGCAGTTGGTATGTTTTATCTGCCTTCTCCACAGCTCTTCATTTTGCTATAATAAATTTGGTTTTGTTATCTACTTTATAAATTATTAAAAGCTGTACCTTTTTTTTAGCTCACAACTAAAGCTGCAGCAACAGCCTCAGATTCCACCACAACCCCAACAACTGAAGAAGATGGAGCAAAAACTATGCTGCAAACAGTAGACATTGATAAAGATGAAATACTGACATTACATTTTAAGAAACTAAACAAACTTGTTGAAGTGAAGGCAGAACACATTGCTGATAGTTTATCTTTGCATAATAATCATAATTCCAATGTTTATCACTTGGATTTTTATAATGCAAGACAAAAATGTGTTACATCAAACCTATCGTGGAAAGTTCGAGAGGCTGTGCCAGACAAGACTAACCCAGGAACTAATATTCAATCTGTACAAGATGTTGAATGGCGGGAGCAGAAATTTGAGTACAAGCACCTGGCAGAGTATTACAAAATGCTCTCTAAGATGAGACTCACAGGTAATTTTTGATGGTGTATTTTAGTTATTTACAACACTAACAGCCCCAAAATACTTAGTTCTTTATCCGCACAGCCTTGCATACATTCCCTCCTGCCCAGAGATTATTTTGCCATGTACACCAATCTTGAGAACAATAGGAAGCTAAGAATTGATGATTTGTAGAGAATTATTTGGGCAAATTTGAACAAAAATTATGAAAATGTATTAACTGAATGTGCTTACAGCATTAATTGTTATAAATAAATGGTTTATATGATAAGTATCTAAAGGCTTATCTAGTCAATAGACTACTGGGACTAACCATAGTATATCCACTCAATCCAATTCAGGTTATAAACATTTATACTTTGATTAAAACAATCTTATTTAGTTTTAATGCCCAACTAATTACCTTTCTTCTAAATGTAATAAAATTTAGGTACGTTATTAAAATGTCTAGATAAAATAAAAATGTCACATCAACCAGTCTCAGCTGGCCTGACTGGTCAATAAGACAAAACTATGTGATCGGTCATCACACATAATTTTAAAAGCTAAAGTAGAGATATCTATTCATTCTTTTTTACTATTTAAATCAGGGTGGACGTGTGCTTTGGCAGAGTAACATTTTCCCTTGATCTCTCCCTGTAGTGACCTAATGTTTTCTATGTGCTCTGGTGCACTGCTAATCATTTATATCTTTTTGTTTTACTTTTGGAATCAAGTTAGTCTATTCTCATTCTTTCCAGGACTTGTTGTTCTGACAACCATGGCAGGTTACTGGATTGCTCCAGGACCTTTCAGTGCTTCTACACTTTTACTAGCCTCAGTAGGAACTGCTTTAACCTCTTGTGCAGCCAATTCTATTAACCAGGTAAAGTTAGCACTTTGTGAGATTATTCAGTTTTGATTGTGTGATAATTTCTTTCTACTATTACCATCTCAAAATTCATTTGTTGATACAGTTGTGTAATCAGATTAAAAATATTTTTTAAAACTTATTTTGTTGATCATACTTTTAGCTATTACAAGTGTGTGCAGTTCACTATCTATGTTACTGGTACTCTTAAAAGTTATTATTCAACATTTTTTTCTTTTGTGTATTCCAGTTTTTTGAAGTTCCATATGACTCACAAATGAACAGGACTAAGAATAGAGTGTTGGTTAGGGGATTACTGAGGTGAGCTTAACCATTAATGTCCCGTAACGCCCGCTGCCGCCCGACACCGTTAATGTCCCGTAACGCCCGCTGCCGCCCGCTTACAATACGCATAGAAAAATTAAATTTGTTTCATTAAAATTTGGCCTACAAATCCTAATTTTTAACTAAACAGGAAGTCAGATAGTTTAAGCATCCTTTTCCGGGATTCTAATTTCAATGGCGCTTTTGAAAGATAAAAAATAATAGTTTCTTTCTATCTCGAAATTTTAGACTCATCCGTCCTATTTTTAGTAGATTTAATATTAAAAATAAAATAAAATAATGCCTCTAAGCGTATCTAGGCATGTATTTTATGAATTATATATCTTAAACACAACCAAATTGATATTTAACTGTTAAATTCGATGCATAGTTGTTTAGAGAAAAATAAATAAAGTTGACTACCAAAAATGACCTGTTTTGAATTTTCTCCGACATTTTTTATTTTTATACTGCACTTTTACCGAATATAATATATTCTATTTAATACTGTTGGAAAGCCAGGTTTATTCCCAACATTAAGCAGTAGTTTTTATCTTAATTTTCAATTTCATTTAGAAAAAAACAAATATTTTGTGAAACTATTCACTTGATCATACAGAGTTATGCTCCTTACATTGGGCCGTCATGGGTGGAGTTTTGGTAGAATGAATGGGACATTAATGGTTAAAATGAAATTAAAAATAAATTAACAAGTGATCTTTTAAAAATATAACACTAAAAATATGGATCCTCTAAAAAAAATATGGATCCTCTAGCATTTTGAACAAGAAAATTTGGCGAATCCTGGTTTTACAAAGGAATATACAGAACATGATACTAATGCTGTTCACAAGATAAACTTAAATTTCAAAAATACATAATCATTTGTGTTTATTCCAGTGATTGAAATTTTTTATTTACATAACAGAAAGGGTTTTAATTAATAATTAAATGTTTTTAGTGAAACACAATGAAATAACTAAACAATTCTTTCTTCAGGATAAAAACTTCAAAAAGTGGAAGTATAAAAGTGCTTTTCTATTTCTAGCCCATTACATGGTGTTGGATTTGCAGTTTTGTCAAGCACAACTGGGCTTTGCCTTTTGTACAGTGGAGTAAATCCTATTGTAGCAGGGCTAGGTGCATTCAACCTTGCTTTGTATACATTAGCATATACACCTCTGAAACGTATCAGCATGATAAATACTTGGGTCGGTTCACTCGTTGGAGCCATTCCACCAATGATGGGTTGGGCTGCATGTACAGGAGCTCTAGATCCAGGTAAATTATTTGGTGGTTTTTCATAATAAATGCACTGATTGGTTTTGCCCATTTTATAAATCTTTTTAGGATTGTAAAAAATTCCATTTATTTGTTTTAGGTGCTTGGCTATTGGCTGGTATTCTTTACTCTTGGCAGTTCCCTCATTTCAATGCACTTAGTTGGAACCTGCGCCCTGATTACTCCCGTGCTGGTTATCGCATGATGTCCGTTGTTGACCCAGAATTATGCAAACGTGTTGCTTTTCGCCACTGCATCATTTTGACCTCCCTTTGCTTTGCAGCGCCTCCACTTGGCATTACCACCTGGACATTTGCTGCAGATGCTTTCCCTTTAAATCTTTACCTGTGTTATTTAGGCTGGCAGTTTTATCGCAAAGGTGACAGCAATTCTTCTCGTAAGCTGTTTCGTTTCTCTCTTATTCATATACCAGCTTTGTTACTTCTCATGGGAATAAGCAAAGCAACATTTGGTAGCCATGAAAAGGCTAAAGAAGAGATAAAAGAAGTTATGGACTCTTAACATTTGGTAATATTATAGTGTTGTAATAATTTGTGATAAAGAATAAAAATGTATTTTGTTTTCTTAAACTTGCTGTAAATAAAAACAATTCATCTATTTGTTATTGCAACATTTTTATTTACAAAAATTAAGCAGTTTTCTCAAGTAAGGGATTCCCCAAGACACAAATCTAAAAAAAAATTGCCTCACATTGTATAATTGTTTTATTAAAATCATAAGTAGTTATGAAGTATCTCTGTAATTACAGAGAATTGACAAAAAAAATTATACAAAGTTTTTAAATGTACATTCTTGATAATTAACATCCTTTTAATTTTAGTCAATGAAAGTGGATCTGATTTTCGTCATTTTACTCAAATTTTATTGAAAGAAATGCTACTGGATTTAATTGTATTACAGTTCAACTTGTGAGTTTAAAAACACTCGTACTGGTAGTTATTAAAAAAAAATGAATATTTTAATTTCATAATCAGTAGTTTTAAAATGGCCTTTATTTCTGAAAACATGTGGTGATAGTGCCAAAGCAACTTTTTGTTCATGGTTTGCTTTGATTATTACTAGATTAATTTAGGCCATCATATTGAAGATTATTGAATTGGTAACTTTCTGGGATGTCCTTGAAGCTGAATGGAAATTATGCCAGTTTTGATTGCATAAATTGTTTATTGAAGTAGTGGAAGAAAAACAATCAGCAAATGGCACTTCTTAAAGTTTCACACATTTCCTCTGTTGCTTTGATAGAAACTAAAGTGGTAGCATTATTATAACAAATGAATCGGCACACCCGATCTTTGACTAATTGTATGGAAACAATCTTATAGGTATTGGCCACACCATATCTGAAAAATACAATTTAAACCATAGTAAATATGCTTTATTTTTTAAAATTGTTCATTGACTAAAATGATGCAAACATTCAAGATAATGTGTTCAATTAAGATAGGTTTAGGGGATTATGGTTAAAAGGGGAAACAAAAGAAACAGATGAATTAACTAGTTACCTAAGAAAGTTAAAATGTATGAATTTAATAATGCTTGCAGTTTCAAATTTTCCTTTGAAAATGTTAATACAATTAAACAAGCTGCTTATATAAGGGGGTGACCTACCACTCTCCAAATAAGTATCAAAAGGTTTCTCATGCAAGTCAACAAATTCTTTAGGTGTAATCATACTACCATCAGATTCTTCTAACAAATAATGAACGACAGCTGGAAAAAAAAATTTACAGGATGCTTTACATACCACCTTTGTCTTTTAAGAACATTTAAATTTTAATTAAATTGACCTACACTGCAACAAAAAAAAATCTTGCGTTCCCTGTTAACATTCACGTTTTAAAAGAAAAGGCATCAAAAATTAGCTGCCAACAACTGTTTGGCACTGAATAAATGGGATGAATGATAGGAATAGGTAAAATAACTAGTTAACTGTTAGTACAAATAAACATTAGCATTTTGACATTTTGTTTTACAAAGAACTTTATCAATTGGAATGGTTGGTTAAGTCACATAAATGTTAAGGATAACATTCAAGGAAAATAGATTATATATAAAACTATTGTCATTTATTACAAAATCTTACATTGCTGAGGAAGAAGGTCTGGAACTTTATCATGCAAAGAATCCATAGCATTTTTCAAGTTTGGCTGGGAAATTTCAAACATAAAAATCAGATTGAAGCTTTAAATGTCCAATATGGGGTCCTCCATAAATGATGTCACACTCGTAGGGGGGGAGGGGGGGGGTCCGTAATTTTGTGACGGCATGTGAAGGGGGCGGGTTCAGATGGTGGGACGTCACATTTTTGCAAAAAGTAATGTTTATTTCGCGTTTTAGAAAACTGTTATAATAAATTGTAATAGGAATTGATTAAAATACTCTATGTTGAGAGAGTTCAGACAAGATTTTGGACAAATATCGATGTTTTAAGAAAAATTCAACTACAATTTTGAGGGGGGGGGGGTTGTAGGCTGAGGTGTGATGTCATTTTAGGGGGGGGGGGTCTGGCTTTTTGTGACAACGAGGGGGGGGGGGGGGAGATAAAAATTGTCAAAAAAAGCGTGATATCATTTATGGATGACCCCTATAAAACTATTAAAACAATTTTAAAAAACTGGGAATGCTAAAAGTAATTATTTTAAGATGAATACCCTTCATTCTTTCATATTAAAACTATGTGGTGCATTAACTACCTTTGGTTGCTTGTAAAGAAAAACGCCAAGCTTAAGAAGCTGTGTGAGGAGGTCAACAATGAGATTCTCAAAAGACTCTTTGGTGTCAAATGCTTCAATGCCATGTTCCACTATATCTAGTGTTCTGTATGACCATTGAGAGTAAAGCCGAATAGTAATGTAACTAAGTTAAGAAAAACACATTATGATGAAGTAGATTGAAATACATTAGAAAATATATATATAGATTTAGTTTTATATATTTATAATCTATAATAAAAATATCTCTCAATACATAGTTTTAAAGTTAAATAAAACTTAATATAAGGATATATCATGTGAAATAACTAAAATTTTTGACTTTGAAACAAAGGAATCAGTTTCTGTTTCATTCCTGAGCAAATCTTCTACAATTTTTAGAATCACATCTGAAGATGTCTGAAACAAAAAAAAAAACCCAACAAATTACAATTAAGTATCATATCGATTACAAACTAGATCTACCACTGGTTTTTAATTTATAACAAAAAAGAACTGAAAAAATGTGAAGAAATTATTTTGCAATGCAGTAGAAAAGAATTGTTAGATCTAGAGAATACACTCTTATTAAATGTCAGTAGATATACATACTGACCTCAACGACATGAACAATGTGTTTAAGATAGATCAGCATGAGTCCGGTTATTGGTTCACTGCCTGAGTAATCCTGTTGAAGTTTTTTCATAAATGACTCATAATAACCTGAAACAAAGTTTAGACAAAAATGCACTGAAGATTTGGGTAGTCTACAGTTTTAAAAGAGTTAACCAATGAGTTGGAATACCAGAATCCAGCAAATGAACTAAATTTTAAAAATGTGTCAGTTGAATACTTTACTTTTAGAAACTTTACTTAGCTGTACATCATATTAAGGTTAAATTTCATGTTATAGGAACACCTAACAGTAGAAATTAGTTGCTCAATATTGTGCTAAAAATAATAACTTTTTAAAAACTATTGAAAATTAAACTTACTGCCGATAGTATTTCTATCAACATTTGTAGAACTGATCTTTGAAATGTACACTAGCCGATGAACAAGATATTTCTGCAATATAAAGTAGTGTATATTAGATCTATATCACCTTACTCAAATTGTAACCTATTATTTTAGTCTATTTTATTTTAAATTATTAATTCTTAAAATATTATATTTTAAGTTTCTTAACATATTTTTAAAAATGTAAGGTGAATCAGATAATATTTTGTCAACAATTGTTGCAATATCATCAACATGTGATGTGTGAGAATGATCTGGTTCCTCTCAATCAGTCACATACACATAGTCACTGTACTCTGCACAATTGCAGAATGTTTCAATGTAGTACTAGTAGTAGTAGTATAATTTCAGATTCATGTATTATTTATTGCACATTGTAGTCTTGTAGTGAGAAAAAAATGCCCCCATGCCTACTGTCATTACCGTAATTGAATAAATGAATAAATAGTAAGTTGTAGCGTTTGGGCCTTGGGTCACTCAATTCAAATTCTCAATGTCTAATGGCTATGCATATGTATTAAATTATTAATGTAATGTGGCAATGCCATTAATAATAATATTATAATTATTATAACTACTAACTTGGTCATTTAATAAGATCGCATTTTCATCAAAAAGCTTACCCTATTTAAGCTTCGATTTCTGTCTTCGAGCAACTCAAGCAGTGATGTACGATGTGCTTCTTCGTTAGGCCCAATATTATTATTTTCTGTTTCGGCCGCCATCTTCAAACGTAGTTATAGCAACCTTAAGCCACTTTGTAGCGGAAGTAGTTTATCTCTAGAAATAAAATAATAAAAATAAAATAATTTCTATTAGCTCAAGATAGGTGGGTATTTTTATTACTCCTGAAAATTTACTCATCCGTGTTCAAATAGTTATAATTTGTCTATTTTCTAAATCTAATACTGCTTTAAACAACGCAGAATTAATTAATTTATTATTTATAGAAATTATAGTTATTTGTTTCACCATTTCTAAAATCTAAATCATTTCACTATCACGTAGTATAAAGTGTTAGTCTACTGCTAAGAATGTTTATCCGGTAAAGGTCAACGCGCATGCGCAAAAATTATATTATCTCAACGTGTTGATATTTAAAACGAAAGTACATAGATCAAGGCTGCATCAAGAAATGAAACGTCGAGGAAAAAATATTGTTTTGAAGTATTTGGCTAACTAATCTAATCTAGTATTGTTTGGTTGATTGCTACATTTTCTTGCTTTCAACATAGATCTAGTCGATACTTTACTACTTTAAAAACTTTGGTAATCTATCGTTTTGGGTACGTAAAATCGCCCGCGACTAGTAATGTGAAAAAAAGGTGACTCCTTAAATTTTAATAATTATTTCACATTTTGAGGAGGATTTGTGTTTTGAAAAATACAAAAATGTTTCCTTGTTTCATTTATGTACCTGTTTTCAAACAATTGAATTAAAACTTTTCAATAATAAATGAATACTAGCGATGTTTCCAACAGATGCAACCATGATCATTTACTATAGCAGCCATCCTGTTTAAGTTCTTTCTTTGTTAACTTATAGCGCGAGATCAGGGGAAGGCAACTCTATTTTACAAATGGCTGCTGTTTATATAGGAAATCCTGCTCGCAAACACTGCTGTTAAAAGTTAATTTCTTGCCTATATTGATATATTTAGCTATTGATTTAGGTTATTTATTCATTTATCTATAATATTTGACACAAATATATCAAAATATACTTCTATTAAAGCCTTGACAATGAGGTAACTTTTTTGTACATTACTAGCCGCGGGCAATTTTACGTACCTAAAACGATAGATTACCAAAACTTTTGTTACTACTAATTTTGTAAATTGTTAGCCTAGCCATTTCTAACAAAATCTAAAATCTAAGCGATTTAAAATATTTTTTTCGAAGTGACCATTCGGAAGAAGATTTTTCTTTCCAAAGTCTCCACTTAGTCGGCAAAAGATAGCTCTGCGCATCCGCAGTGACCTAGGGTTAGGGCTAGAATTAGGGTTAGGGATAGGATTAGGTCGGTGTTAGGGTTCTGCGGTTGTAAACACACGCATGTGCAGTACCATTGAAAACATCGGTAAAAATTTAGAGAAAACCCTTGATATTTCATAGTATCCGCCGCCAACCAATCAAACGCGCGCTTTCAACGCGTTTTGGTTGGCGGCTGACGTCATGCGACCCGTAAACACGGCGTTTTTGGAGCTAAAAAGGGCCGAAAAAGCCATTTTTTCTACGTGTAGTTCGGATTTTTTTACGTTTTTTAAAATGGGCCCGAAAATGACCCTTTTTAGAAATGGACATAGCCATTTTTTCGAAGAATTAACTTAAAAAAGGGCCGTTTTGAGCTATGTTTCGATGTAAACAAAGGCCCATGTCAACACGTGTCAAACCACGTGAAGGCACCCGATCGACGATTTCGGTCACGCATGAGTGGTTTTCGCCCGTTCTCGTGAACTAAATACCAGTTTCTTGACAACAAATTGGAAAACGACAATTTCGTGAAAATAACGACCCTAGAGGAATGGCTTTTAAAGATTATTAAATAAAAATCGATGTATTAGCTACATGTGTTGATTCTTAAGTTGTCTATAATTGAATTGCTGAAACAACGGCCTTAGGGCGCCGTGTAGTGTGTAGTTTCGCTAAGTCTAAATTAATCAGCAGGGCCGCAGTGTAAACCGCAAACTGTTAAATTGGTTGAATGTGAAAAGCATACTACTCACAAATTACTTTTGAATATTCACATCACACAAAATAATCCCAAAGAAAGCACAAAATAAAATCCTTTAGAAAAGCATCACCATGAAATTTGAAAGCCACAGTATGTCAACCAGCCATCTTTGGCTCAATCTAGAGGTCATTCTTTAGCCTGCACATGTGCCTTGTCAACAAATTTAGTTTCTGATGGTACACGACATTTAGATCAATATATTAATTAACAAACTAACTGAATTCCAACGTTCTATCACTCTAATCTCAAAATGAAACAGAATTTGAAGCACAATAATGTAACAAATAAATCCAACTCTAAGTAAGTGTCGCAGCTTTAATCCTGGATAGAAACATAGTGTGTAGTCGTGTTGTGAGTAAACTTGCACGAGATAAAACACCGACCTAGACCTTCCTGATGTTGTGTATGGCCCCAACGTTAAATGCTGGGAGTAGGGGAGGGGAATTCAACACCAGAATTTTTTTTTCAATAGTTAGGTCATCAGTAGTTCACGCATCCTAACGGGGTTGAAAGTGTAACTTTATATTCAACTAGGCAAAAGGTGAAGGGGTGGGGTCATTTAAACGACGGAGCTATATTTCTAGTCGAAGAATACGGGGAAGCCGTAATTTGAAGCCGGCATTTCATTATTGTCATTGCTATTGAGTACAACACTTTGTTCTAGTTTGATGCACGACCAGGCTACTCATTACAAAATCTAAAAAATGTCGTTGTGCTACCATGCAAAAATAGCCTAATATTTCTACTGAATGGGGTAGGTATTTGACTTTGTTTAAATGCAGATCCCATTAGCCTAAACATATTTGGATGCACATTTTAGTTATATCGTAAGGATAAATTTTATAATACAATGCATATATTCTGGCAGTCCTTCAAGTATTAGTAGTTATTGCCTATTGGACTATCCATAACTTGTATTTCAAAGATTTATAATGAGGGGGATGCACTAGATGTTTTAAGTGCTACATTTGGTAGCTGTTACTTTGTGCATGACAGCATCCCAATAGTTCACTGTTAATAATGTAAACTGATCTTGACGAGACTCCCATCGCCAAGCAATCGTATGATAGACCCAGCAAGCATCACTCGTTAAATTCGACATCATGGCTATACCAGTCCTTGATTTTCATTACTGCCTTGAAACGCCTAGTTCTTGGTTTTTTAAAAAAAAACCGTCTCCCCCCCACCCCTTCCCGCTTGCGCCGACGTCATCATAGGTGCATTTTTTTTCACCGAGTAAAACACACACCTCTCTCCCCCTCACAGCAAGCGCCAACAACGGTCACCCAAGGCCCAAGACCAATAACACGCACCACGGTGGATTTTTTTTTCAATGAGTATATACCCTACCCACCCGCCGCCTTACAGCATACCGCTAGTCTTTACAAACGGGGTTAAAAGTTTAACTTTGAGTTCAAGAAGGGGAGAGGGTGGTATTGAAACAACGATGGTCTTTAATATGTTTAATAGTACAAATACATAGTAAAAAATTATACTTACCTACTTCTATAGCATTATACATAATTTTATAATTAGCAAATTAATTAATTAATTAATTAATTAAATCTAATGATAATGAAGGGAGATAGTTTATTTTGGTTAAGGCACGACACACAACACTATGCGTGCGTGGTATGTGGCCTGACCGACCGAAAGGAGATTGTTTATATTATTGTTTTGAGTTTATATTTAACTCTATGCAACGAGCCCGCCGGTTGGTTGAGGCCACGCCGGGGGGACGATCTGTCCGGGATTCAAAGGGTCGATTCTAAATATCATCCAAAACATCTCCCCGATGGCAAGTCGTAGTTTCTCTCCATTGCGCATGCGTATCTTTTTCCGGCTAGCATTGGCCTATTTTTTTAACCTGTGGTCGTACTGCCACACCCAACCCTGCCCATCGCAATCAGTGAGTTATCAGCCATCATCATCACACATGTATACTCATGCTTTCTAAAAAAAGCCAGACTCCTATTACTATTAGTATTATTAGTATTACTATTACAGTGTCACAGGCTTTCTTGTTCCTACCCTACACATTTTATCATGCTACCCCTTCCCCTCATTCGCCCCTGCTTAAAAACCCTAATATCGACATTTCTATTTGTCAAAATCATTTTGAAAATGGTTTTGGAATGTTATTAAATCCTGTTGTCATGCAATTAGATAGACGCTTATTTTATATTTGAAATTTAGTTGTCAAAGTACCAGTTGGGTAGCATCGTGATTTAGAAAAATATTTGCTATTATGGTTGATCGCTTTCCATATCGGACAATGTAAAACTGGGAAATAATTCATTTATTAATATATATAAAAGATGAAATACAACTCAAATATTGAATATATTATATTCTTTGATTCCGATGGCGAAAATTAACATTTTAAAAAATGGCGACTTTCTAAAAGTACATTTAAAAAGGTCGGAAGTGGTCGCACCACAAGTCGAAATGCCTATATTATTTCTTTAATAGCCTCTAATAGGCTAACGTCTAATAGCCATAAGGCCTACAAATTACTGACAAGTTAGTAATTATTAATAATTAGATCTCTAGAGATATTCTGATAATTCTTGCTAAAACTAAAATTTAGAATTTTCAATTTAAACACAACCACTGAATACCACCGCTACTTTTAGATTAAATTACTTTATTTATTATTTATTGTCATTCACTGCCATGGCATTGACACCTTTCCATTATTACAACCATATATAACTCTTACGTTTGAAACATGAATCAGTTTGACTTTTTTAATTGGCTATGCATGAAAGTTCCTGAGTATTGTTCAACCAAATATGGGTCACGTGGTTACAAAAAACAATTGGTTGTGATTTCAGCTAAGGTTTATAAAAAAAGCTCACAAATTTTTATATCTTTTTTCATTGACCGATAAACCTAATTTTTTGTAACTACTCTTTTGATATATTAAAAGTTCTATTAGTTTTTAATGAAGCCAACTTTAAATTTAGCCTTCATTCTCCACTCCAAATTTTAGCATGCTTATCTGGCACCTAGGACCTATAGTTTGTTTTTATAACGTGAAAAACCACTATTTTGCACCTGGTAAACATTTTTAAAAGTAATTCTAAGCTGGTCACTAAATAAATTTGGTATAAGTGAAAAGCTATTAGTTCCTCTAACTTATGGTTTTGCGAAAAAGTACTCAAGAATAAATTTGTCATGCTACAACCTACCTAGAATCTTGTAGTCTTTGACTTCTTAAGTTCTTAAGCATCATTCATAACAATTACAGTAACAATTTATGCTTATAACAAACTTAAAACAGGCCTACTATTTACTAATACTACTATTTTATAATTTAATGAAGTTTATTTATATAATCTTTGTTTTCTTTTTGGCAAAAAAAAAAACTCAATCAATCATAGTAATAGTAGATCTAGCTAGACTTCTACGTAACATAACTCTAATAAATCTAAACATGACTAAAAATTTTTATTGCAGAAATGATTCTGATGAAGATGTTGAAGACATTTTTACAGATGAGATTAATGAATTCACAGAAGCAAGAAATAAAGTAAATAGATGCAAATTACTGTTAATTACTTATATTCTTCATATTTCTTAATGATTTCTTACAAATTTTAACTGTGGTTCTCAGCCAAAGAAAGTTTCTTTCTTGTGAAGTGACTACAAATCAGAAAGCTTAGTCTAAAAATTTGATCAGATTCATAACAAATGTCAAATGAAATGAATCATCAGTTGTGCCATGAATGATGAAGTGCACTGTTCAAAGAATGCTTGACCGGGAGAGGTACAATTGATGATATACAAAAATACTGATTCAAGTTCAGTGCAACACATTTAATAACTCACCTATGCACCTCTCTAGCCATGCAGCTTTACAGAATAGAGAATCCTTTTCTGATAAATGTCTAACCTACAAGACTTAGTTTGTACATCGTTAACTTCTATCAATAGAAAAAAAAAATACTGTTTGTGAACAAGTGTTTGTATATTTTAAACTGACTTATTATTAGCAAATTATGCATTTTTCAAACTTTTTTTATTTAGACACTTCAATGCATTATTGTTTTTCTTTGTCAGAATCCTCAATTTTTTTTCTATTTACATATAGTATGAGTTGATTTCTTTTTCTAAGAGGTAGATCTATCTAAAAACCATTATAATATAACATTAATTAATCTTGTGAAATAATGATGCATTATTAAACTGTGATGTACTGTTTGTTTTATAAAGATACATGTTGATGAGAAAGCAAGTGCAAGTGAAGAAGAGGTTAGTCACTCATCATGTGTCTACATTACAATAAGAATCCTATATTAATATTGGATACTGAATAATTTTCAATGTAGAAAATTGAATTTAAGTGAAATTTGTTTTAAAGAACTATTAACTTTAAGGAATTTTCTTTAAAAAAAATTGTGTACCATTACTTTCTTGCAACTACCAGTTTATTTCTTATTTGTACATTTATTGAGATATTTTAAAAGCTATTTGTAAGTATATTAGGCTTTCTATTCAGTTGTGATTGTTTATTAATTTAAAATACGTGTTTACTTGGTTGTTTTTTTAAAACAGGAAGAAATATTCGGGCTAGTCGATGAAGATGATGAAAGTGATGAAGAAATAGGAGAGTGGTCTAAACGACTCAAGCAAATTAAATTTCAGGCAAAGCTAGAGAAAAATAAATCGTTGCCAGGAGGTAAGACAAAAAGATTAATATTTTTTTTCAGATCATCTTAAAGCAGTTTCTCAGTATACATCTAAATTGTTAATTTCTTGACATTTTTATTTATCTGCTACATTGTAGTTAGTTAATTGATATGTGGTTCTCAACTCTTTCGAATATTATCACCCTGAAGGTCCAATTTGTTTTATTTTTAGTTTTTTTTTTGCTATTGTAATATTTGGAATAAAACCCATGAACAAGTTTTTTAATATGTACTTAACAATCTTTTTTTTTGAAGGTCTCAGCCACTGGGTTTGTAAACATTTGGCCCTATTCAGTTTTATACCTTGTTATACCTTTCTGTCTATCTATAGATGCACCAGAAAAGTCTTGGGGTAACAAGCGAAGTATTTTCTATGGATCTGGAGTGAAGAGGAAACCTAAACAAGCTGGTAAGAATTGAGAAATCTTGCCTAGTTTTATACAATAATCATTTTTTTTAGGAACTTTAAGTGTTACCTTAAAACATTGATTAATAAAAAATTAATATGTTGGTTAAAAAAGTAAATTTTATGAGAAATTGCCATGGTAAACTGTAGTGGTGTAATATATTAGTATTATGAACAGAAAATGAAGAAGAAGATGAATGGTTAATGGAGGAGAAGGAAATAGAAAAACTTCAGAAAAAATTGGATGCAGATGTTGATGAAGATGACTTCATGGTGCCATCACTCGTAACGGTATTTTGACTGAATTTACATTTTTTTTTTACCATTCATTGATTCAAGAGTAGTTGCATAAGAAACAGCAAATTTTTTAATGTTACTGTATTTTGACTGAATTTTAAAATAAATTTCACCATTCATTGATTCAAGAGTAGTTGCACAAAAAACGGCAAAATTTTTAATTTTTATGTTTTAGTAGTTATCAGTTATTAATTTTCAATCACTGTAAAAAAAACACTATGGTATTTTGTTTTTGCTGTCAACTTGTCATGCAGATTCTTCATAATAGTACCCATAGTGATTTTGGTTTCAAATGATTTATTCAGGTTTTTTTTTGTTTCCTTTAGAAGACAAAGAGTGATAAATCCAGTGAGCTGACTGTAAAGAGAGATTTGAATTTGGAGGAGACAGTAGAGGTATAAACACAGTAATAATTATTCAAATCAGTCTGCATTTTACAAACATCAGTTTTGCTGAATTAAGTTTAAGAAAAATAGTTTTCCTTTTCCAAAATATCAATAAAACATTCATAAATAGTTTTCCATGCAAAAAAAAAAAAACGAACACAAAATAATGCCTTTTTTATAATCTTAGCTCAAGAAAAAACTTCACCCAGAAGCGGAACCACTGAGGGAAGAATTGAATAAGTGTGTAAGTAATGGACACTTCCTGATGAAATGTTGGATAGAAAAATTATTTCTTTAGTTTTTAGCATTTTGATACAGTTGGCACAAAATAACTGTCATAATATTTAAAATGATAACTACTGACTATTAAGTTATTATTTGAAGTATTTCTTCATGTTGTAATTGTGCTTTTAGTATAGAGTGCTTTTTCTTTTGTTTTTTCAAGTTATGATCTGTCATATTTTAATACATTTCTCTGTCTCTTGTTAGATTGAAGAACTGGAAAAATTCAAAGATGTAAAGGGTTGGAAAGCTGAAAGTAGAAACACTTGCTTTAAATTGTAAGTATTGTTGTGTTTTAAAACTAGTATATATAATATATTGTAGTCATAAGTTTTTTAGTGTTTTAAAAACTGATCATTTTTATTGTTATTAAACTAAACATTACATTGTAGTTTTTGTAAAGTTCAAGTAAATTTCAGTCTACTGCTGGTGTTAATAAACAAGCTGCATTGTTGTTAAGCTATATGAAATACAATCAAAACTTTAGCAAGAATTAACAGTAATAGAAAATGTTATGAAATGGAACCCTAATTTATGTGTAGCTTCACTTGAAAATGAATAAGGTAACAAAATGAAACAATTAAAAATTGTATTTAGTTTAGTTACAAAATATGTCATTTTCAAATAATACATTATAATCAGGTTAGCTGCCAATATTGCTTTCTACCTCCATTTGATTGATAATAATGAAGATTGTCGAGGTCACCCTGTAATTAAAAGGATTGTGCAGTGGAAAAAGGTTTGTGCGGCACTTTTATAACATGTAAATGCTTATTGCAATTGTTAATTATCTTTTTTTAGCATTGTATTGATTTGGTTGTTGTATTCATTGAGTTCATTCTTTTTTATCATAATATAAAAAGTTTTCTTTTAAACATTGATTTTCAATGTTTTATAAGATGGGCAAAATGTGAATTAGTTAGTATGACTGTATCAGTTTCACATTACCATGTGTTTTTAAAAAAAAAATGTAAACAAAATGGATTGTTGTGTTTCCCTGTACATTGGAGTAAAAAAGTCTTGGCATTTATTTAATAGATGGCAAAAATGTATGAAGCTATACCAGCAGAACAGATGCATGTTACAGATGAAGAAGACAATGGTCATGATGATGAGAATGAAGGTGGTGAACTGAGTAAAGATTTAGGACAGACAGAAACATTAAAACGTAAACGGTAAGTGTTTTGATAATTAGATTGCTGTTTAGTAATTATTGCACGTTTACTTTTTTTTTTTTTTGCTTAAGAATTTCTCAAAACCTAGCAAGTATTTGGATGTTCTTTTCTTTGTGAAATGCACTTTAACTTTGTTTTTAGAGGAAGTAATTTTAATAATAAAACAGCTATGAGTATGAGGCAAGTATGATTATAATAAATAACTTTGTGATTACAGTTTAGCAGTGGATGATAGCGAGGAAGAAGGTGATGATGATCTTCAAGACGAAGAAAAAGATTTTGATGAACCATCTCTTGTTGAAGGAGGAGAAAATAGACCAATCACATATGAAGTTAGTTTTTTAAAAATTCAAATAAAAGGATACAAGTTTTACGCTTTACTATAATTTTCCTGCTTTGATTGGGTTAACTATTTCCAATTTTTATCGATTAAAAGAAAACTAGCCCATTAACTAATTTTTGTTATATAGATTGAAAAAAACAAGCCCAAGAAGAAATCTGCGCCCAACAACCCTCGAGTAAAACACAGAGAAAAGTTCAGAAAGGCCAAGATTCGCAGGAGAGGAAAGGTTTGTAAAAATGATAATTTTGTTCAAGATCTAATTACTTACTTTATGATTGATAATATATAAAGTATAGGGATTATTCCAGAGTATTGTATTTAATTTTTTCCCTTAATGTGCATACATTTTTTACTTCATTAAAATAGATTTAAATTTGTTTTATTTTAGTTAAATATTTTTAATGTATTGTTTGGTCACAATTTATCAGCTATTACTCAACTTTAAATTTTTTACTATAAACTAAAGATTATCTTAAATATTTTATTTATAAATTTATAACTATTTTACTCTACTGTCTATTTTCTTCTTATTAGATCAGGGAATACAAACCAGAAATCAACAAATATCAAGGAGAAGCTTCTGGTATCCGCACTGGCATTATAAGGAGTATCAAATTGAAATAAAGCAGTCAGGAGTTTTTGGTTATACTGTAAAGTGTATAGCAAGTTCTCCCTGTTCACATGTACATAATAAACTCGATTTATTTGTTTTTCTTATTTGTTTTTTATTGTAAATTTCAATGTGACAGTGGGAGTATTGTTTTCATAAGGAAGAAATGAGGCAGTTCTGATATAAACTAATATCAGTCATCTATGGAAAGCCCTGAAGATAGTTTTGTGGAAGTTTTGTACTTTTGGAATATCTTGAATTTAAAATGTACACTTTTGGAATATTTTGAACTTCAGGAATTTGTATACTAGTACTGAGTGTTCGTATTTAAAACCAAATGTCGCTTTGTGAAAGTTTTATACTTTTGGAAGTTGCACACTTTTGGAAATTTTTTAAAGCAAGTGTTACTATGTGAAGGCTGTACTGTGTTGTAGTTGACTGTTTATGTTGGTTCTTAAGTAAATTACGAGCCTCAGCACTATAAAAATTAATTAGGCACTGGTAGCTATGAAACCAGCTATTGCATAATTTCTCTCAGCAATTGTAGGAATATAGAAAACATCTAAGTTGAGATGTAAGCCTACATCTCCACAATTTCTATCTTAATGCAAAAAAGACACATGGAACATAGTATATTCGTTTATTTTTTCTGAAAACTAAATATTCACATTTAATAGATGACATCAAGTGTTGAGAAGAGAGAAAATTGGAAGTTACACAAACACTCAACAAATCCAGCATTGATTATGCCGAAGTCTTCATCAAGTAGATCTAGAAAATGATTTAAAATTCAACTAGACTTTAAAGGAATTGTAATTTGCAAGCAAAAACATTTACTCTTCTATTTTGTAGCTGTTACATTATTTCAAAGGACAGAGGCTGTCATTTTCATTAAGTTGATTGTCAAGCTTGATGTAAAATTCTGCCATGTTCTTTTAAATCTGTACTTGGATAACAGATACAAAATGAGTTCATATTTTTCATATTTCTAGTTTCAACCATAAACACACCAGATTATACCAAAACCTTATGAGAAATGATAAAAATATATTTTTATTGTTAACATAATATATATATATATACAACATGGCTTAAAACAAATGCCTCAATCACTTTAAAACATGGGCTGAGTACAGTTATTTATACTGTATTCGTAGTTAATACTACTCTATGGTTTTTCACATTAGAAATGTGCCAATAGTCTTGTATTTCTATACATGAAAATGGCTTTTCTGAAAATTATAGAATATTTGGTCATAACCATGACTAAAATATCCAAATATGTATGGCATGTACAAAATATGTTTGACATCAACCAATAAAGTTTACATTATGGACATATATTTTTAGCGAAACAAATTTGAATAAAAATGGATAAAGCAGCTTGGATGATTCACTGACGTTGCTGCCAATATAGACATGTAGTCACACAAAAATCATTTATCAATGCTACAGGAATAAGAAACTTGAATCTTCCAGACCTCATGCATAACCAACTCAGCAATTTTAAAAATTCTTCTTTCTCATACGTATATAATCATAATTGTTTATTTTTAACTAAGTTTGCATTATGTAAACCTTAACACTGGTTCTAGTTTTAATTACAAATCTTAAGAATAATTAATTGACATTAACAGCATTCATCAGGTGAATTAATTAGTGAGGTAGCTTCTCTTGTCTATTCTCGGAAATGCTGTTGAAAATTAATTAGTAATTTCACCACCATGACACATTTCATAAATATTAATCTGTTAAAATATCCTGGTGCATTTAGTACAGTTGATACTTGCAATGTTATAGCTAAGTTAGTTCTTGGAATGCTCTCAAGCAATAGATCAACTAAAACTAATATGCCGTTTGCATGAAATCTTCAGCTTTTCATCCAGAGTTCTGAAAGAAGTCCTTCAGCCAAAACTTCAACATGACTCTAAGCTAAAAATCTGTTGAAAAAAAAAATTAAAATAAATTTCTACTTATTGTTTACCTAATGGTTATATTAACAATTACTATATACAGTTACTTAAAATTTTTGAATATTTCATCTCTATAACTATAAGATTTATTTTTAGCCTTAGATTTTTCTATCCAACATTTATGTTGGGCAGATGAAGCTGTTGAAAATAAATTTGTTACCTATACTTTTTCATATATTCAGGAAATGCTGCTTGACACTTACATCTTGATGCAAGAAATCAAGCTGTGCGAAATCACTTTGTTCCATGCCAACGCCTTGGTAATTCTCCATGTTGGAGGAGTACACCTCAACATTGTTCCCTAAACAAAATCATCAACATAATTTATTTTTGCTTTAACGGATCATACAGTGTTCCAGAAAATGGAAGTATAAGCCTTATTCAGTACATAGTACTGACCACACTATCCGTTCATATCCTGAGGTCACAGAAACAGGTGAACTCTACTCGAAAAGGGAACTTAACATTATTCCCATTATCTTACATATATATCACATTATAATTATAGTTAAATGAATACAAATCTATTTATTTACTTTAATAAGCATACAAAAATTACAACTATGCACAAGATTTATATATAGGCCCATATTTTTCAAAAATTGATCCTTCTAGTCACCCCCTAGATCAACCTTTGTGTGTTGTATACAGTAATAAAATGATTTTGATAATATGAAAGCTTGAATACAACAATGTCAAAGTCAGTTGATTTCAAAAAGGCAGTTTAAAAAAATTAATGCCTATAAAAGGCAATACTAGAAATGAAAAGTAATTTAAAAAAAGTCTTGACTCACCATTAGGATTGTCATCATAATTTATCAAGTCGGGAGCTTGACCCATGTGGGAATAGTTCTGAAATTGAAAAGTTTTCATATAGAGGTTTTTTGCTAACTAATCTTAATTTAATTTAGAAACATTGTCAGGGAAGCAAAGGTAGCTTAAGGTGTAAAGTGTAAAGTAAAATTATAAGTACTTACATTCTCTTGATTTAAAGTCATGCTTGCATTGTTGTCATCTGATGAATAAAGTAAAGAAAATATAAAATGAAATTAACAGCAAGTTATGGAAAATTAATATAACTGGTCTATAAAATTAATTGCATTAATTTTTCCAAACAGCTATTTTTCTAAAGCTATTACAATTTATAATTAAACTCTAATATGCATTATTTGAATTCTGAAAAGTTTTTATTAAAACAATTTTAAAAAAAAATTCCCTTTAGTCTTCGGCAGCCACTATAAAAAAAAAGGATTAATTTAAAGGGCAATAACCAAAGCCAGTTACATATTTTTCACACAAGTAAAGATTAGTAGTACATACCTTGTGATTCAATTTCCATTGTATAAGCAATCTCAAATTCTTCTGCATGGACAGGGGCCAAGCTTGTTGTGATCTGTAAATAGGAACAAGGTGAAGTTAATTAACAAAAATAAAAAAAGCTACATTTTAAAATAAAATATAAAATTCTAAAAATCAGAAACAAATTAAAGTGTAAGATGTTAAGACAATTAAGTAAAATTTAGATTTCAGATATATTGTTTGAAATGTTAAAACAATAAGTCTTAATATCATTTAATATGTTATCAAATTGTAATACTAGAGTAAACACAGCAAGGCAAACTGACGCTGTAAGGCAGTTTATGAAAGGGGTCATCCATAAATGACGTCACACTCGTAGGGGGGAGGGGGGGTCCGTAATTTTGTGATGATGTGTGATGAGGGGGAGGGGTCAGATGTTGCGACGTCACATTTTTGCATTATAAAAAAGCAATGTTAGAAAACGAATTTTAGACGTTATTTCGTGTTTTAGATAACTGTTTTAATAAATTGTAATAGTTTAGACAAGATTTTGGAAAAATATCGATGTTTTTAAAAAATTCAATTGCAATTTTGAGGGGGGTTGTAGGTTGAGGTGTCACGTCATTTTAGGGGGGGGGGTCTGGCTTTTTGTGACGACGTGTGACGGAGGGGAGGGGGGGGGGAGGTAAAAATCATCAAAAAAAGCGTGACGTCATTTATGGATGACCCCAAAATCTAATATGTTTAATATAAATGTTTGTACCGTATTTGTTGGAATCTGGTACTCTGGTAACTGCAAAGTCTCTGGTTTTGTTTCTTTAATTTTCACTTGGCCTCCACAGTTTAGTCTTGTATTCAGAGGGTTGTACAATGATTTATCTAAATAAAACAACACAGTTTAGTCTTGTATTCAGAGGGTTGTACAATGATTTATCTAAATAAAAGAACACAGTTTAGTCTTGTATTCAGAGGGTTGTACAATGATTTATCTAAATAAAAGAACAGTTTAGTCTTGTATTCAGAGGGTTGTACAATGATTTATCTAAATAAAACAACAGTTTAGTCTTGTATTCAGAGGGTTGTACAAGGATTTATCTAAATAAAACAACATCCAGTTGAAATTTGAAAAAATAAAAACTTATTCTATTAAAGATTCAATATAACAATTGAGCTGGATTAACATAGGTTTAATGATAATCACCAGTTTGTTAAATGAGTTTAGAAGTTTTATTTCTAATTACAACTGGACATTGTAGCTGTTTTTGTTTTAATTAGTATGAGGACAAGCGTTGGTCAGTTAAAGTAGTGTAGAAGTTTTATTTCTAATTATAATTGGACAGGGAAAAAGAAAGTAGGCCAGCCAAAGCCCCTTGCTCCTCAGGAATAAGTTAAGAAGGTCATATGGAGAGTCACTTGTCAGTTCAATTAGTTTAGAAGTTTTATTTCGGATTAAGATTGGGAATTGTAGCTAGATTAGCACTGTGGTAAGTCAAACTAGTTTAGAAATAGTTTTTCAAATTAAGATAAGCTGGGACATGTAATCAGAAATTCTTTAAGGCATCTCTACTGCCACCCCCCCCCCCCCCACCCCCCACCAGAGAAAAAAAAAGTCTGGAAGAAACACTGCATGTCATGAAGACAGTCCTGATTAATCTTACATGTGTCACTTGTCCCCTGCTGTGTGGTGAGGCTAGGCGACAGCTCCATTTTTATGTCCCTCTGTGTTACAGAGTCTAGCTGCGAGGTGGATGTGGAATTAGTAAAAGAGTTTGTTGCCTGAAGAATTATGGTTGTAATTCCATCAGGGCTGGTTTCAGTTGTGATAGTTACTGGGGAACCGCCCAAGTTGGATTGGCTCACACTGGGGTTTTCAGCTTGATGAGATCCAGAAGAGGGCGCCAGCAGCATGTCCAGCTTTGGTACAGTGTTTCTTGACGTGGCGCTGTGGGTGGATGGTGTGAACGTGAAGCCAGTGAGGGCTGCGGTGGTGGCCTGGCTGAAAGACACTGGCGCCTGCAGGCTAGAGGTGTCAGGGTAGTGTATATCACTGTGGTGTAAGTTTAAACTTTTTCCAGAGAAGAGCGCCTGCGCTGTAGATGTGGACGGCAGGCTGTCTGTGGAGCTGCAGCCACTCTCAGAGTCATTGATCTCATGCAGGTATGAAGGTTTGGTGTCATGGTCATCTCCTGTGGCATATGACTTCTAAAAAAAATATTTATTATTATTATACCACAATCTGTTTCAGATACTAAAGATAAAGGAAAAATTTCAACAAAGTGATTTTAAAAATCTGTGTTGCAAATTAGCAAAAATGTGCTAAAATATATATATATATATTTTACCTGTGACCTTTTTCCTGCTTTCCTTTTTTCTGTAAATAGAAAAAAAACCAAGTTAAAATGTTTGACAATTCTAAATTAGCTTGGTGGAATAGGAGTTAAACAACAATAACAAAAGGTCTAATTATAGTTGTGTATTGAGATATAAAGGGGATGTATCACACATAGGTGTGGTCTTCAAATGAGCTAGAGGTAGGTTGCCAGCCATAGCTAAATTAAGGTGATAAAGCAATGATTTATCTATATTTTTATAGTGACTGATGAAAATGGTTAATGGACTATGGAAAATAGTTGAGAATTTATTGAATTTAATTCACCACGTTGAGTAAAAATAAACGAGTTGAGTGATTGTTAAATAAGTGATTACAATAAAGATTGCCTGGCTAGTAGACTTACTGTTGTATTCAGGGTGGCCTGGATCAATAAACCTGAAGGTTCGTTTGGCCTGTTCCCCCTTTTTATCCCCCTTGCCAGTTAGCTCAATGCAGTCTTTGAGACTGTGCAAGGCGCACCGGAAGTTGCTTTTGTTACTGGAGTGGTTTCCAGGAGATTGTTGGTTGATCTTTCCTGTAGAGAGAACATATTTTCACAGCTCGTATCATTTTATTCACGCAAGGAGGATTATACAATTTTAAAGGATAAGCTTTCTATTATTATTATTCAATTAACCAGAGAAAAAAAATATTTTGTAATCTACTATTATGTAAAACTACTACCCTAAGGGGTTATTAGCAATCTGATAGATTGATATAGGTAGGCATTTAAAAAAAAAGAGGTGGTCGGATGGTAGGGCTTACGACTGTTAACTGGAAAGTCTTGGGTTCAATCCCGGGCTCGAGTTTGTAGGACTTTCCTGAGTCCACTCAGCTTTCGAGGGTACCTGATTGACATTAGGGACAGTCAGGCGGGTGGGCATAGTGTTGACCCCATGTATGCCGTGGTCATTGAAACAGATAGGTTCTACTTCATCTGCACCATGTGTCTAGGACAGGCGTGTGAAAAGTCGATGATGAGTAGCCTAAAGCTCAGAGTTTCTTCCAGGCATCTCTTGGGGGGGGGGGGGGCAAAGCCCCCCCCCGACATTTTTTTACCCCCCCCCCCCCCCGAACGAAACGAAATTTATATAATTTATGTAGAAAATATATACTTTTAACAGTGTCCGCCCCCCCCCCCCTCGAAGAAAGTTTACCGCCCCCCCCCCGAAGATTTCAAGTGCCCCCCCCCCCCCCGGAGAAAAAAAGTCTGGAAGAAACACTGCTAAAGCTTAGGGCTGTAACATGAAGCCATAAAGACCAACCTGTGTGCTGGGCCCATTTTAGAAAAACATCCCCGTGTTCCGACTCGACAAAGCCGTGACTAGAGGCGTGGCGCCAGACGATGGTGAACTCCTTTTTCTCGCGGTTTTTCCACTCCAGTCCTCGGCAAGACTCGTCGTTGAGGAGTTTCTCCAGCCAAGCCCTCATACGCATGCGTGCGCCGGGGCGGTTTCTCACTCGGCTGTTGCTGTTACTGCTGGACCTGTACCTCAGCGTGGGCGGCATGACGACAGCTTTCCGGCACCGTCTGCTCACTCTTTCCTTCATCTGTTGGTACAAAAAAAAATGGACGTCATTTTAATGCAATATACTCAAGATATAGACTGATTTTTCCGTAAGCCACACCCCATTAATCGAATCAGGATTTTCGCGTCTGCGCAAAGTTTTCTTCATGTTGAAAAAAAAAACCATGGGCCCCCATCTTAAAGCCATATACTTAAAACAGGTTTTTTTTATTAGCCACACCCCATTAATCGAATAAAGTTCGCATTAAAAAAAATACGATGGATTAACCCTAAGGCTAGATGTGTCTTTATCGATTCCATAAAGGAGCTGTCATAAAAAAACTTCGATAACTTCTTAGCAAACATTCTTATCTTACAACGATTGATTAACATAAAAAAAAAACCGTAATTGTATTAGTTAAACGTATAATCACAAGTAGGCATATGAAAAGAATCGAGATCATTTTAAAACTTCATGGCGTGTGAACATTAAAAGACTTCAGTTGAACGCTATATAAGGTTTCATTTACGTAGGCAATTTTAATTTTAACACTAGCGCGACTACATGTAGGCCAACTTTGTGAGAACGGCCTTAAAATAGTTTTGCTTAGAGAGAGAAAAGCATAGACAAATTAAAGGTCGACTGTATGGAAGAGCCAAAACTATGATGACCAAGGGTTTTGTTCTTTGGATACACCAATTTTCGCTATAGTCAGGTTCTTGGGTGGAATTGAGAGCTACCAACACGCATACAATTTTTTTTTTGGGTTGAGGTGTTTCCAAATGTTTTGATAACATACATATCGATGAGAATAAAAGTTATGCAGACAACGTAAAACAATATTAACAACCAGCGCATATTTTTTTTTGTATACTCTCAGAAAGGATTGACTAAAATCGCCGAAAATGTGTCGAACCCCCCCCCCCTCCCCCCCCCCCACCGAGACAGGAACCCAGAGAATACCTTTTATAAAATCCCACCTCGTGTCGTGATAGACAGTGACGTGTGTGGCACAGTGCAATCAGATAAAAACTGACTAGGCTAATGCAAAGTTCTGGAACAAGGAAGTAGGTCACAACTTAGGCCAAACGCTTTATGTAATACACAAAATGACGCGGCGACGTCTTGTGTGACACCAGGAAGTTAGAGGGCTACCACCCTATACTGGGGACAATGCTACCACCATGTACTGGGGACAATGCTACCACCATGTACTGGGGACAATGCTACCACCACATGTTGGGACAATGCTACCACCATGTACTGGGGACAATGCTACCACCACATGTTGGGACAATGCTACCACCATGTACTGGGGACAATGCTACCACCACATGTTGGGACAATGCTACCACCACATGTTGGGACAATGCTACCACCCTATACTGGGGACAATGCTACCACCACATGTTGGGACAATGCTACCACTATATGCTTAGCATGAACGATCTCAAAGGCCTTGAGATCATTATAAAGAAAATAATCGAAGGCTACAGTCCATCGATCTATAGCTGTAGTATGCACAGCAGCCACTACAAGAATATTGCACGTCCTTACGTTAAACCCGGAAGTTAGGTAATCACCCACCGGGGGAGGTGGGGGGAGGGGGGGGGGGGAAATGTGAGGGGGGGGGCAGTTGTGAATGGGAAGCTACGGAGTTGATATGGACACAACAGGAAGTGAAAATGATACTTTTTATATCCACCGAAATTCGTAATTTTAATATCTCGATAACCAAATCTAAATCGATCTGAACATTTCCTCCGAAGAAATCAATAAACGTTCGTGAAAGATTTGAAAAAAAAAAGTGTAACGACAATAATATAATACTGACGCTCTATATAACATGCATTCAAGTAACACTATTGGTGTAATAATAACGACCCCATAACGCTATCTCAATAACGACGTTATTTTATACATCACACACATTAGTATATATTTTATACAATTCATAGAATAATAATTCACACCCCCCCTTCCCCCACGAATATAATATTTCACACATTCCATAGAATATTTCACACACCCCACACGAAAAATAATATTTCATACATCTTCCCCACGAATATAATATTTCATATATCCCCACACGATAATAATATTTCATACATTTCACACTCAAAACACCGATATAATACTTCAGGTAACACAAGGTGTGAAAACACGTCACCTTCAAGAAACGCCTTCCTTCCCGGTTCGAGGTCAAATATCAACCTATAGCTCTAACGTTATAATTAGTTTCCCAATCAATAACCAATAATCAATTTTTGTTTCCAGGGTTATTTTAAATTAGTATAATGACAGATTGACGACTGATTGCATTGGCGATGAGCTCAACAGACCAATACTATAGATTTTGTATTGACGTTAGACACACACAATAAGGCACTTAAAACAAAGAGTAACATATTTTTTTAAAGTTGAAGGACCATTCTAGCTTTTTAAATACACTTCACATACAGTTTGAATATCTTGTACATTTTAACCTTCAAATGGGCAGGTGGTCAAGTAATTTATTTTCCCTTTGTAGTTTATTAATATTATGGCCTTTTGTGTTTTAGTATTTGCCCGTTTTAGGGGCTGGTGCAGAATAATGTAATTTGAAAATGGCGGCACATGAACGTGATTATGTGTCTCGGAACATGCCAGTTGCATGTCATGTTTGCGCCGATCGCTGTGTTTACAAGGTCACTCAAATTTAGAAAAATGTCGTCGCTAGGTGTGTGTGTAGGGGGGGGGGGTATACAAGGTACGGACAGACCCTTCCCGGCGCCCGGGATTTGCACCCCCCCTCAAACTTTCAATTTATACATACGAATAATTTTCATAGCAATGTTATAGGAAAACTTCATGGATATTCTTTTATTTTTTAAAATTTTCTCGCAAAAATTATTGACGAAATGTAACCTTATAATGATTTTTATTTTAAACAAACGATAATAAAAAAAAAATCTGGTAGTAATAAAATACGATTATAAGTTTAGTAATTAAACTTAGACTAAAATTCAACTTAACATGATTACGCCAAACATTTCTGGCACCCTGAAAGTTATATTTGATTTGTTATTTCAATTGTAGAAACATTTCTACAGGTTATATTGATCGATCTTCACACCTCACTATTACCTCGTTACGACAAATTATAACTAGAGAAAAGGGGGCGTTCGTTCAGCCAAAGAGCCAAAGGCGATTTTCGAGTCGGAGGTCGTCAACCTTTGTCTAAGGTTTATGTTAACGTTCAGGGTTAGGGTCTCGCGTGCCTTTGTTACGTTTTGTTTATGCATTTAGATCAAGCAATTTATTATGTTAGATGTGGCATGGGATAAGGCAAGGGTCGGCAACCTGCGGCTCGCGAGCCGCATGCGGCTCTTTTGATATCAAGATGCGGCTCTCCAGCTCCTTGCACAAATACTATCTTAATCAAAAAATAAAATATTTGAAATAAAAAAAATGTTAGTGGCTCTTTAAAACCAGGGAAATTTTGAAAATTGTAACTTTTGGCTCTTCCGCTTCAAAAGGTTTCCGACCCCTGGGTTAAACCAGGGGTCGGCAACCTGCGGCTCGCGAGCCGCATGCGGCTCTTTTGATATCAAGATGCGGCTCTCCAGCTCCTTGCACAAATACTAATAATCTTAATAAAAAAAAAATTGAAATAAAAAAATGTTAGTGGCTCTTTTAAACCAGTGAAATATTGAAAATTGTAACTGTTGGCTCTTCCGCTTCAAAAGGTTGCCGACCCCTGGGATAAGGACATATATAAGGACGGACATTTCCTATACGGAGTAGACTTTGATTTTGAAATATAGAATTATATTAATTTATACACCAGAAGTTGACAACAGATACGCGGGTAGACTTGAAATGGTCTCTGGATGGTGGACTGATTTTTAGGATCTGACTGAATTTTGAAGTCGTGCAATGCCTTTTTGGGGTATCTCATTATCTTTATCGCTGTGTCGCGGGCTTTTGAGGATGGGTACTAAGTTTTTACTCAGCTTGGTGAATGTTTACATAATGATGATGATAATTTAAAATAATAATAATAATATTAATAATAATAGTTATTATAATAGTAATAATAATAATAATTATTATTATAAACTTTATTTTAAAACGGCAACAACAGTGGGTAAAGAAGCCTTTTTTTCACATTGGCTTAGTGTTGGGAGTTGCCGTTTCGTGTTTTGGTTAGCGACGGAGTGATATTTACAAACAATACATACGCTATTTGAACTGGACACAAGTTTTAGCCGTACCATGGATGACTCGCTACTTCAAGAGTATGTTAGTGTATATTAAAAACAATCTTGCCTTTGAAGTAAAGAGGAAGGAAATATCAGGTGGCAACACACGGATCATAGCGACTGGCAACGTGGGTTCGAGACTTCCTCGCTTCTGTGACCAGAGATCTTCCACGTTTAGTGCCAGTGCTAAGCTCCACCCCCCCCCCCCCCTTCCACAGTAACAAGCGTGACCCACCATATTTTTATCCGTTTACGTGAAACAAAACACACCACAAATTCTAGAGACAAAGGCCAAATGATAACCTATGATGCGACTTGGGAGCCAAATTGTCAGAAATCGGGCCAAACAAAGGATCCATTACAGATGGTGCTTAAGAAGCCTGTAACACATATGTCTTAGATTTATTTATTTTTTGCAGCTATTTGGATCAGATGGGCAAACAGAATATTGAAACCGTACCTTCCAGCTAGCCCTCACCCCCCCCCCCAACACACACATAACTGTAATGTAGCCCTTCCACCTGTTTGAACTAAAATAGCCCACCTTTGTTTTTATTTGAGGATTAAATTTATTTTTGTGTAAGTAATGTTACAATATTGATTGTTCAAAGGATTTATTAGTAAACTCAATTTAAATCTGAAATCCAAATCCAAAATATGGCTTTATTTTTCATTTCTAAACACTTAAAAAAAATATCTAATCCTTCGAACTAACAACCATACCTTATTTTACCTTATTGATTTCTGGACTTTTTTTCACGTAACGATCACAACTTTTCCCTCTTCAGCTTTGAA